TCCTCCTCCTCCTCCTCCTCCTCCTCCTTCTCCTCCTCCTCCTCCTCCTCCTCCTCCTCCTTCTCTTTCTCCTCCCTCTCCTTCTATTCCTTGTGTTGATGCCACTGATGAAGATCTTAAAATTTCCACCTCTTTTTGTAATTCTTCAACTTGACTCTGTAATTCGTCATTATTATGTGAAAGAAACAGTACTTGATTATGTATATCAGATATATTTGGACTACTACCTGTATCTGTATTGTGCTTTTGGAATAATCCCAACCTTTTTATCATTCTTTCTTTTTTCTTTTTATCTTCTTGTTCCATTCTTGTTCTTTTCCCTTTTTTCTCTTTTTTTCCCCTTTTCATTTTTTTCCCCCTTCTAACACTTTTCCACCTTTTCACTTTTTTCCCCCTTCTATCTTTTCTTCTTTCCTTTTCTTCTTTCTTTTCTTCTTTCTTTTCTTCTTTCTTTTCTTCTTTCTTTTCTTCTTTCTTTTCTTCTTTCTTTTCTTCTTTCTTTTCTTCTTTCTTTTCTTCTTTCTTTTCTTCTTTCTTTCTTTCCTTTTCTTCTTCTTCTCTCCCTTTTTTTATTCTTCTATGTTTCTTCTTTTTTCTATCCCTATAATCCCTATATCGTCTTTTTAATTCAACAAATGAGTATTTGAAAGTTGATATTTCCAATAAATTAAAAATATACTGATTAGGAGTTAAAGTATTATAATCTATATTATTTGATATTTTTTGAGGTACTAGAATATTGTTTTGCCTTATCTCATAGTTTGGAAATTTATAAAGTAAGTATAGTACATAAGCTGAAGAAATATAAATATTCCTAATTTTCATTAAATAAAATTTGTAATATTTTTGACTTTAAATATTTCAATATAGTTTAAATATAAGTGTTAGCTTTAATTAGTATTTGTATCTTCTGTGATTCTCTTTTTAATAATGCACCTTTTTGATTGTGTGTTCACACAATCAATATACAATATAAATATTACATGAGTATCATTGAATCTTCTCTATATGATTTTATATTATAACTATGGGTTAAAAAAAATCATAAATATTAATAATTTAATTACTATGAAAATAATTGTAATTACTTATTTTAGTTAATATACGAAAATTGTCAATAATTATAAAAAATATTAGATACTAGTAATTAATAATTTATTACTTTAATAATAATTAAGATAATATTAATCATTAGTATATATATCTCAATTCTAATTCCTATTTCTAATATTTCTATTATTATTTGGTGATATTACTTTATATTGTTACAAAACTTTATACTACAAATATTACTAAATATTATTTTAAGAAAAATTATATATAAACTTTAATTCATTATTATTCTAAAATAATTCTGATTTTAATGTTATAAAAATAAAATAATTAGAGGTCTTATTCAATATTAATAATATAGTTTAATATATTTCAAATAAAATTTACTTTATTAATATTTCTAATCTTTTGTTTTTGTTTTTAAAATATAAACACTTAAATTATTAATTTCAATATTATAAATAACACCTTTAAGATTAAGCTAATAATTAAATGTAAAATAATATATCAAAACAAATCATAATTTACACCCCTATAGGAATCTATTAAGATATTATTTCTATTTAGTATTTATAAGGGATAAGGGATCTAAAGTATTAATATTTATTATTGATAACTAATAAAAATCTTAATAAATGGGTAACTTCAATGATATTAGTAATATAATTTAGATATTAACTTTTAAAACACTAATATTTATTAATACCATTTAAAAGTAATACTACTTAAATTATTAAGCCTATAGTAAATTAGTATAGAATTGATAGATATTATTAATATTCAGAAATATTAAATAAATTTTTAAATAAAATTATTCCACCTTTTTTTTATAATAAGTATTTATTATCTTATTTTATTTATTTTAATTAATTTTATTTTCTTATTAGATATTTTTATGTAATTAAAAATGATCTAATTAATATTCTTTTTATTATCTTTATAACTAATAGTTAAAATGAAATATTTTTATTTCTTTTTCTTTTATATATTTATTTTATTAAATAATCTCACTTTTTTTTTTTTTTTTAAGAAATATAATTTAATGGGTGTAATTATTAAATTAAGCTGTTAATATGTGTGATATAATAAAATTACTTTTAAGATATTATTAATATAAAATAGAATAATATGCCAAAATTAGAGGTAAGATTTTAATTATTAGGAATAATTTTATAAAACTTTTAATAATGAACCTTTTAGTTAAAGGATTGTGCATCTATATGTGATATAAATGGTGATGATAATTATGACTCAAAATCAGCACATGAATTATTAGTATTAGCTGGATATTATATAAGGTATGGATTTATGTAATTAAGTAATATAATAATTTTGAATTTAACTAATTAATTTTAGTCATGAAGAAATTGTTAAATATATGGAAACTTTAAATAAATCTAATTTAAATTTGGGTGTAAGTTTGATTAGAGACTGATTAATATGAATATTATAAGATTGATTTTACTTGTTTATTTGATAGGATATTGAGAATTTTATTAGTAAAGATGTTGAAAAAGATATACCAAAAGTAGATATGATTAGGAATTTGTTAAAATCACTTGATATGAACAATTCAGATAATATTGATGTATCTACTTTAAAATATGGATTAAGTTCTCTAGGTAATGATAAACTTAATGATTTAGAAATTAAGGATTTATTTAAGACATTAGGTATATCTAAAGATACAGAGATAATGAGTATAAAGACAATTGTAGAAAATATTGAGAAAGTTCTAAAGTTATTTGATTAATATTATTTATAAAAATAATATTGGAGTAATAAAAACTAATACTTTTATTGTATATTAAATTAATAAATATTTATTTTTAAATGTTATGTAATATATATAAGTACTAATAAATTTAATTAAATGTATTAAGATAAGATTTCTTTATATTTCTTTTTTAGGATTTTAAAAAAGTTATTAGGTGTCTATAGTGCATGCAAAAAAAAAGGAGAAAAAAAAAGAAAAATTGGCGCTAAAGCATGAAGATTTCTGCAATTTTAAAAAGATTTGAGGGAATTTAAAGACTAATAATAATAAACATATTTATTTAATAAAGTAAAAATATTAAACTATATAATACTTGAATTATCTCAAAATAGATGTTAAATTTATTTCCACCACGATTGTGGTTACATTTTAGTCAAACTGGGGGTGCATACTTTTGTTTGAGCCATTTTCGGACTCATCCATTACTTTCACTAAGACGATGTATTGAATTATGGTGCATTATTCTATCAGCACTTGCATTGTTACAATTAATTGTATCAATTGGTGCTGCTACAACAAATTATACATTCCTAATTAAGATGCTCTTCCCGGATGCAGTAGATGCTGTTCAAAGGGATCTTGGTATTCTAATTGTATTAATGTTTATATCAGCTATTTTAGCACTTTTAGTAGGTGCAATGGGATTAACATCTGTAAATACTGGTAGTATTTTGTCAACAAAAATATTTATTTTATGTAATTACTTACATGTATTAAAAGATATTGCCTTTTTAGTAGCTATACTTGTATTATTATCAAAATGGAAAATTCTTACTGGTAATTCAGCAGCATTTTTTTCTATTATAATTGGAATTTCTTTAATTTCAGGTATTTATATTTCATATATTGGTGAAAATTATTTACATGTTATTGAAATTGGAGGTACTGGAGATGAACTTGCTACTGCAACAGAGCTTGAATCTCAGTCAACTGTAGGACAAGACTTAGAATTATCAAAAGAAGAAGACTCTTCATTATTATCACGAAAATAATAGTAATATATTGTAAGGCTTGAAAGTATTCATAGAGGTTAATCTTTTTTGTATACTTTATTGATAAATGATTGGCAGAATAGAATGAAATAAAATAAATAAATTATTAATAGTTAATTATATTTTTGTAATTAAAATAATAACTTCATTAATATTTAAAATCACTGATAATGATATTCCATTAATTAATAAATAATGATACACTAATTATAAATACAATATTAATATGAGATGATTGTATATATTAATGATAACTTATTTTTGAGGTGTATTATCTTTCTTTTTTTTATTATTATTAAATTTAAATTCAATTTTAGTTAAATCTTTTATTGTACCCATTCTATATTGTTTTCCTTTTGGGCATACATGAATACATGAAATTTTAGTTTTTGTTTCTGGTATTCTATCATCAATTGGAACAACACATGCACCACCATTTTTTTCAGGTATAAATAATTTATAAGCTTCTATATCATATATATTTCTCTTTGTACAATTTTTACAATCACTATTACGTACTGGAGAAACATTAATTAAACATGGTTGTGGAAAATTGATCTTTGTTTGAAGGTTACATATAAGTTCTTCTGGTTCTTTTAATGAATTTGAACCGCGTGTATGAAGTTTAAATTGTTCTTTATTTGGTATTCCATTTGGTAATAATAATCCTTCAGCACTTTGTATATTAATAGGAATAATAAACCAATTAGGTTTTTGATTTTTGTTTTCTTCATTAAAACTAAATTTGGTAGCTTCTACAGTACTATCTAAAGATAACAATGCTTCAGTAAAAATTGTTGAATTATCTTTACTAGATGATAATATATTACAAGATTTTATTGAACCAAATGAAGCTGCTATAATATGACAATCTTCATTTGTTACATTCACATTATTATTTATAACTTCTTGTTTTCTATTTCCTTTATAGTCAATAGCTAACTTAATACTATCTAATAATGTCCAATGTTTATTATTTGATATATTTACATCCTTATTATCATATTTAGTTAATGATAATTCAACTTCATTATAAACTGGAAAAGAGAATCCTTTTGGTAATGTAAAACGTATTTCATCAGCTTCTTGGAATAAATGGAAGAATATCCAAACATTTGTTGTAGTATTTAGTTCAGAATTTTCTAGATATATCATACAATCCTCACATGGTCTAGTATTACATGGTATATGTTCAATAATTGGTTTTTTATTACTTTTACATGGAAACTCAAATGTTTCAGGGAATAATTTTTCACCAACCCATTTTGGAATACCATGAGCCACTTGTACAAGACTTGTAATATTTCCAAAGCCTCCACAAGGAAATGGACAAGGACCCCATGGATAATTAGATGGTATTGTTCTTAAATTTTCTTTTTCGACTCTACAACCAATTTGTTCACTACAACTTTTTTGATATTTTGATTCGCATTCAGAATATCTAACAACCATACCTAAACTTGGGTTCCATCCAGTTTGTGTTTCTTCATTCCAAGGATATATTTCTGAACAATGAAGGCCTTTACCTGAATTAAGCATAATTACTCTTCTTACTTCAATTTTCTTACCATTATTTATTGATGCATCACATTCTGTTGTGCAATCAATTAATTTTTCCCATATCCCCAATTGACAGCTTATATTACATTTATTTGTAGCACATTCCCTACTCTGATATACTCCACCACAAAATTCCTCATTTTTACCTGAAAGTAAAGATCGTCTCCATATTTCTATTCCACCATTACATGTAGAACTGCATCCAGTCTCTCTTCTCCAGGGACTCCACTGACACTCTGCTTTTTGTAATAATCTTGAATTCTCAAATACTTTAGTTATGTAGTGACCACTTGAAAATCTTATTTTAGCTAACCACCAAAAGTTTTTGGGATCATTATAAACTTTATGGGTTTCAGCTGGTGTCCTCACTTTTAATATAAACATATGTGTACCAGGGGCTGAAATAGGTGTTTCTGTTTCAGTTTGTATAACAAAGTAGAGTAGATTATTTGCAGTGACAGTAATACATTTAATTCTTATTTCTTCGTTTTTTTTTATATTACTGAAATCCTTCATAAATCCAACACTTCGACATACTCTTTTTCCTAGAGGTAATGTATATAATGGAGGAGTTGATATAATGAAATAATCTATATTGTGTCCTTCAAAAATGGAAAGTGGTAAAGATATTGTGATGAGAACTTCTATATCTGAATCAATATGTCTATCATTTTCTTCTACCTTAAAGGTTATCATTTGACCCAGTTTATTATTAAAAAATTTCTTTCCTGATTTATCAGGATTAGTACTTGATATTGACTGTAACTTTGTAGTTATTTCATTTAATGTTATTGAGTTATCAAATATGTTATTAGCCTCAAATTGTTTACTCAACTCATCTTCATACCCTAGTTTATTCATAACAATTTCATTATCTTGAAGAGATTGTATCACAGAATGATCATCAAAATTTACTATACTTTGTAGACCACTAGGGTTATTATCTTCAAATCCTATCCAATCGTTGTTAATAGTACTTTCAGAGCATACATATATTCTAAGCCACACAAATAACAAAATGGAATGTGAGAATATTATAATATTAGAAATCTTAGAAATAAAATTGTTCATTATTTTGTTTGCTCTAAGAATTTCCATGCAGTTTCATGATGTATAGTGGAGCCAATTAAAATGTGTGCATCGGGCGCTATAAATTCATATTAGCTTTATAGACTAGTTTGAGTTATTATTGATATTAAATATTATTGATTAAAGATCTTTTCTGGATATCTCATCATCTATTTAAACTTTTATTTATGATATGATATATATTTAATGATATCTTTTAAATAGATTTTAATATGTCTTCATCATATATTTGATATATAACTTATAAAATACCTTAAGTGAACTTTAACCTAAATATCCCATTTTTTAAATGATTTTTTAGAGTACTTTTAAATAATATATATTTAAATTAATAATATAATATCTCAAAATATAATTGGAAATTTCTTGCACGTAAAGTATGCCGGCACTAACTGCATGCATGCAATATTTCATTTATCAAGATGTTGAAATACTTCTATTATTTTTAAGTACCAGTAAAACAATAATATTCATAAATCTTCATTTTACTTTTAATAAAAATAAACTACAGAGAATATTTATATATTGAACTCTTTAATACTGTATATACCATTTTATAAAAGTTCCAGCTTTACTTGTAAAATATTAATAGTTTTGTCATATTAAAACTATAAAGGACATTATTAGATAAAATAATACACTACTGTAATTCATTAATTAAGGGATATAATGAACAAAATCTTGTTAATAGCCATTAAGAAGAGTTAATAATATTGTGGTTAATAAGTTCACTGTTATAAATTGAGGTATTTGGAGGGAAATGGGGGGAGGGGAATTAAGATATTTAGCAATAGGAATATGGAAACCATACACATAAATAAAAATGCTCAAAGTATAAATAATATCTATTTTATTGATACTAGTACGAAGATGTGTTAATATGGTTAATATATTGAAAATTTATCTATATCACTATACAATCAAATGAACTTTTTTTATATAACACATAAAGACATAAGAATAACTGTGGAAGATTTTAGGAATGTGAATTATTCAAATTACTAAAAGGTACTTTTTTCCGAGTAGTAAAATATCAAACTTGCGGTAATTATTTCTAAGTCTTGAAGAATGATACAATTGTCAGAGCGGGGACTAAAGGCGGGAAATAACAAATTTTCTCTCTCCCGAAGGCTTGACTACGCTAATCACGGTTATCTTTGGATAATTCAATTTTGGGTTTTAAAATTTTTATCCTAAATAGAGTAAATTGACGGTAAAATTGATACTTCTATGAAAAGGACTGCAGTAATAAATGGTAGCAACTTGAGTCCATCGACAAAGAAGGTCATAATACACGAACTAAACAATTTACCTTTGAATCGTCGCGTCTATAAATGCTATTCCAAGATTTTTTTTCTTTCTGATAGAGACTCAATTAAAAAGGAATTACTTTAATAATTGAGTTAGGATTTTATCTGTTTGAATTACACGAATTTTTGATATATAAGACATAGGTTTCTGTACATTTGATCAGAAATACACGGGGAAAATATGAACAAAGGTACAAAGAAACAAAAAGGTCATACAAAAGTGAGGAACCACTATGGAAAGATGGCAATTGACCAAACGTTATTGGTATCAATAACAAAAAATGTTGCTACCAAAGAGAGAGAATACTTGGACTCAGTAGAAGCATATATTTCAAGGATGGAGGATAATCCAGCATTTCATTCATGCAGTAAAGGCTTAGCATATTTACTGTTGCAGTGGAATGCAAATTATCCAACAGATTCATTTATATATAGGCTATATCAGAATCCATATTCTGTTCTATTCTTGTATAATTTAATACCATCTTTATTTCCTTTAACAAAGAATGAAGGAACAAGTACTCCATCTAAGAGTGAAATATTGATGTTTGTCATTCAGAATTTATGTAGGTCATTACTACGCCACAGTTCTGCTATTTTATCCTCTAATGACCAAATGGAAATTACGTTGACAAGAACAAGTATGGAATTGACGCAATTTATGCAGATTTGTATATCAGATCATGAAGATATCATTGTATTGATGAGTTTATGTACGTGTATCTTATTTTTAATGTGTGATAATCCATTGCAGTATTTCCATAATATTGTATCTTCAATTGAGTGTATATGCAAGAGCCTCAATAATTATGGTCCTCAACCATTTATTTTTCATAGAGAAGATATTCCAGCAAGAGTATTATTGTTTACAAGTGACTCTGCTCTACCTTATCCATTTAATAACAAATACGAACTTGGTAATTTCGTTATATATCTGAGATATCTTGCAAACTTGGCTGATATCTATACAACTTCAAGTGAAAAGACGCTACTTTTATCACCTAGCAGAAGAACAATCTTGGAAAATATTGTTCAAGTTATATATCCATCCGTCAAGGACTCAATTGAAGTTATAATAAAGTACTCATGCATGCCATATAAATTTAAGAATAGTACAGTAGAAGAGACATCTTTGCTTCACTGCAACTTCTTCCCTCCTTTTTTAGCAGATTTCATAGCACCAATAGCAGTAGATTTGTATTTGCTTTGGTTAAATGTAATCCAGGATATCATGTATAAGATGGAAATGGACTCTACAAATAAATTATTGGTCGTAGAATCAATGGAAACAATAGATTTATGCTTTACTCCTTTACTACGACCACAAATAAGTAACCAAGTAGCACAAAGTCTGATGAACTACTTGGTTCATTTTAATCCTCAAGCATCTTCAAATAAAGGTTATGTGGCTTCGCAATTGTTGATTGCAAAGAATCAACTGGCTGCTTCGCTTGTTGTCTCTCATTCACTTATAGAGTCAACAACATTTTTGTCAAAACTCGCATACAGCTTTGATTCTAATTTAGATATATTATCTTTATCAGATTCCAATTGGCTGCGTGTTTTATCATCGTTTTGTCAGGCGTTTTCTACTTGTATAGCTCCTTTTTTAATATTGCTTGAATTACTGCGACTCCCTTCTCAAAGAAGATTTCCACTACAGATGGATAGTATTGGATATTTATCTAATGAAAGAACAGAGTTAGCAAGAAGTTGTGCATTCCAATTGGTGGAGCTAACTTGCGTTACAATGGATAAGGCATCGTCATCTTTAAAAAGACCACAAAAATCATCAAATGTGACTTCACCAACTACCCAAGATCAGTCAGTGATGTTAACAGTTAGTGCTTCAAATCAGCGACGTGGGGCAGCACCTCAAATAAGTACATCGTCATTAGGAGAAGTATCAGGTCCTATTAGTTCCTTAGATAAGCAAACATGGACCACTTTCTCAAATCTCCTTCTTTGTTATAGGAGACACCTTCAACAGTTATTGAATTGTCTTTTTGCTTTAATATTAACAGGCTCTAAGGAGCATATCTTGGTATCTCTTAGTGCTTGGGAAAGTATTGGGTGTGCACTACGCTTAACAGCTTCATGTTTACCTAAGGCTCACATGTTCCTGATGTTTATTGCAGGGAATCAATGGTCTAACATAATGGAATCTCCAAAATATGAAAAGGTTGATGAGGAGTTACAAAGAAGCTATATTTTTAAGTTACCAGATATTGGTAGTGTTGGTTTAATTAATACATTAAGATATGTTGTGTGGTCTGTTGTAGACCTAGGAAAGTATCCAGAGCAGCTATATTTAAATGATAGTAACTCAGATCACTTACTACTTTTAATGCTACAGAAGAAGCACCAACACTTAAGAATTAGGGAGAGTGTACGTGATGCATTAAGAAATATGATATACTTTCCTCACTATTATTCCCGTATTGAAAATATGGTAAATGTTAAGATAGATAATGATAGTCCGCTTTCTGATATGGATATTCCATTACCATTGTATTCGTTTCAATTATTTTTAAAGGATGTATTCCTTCGATTAAATGGTTATTATTTGTATTATTGTCATGATGACAAAATTCTAAAGTTAAAAAAGACTGACAACTTGTCTTTTAGCGATATCCAATTAGTTGTTAATTTAGAAGCGATTTTACATGCCTTTAGTGCAGTTTTAAAACGTGGATTCAGTTCATACAAATCTGATGATAAATATGATGAAGATTCCGACAAAATAGCAGATAGTTGCGAAGATCACTTGAAAAAAACTATGAATGAGACTTTAGAGGTATTGTTAAAGGATGAGGAAAGATCTATTGAACAGTCAATGAATGGTTCAATACCTAGATCACTTCCAATACTCTCTGAGAATACCTTTATAAAGCAATTGTTTGACGCAAATTTGTATCGTATATTTGAGATACTTCATGAAATGGAAAGTGATTTGGACCATAAAATATCTAGCTCAACAAATAAGGAGCAAGGAAACAAAGATAGCTTTTATAGGCAACTACTATGTACATTGATAACTCTGATGGGGGTTAGCTCAATGTGGTTTAATAGGAAACCCAAATTATTTTTTTTGAAGTGCTTTAAATTTGTATTTAAGTCATTGTGTCTACCACAAGAGGATTTGTTATATCCATTGGCTTTGGAACAAGATCATGTAGGGGCTGTAGCTCTTTTAAAGCTATCATATCATAGGCGATGTTGCAATTCTGATATATTAAACTTCATGATTTCAAATAGCCTAGATCTATTTTACAAGTTGTTTTCTACCGAAACTGCTAGTATAAATACCCCTACTATGACATTGGAGAGTTATTTGATTGTCTTGGCATCACTGGGTATTGGAATTTCTCACTTTTTACTAGCTAAGGATGTACCTGAAGACAACTATATGAGCAAGGATTCTATTGATGCAAATAATTCTACTGGAGAAATTCACAGTGAATTGTGCTTATATGAGTGGAAGATGTATGTTCAGGTTACATTGGAAAAGTACTCTGTAATGTATGATAATATTATTGAATTTCTACAAGTGAGGATTTCAAATCAAATATGCACTCAATGTGGACATTATAAAGTCCCTAACTATTTGAATGGTCAACACGATATTCTAGTTTTATTATACCTACTACTCCATGGTCTTGAAGTCTTAATTTCATCAATTTTTCCATCGAAATTGCGTCCATATAGTTATGCAATGCTGACAATAGGTGCTGACAAGTTTGATCATAATAATATTTTAGACTATTGTCAAAAATCACATTTACACAGTGCTCCTTGTGGCAATGAGATATGGAATGAGTCTTCAAATTACATAACAAAGATATTTTTAGAAAAATTCTACCCCAAAATTAGAATTATTATCCATCAAATAGTGAAAATATCTCCAAATTGGTTTTCACTTTTGTATCATCCATATTCATCACTCTTATCCTGTGTTATACAACTTCCAAGGTTATATAGTAACCAGAGACAACAAATTGCTGACTTATTTAATATTGTTGGTTATGATGAATTCAAATTTTTATCTAATGATGTATCTATTGAGTGCTTCTTAAGTAACTGTAGATGTGCAAATGGGACACATTTAACTCACCTCCAAAATAATTTCGGTATTGGTGGTAGTATCATAATTAATAAGAGAGCCGGAGTTAATTCAAATATTTCGTCAATGTATCAAATACTCTTAGAGTCTATAACGTCTCCTCCAGTATCAAATTCAATGCTTAAATCTCCTACCACTTGTTTGAGATGCAATGCAGCTTCTCTTAATCATAATATTGGAGGACTTGTAGGAGGTGGTTTAGTTCATGGAATAAAAAATATTTCTGATAGTTGCTCTACATCAATTTCTGATAGTAGTGCTTGTATATGTAACTTATTTCCATGTCTTATATTACCAATTTCAGTAATGATGGTTCGATTAACATTTATTGAACCGGTGAACAATTTATTGTATATTAAACCAGTGCTATCATGTATAAATTCTCTGGGGACCTTCTCAGTACCTCCTATTATGAGATGTTTAATTTATTATGGAGCAGGCCATAGCAGCAATGTGGCTATGAAGAATAACAATGTCTCTGGAGTGATGAATTTTGGTTTTGGAAGTAGTGGTTACAACTATGATCGCCATTATTTAACATCTATTCAACCTATATCTTCAGCATATTCTGAATTAGATAAATTAGTTAGATTTTGTCAAGGTTTTGTGAAGACAATTAACCAAGACAGTTACTATAATTCTATACAAAAAAACAAGTTCCAATGTAATCATTGTTGTTCTTTTGAATATCACGATGGGTTATGCTTGATATTATTGTTATATCTTCAGCACATACACAATTATTTTGTAGCTTCATCTTCAAGTAAAGACCTATCAGATATTACAAAGTCTTCTGCTCGACTTGGATATTTACCATTTATAGACAACGGGATTCCAATCTTGGAGCTTGAAGTATTTATTGAGTATTTGATAGCCAGATGCGTTACAACACTAGTTATTGGTATTGGACAACAACAACAAAGTACTGAGAATGTTTGTAAGACAAATACGTTATCTTCTTCATCTGCAATTACTTCGAGAGCAACTACTGCCTCTTCGACTACAATGACAAAGTCAGTTGTTTCAACTCAACCTACAAACCTTTTATCCCTTTCATTTAACTCAGTAAATAATGGGGGGATGGTTGCAGGGACACAAACAATATCTTCGGCAACTTCAGCTGAAAGTGTAGCAACAATTAGAGTTGTAACAAATCAACGCTGGGTTGTTGTGACATTAAGATATTTATTTGGAGAATTCTATTCTCTATCAAAAGTTAATTCAGTAATATTAGAGCGAATATTATTATGCTCTGTATGGGGAACTGAATTATTAGTCACTATATTCACTATTATGATGGACCCAAATAGCAGTTCAGAATCATTTTCAGTAATTACAGATATTCTATTTTTAATTCGACAGATATTAGATGTAAATAGTTTTAAGCAATTACTGGAGATGACATTGAAGAGAATACCAGTTAGGTATTTTCTACTTTCATATTTCATTTCACCCTTATATCCATACTTGTATTTTCCATCCTTATTGAAATCATCAAATATTTACAACCAACATCAGTCTCAGCAAATATCTTCACCAATAATACAAACTATTTCAGCAACTTATGCCAACAACAGAGCTAGAGGAGTGATCTCACATAATGATGGACTGAGAATTTGCGTAAATGGGCGTAATAGTAGTAACAATTCTGGCATTAGCTTTTCTAATAATTCTTGCAACAATATGGTAGATTCTAGTTCACCAGTTGCACAATCTATCAAAAAGTCAATTCATTACATAGTAGAAAGTAGTTTTTGGGAAATAGATGCAAGCTGTACCAGAATCAGTGAAGGAAGTGATGTACAATTACCACCTAATATTACAATACCACCATTATCACCAGTTATGAAACATTTCATTCAACTATTATGTGCAGTACCTGTTACTCAATCAAGTAAAGCAAAATTCAGACAAGTATTGAAGGAATACTGCATTAGACCAACAGTCAAATGAAATAATTAATTGAATGATAAGATTTAAGTTTGGGAAGTCATATAGAAGTAAACATTCTAATTTTTACTCATTTACCATTATGTTTATTTTGTCTGGGGATATGTGAAAATTTAACTGTGCTCCGAAATTTAATATAAAGTAGTGAGATATATGCAATTATGGGAACTTAACAAGTGATTATTATACATTTCAAAAGATTCTCATAAACTTGGTATATAGTTGTGTTGTATAGAAATGTAAATTGTGAAGTGAATATGGAATAATTAACTTATTCTCATGTAAGGTAACTCATAAGCGATACGCTACATTACTAGAGAAATTTATGGACTTCATAATTACTAAGTGAGATTTTAGTATTTTGGTGTTTAGCTTTGGATAATCAATATTAGAGTGGAATGAGAATAAGATAAACTTTGTTAGAAATATAATTAATTAAGAGATTGGAGAAATAAGAAGTAGAGAAGAGTAAAAAAGAAAAAAAAAAAAAAAAAAAAAGAAAAAAAAAAAAAAAAAAGAGAAATAAAATAAAATAAAGAAATAAAAAAGGGAAAAGGAAGAAAGTAAATCTACCAGATAGAAATACAATCTAAAAACTCCAAGGATGGCGCTGTCGACATCTGTGTCTCATGACAATTTGAGTGTGATCCCCTTCTTCTAAGTGTAATCTTGGAATGACGTTTAAAGTTGAGCTTTTTTTTCAATTTATGGATATATGATGCACTTAGTGAGAATAGGAGGTGGAGATATTAATTATTTTTTTATATATAAAGAGAAGGAGTGGGCAATATAGATTATTATTGTTAATTAGGCGCTAGATAAGACTAAAAGTGGCTCCTTAGTTCATTGATTACTCTTTATTTTATAAAAGGATAATAATAAACTATTAAATATTGTCTGATATGGAAAAAAACTATGCGAAGTGTGACATCCTTATTTATATTCCGAATTTAATAGGTTAGAAAGAGGAGAATTCTGTATAGTGGGAATTTGTTAAATTTTACCTCTGTTTCTCTAGGATATACAAGGATACTTCTGGGACTCTCACCAGTCTTCTTACCATGCAGATATTTTTATTTGTCTATAGTGTGCTACTGTATAAGCCAGCTTATGGATGCATTGGATGGCCACTATGCTAGATTGTACAACCAATCTACTAAATTTGGTGCTATGCTAGACATGATGACAGATAGATGCTGCACTCTAGCATTGATATTAACATGTTTAACACTAAGATCTAGTTTATACTATTTGACTGTGATATATCTGATTGGAGACATAGCAGGTCATTGGTTATATATGATGGCAAGTCACATGTATGGGAAAGCATCTCACAAAGACAACTCGAAAGATATGTGGTTTGTATTAAATATGTATTATTCAAACAAAATAATTTTATTTGCGTCTCATGGATGTAATGAACTATTTTGGTTGCTTATGTATCTACAAGGTTGCATTATTTCTAAGGTAAGGAGATTAATTTACAAGGACATTCTTTTTGTAACTTTTTAAAAGTATACTCAGTTGTAAGTCATTTTACGACTTCTAAATATATATACATATTAGGAAGTTAGTTTCATCTTTCTTAATATTTATATATAGCAAACTGTAGATACTAACAATTATAAGTGTTTGCGGGAAATAAGGAGTAAAGGGATTAAAGGATAAGTGGATAGAATAGATTTGAATATGTATAGATATGTTGATATTGAGCTTTGAAATTTCTGTATTTTCTGACCACTTTCTCTGTATGAACTGTTTTCTACTAATATTGGTTATATAAAATTACTCAAATTAACTCTGGGCTAACTATCAAGAAATTGAAGCTATTACATTATATAAGTGTGTATTACATATTGCAAAGCTCCTGATAATTGTACTATATATAGTTATATATACTATTCTATCTCTGACCTTCCTCCCATACAACTTCTTCCTGGTTCGTGGTCTTTTTTCTTTTTTTCTGAATAATTAACTTGGTGAATTTGGATATTTTTATTATTTTAGAATATACATCAAAATATCTTGTGGTATACTCAAATTTTTACATTTTTTGTCCTCCCACTAACAATATTCAAGAATATTACGAATTATGTTCAGCTTCTGTACGGTTGCAAACTACTATTGGAAATGGATATATCTGAAATTAATAAGCAATTTAAGTAATTTATTTATGTGTAAATAGTCATGTATGATAAAGTGAACGTCTGTTAGACTGAGAACTTGTGGAATGGCACCTTTTTTTTTTGTATTTAGGTAGTACTAACAATACAAAATTATAAGTGAGAAGTGCACTTTTAATAAGGAAATTTCGTTTAATAAAGTTATCTTTTTTTCCTATCATTAGAATTTTAGTAAATTATTTAGTTTATTCTTAATAAGTTCGGGGGGAGCTATGTACATATGATTTTCTTTCGTACTTAATATCTTTTTGAAAATTAGTCCCTAAGTTCGATTTTTTTCTACAGTGTGGATAATTGTGACGTCTTCTACAATGTTTACCAAAGGTATGTATTCATCATCAACAGCTATTTCAACTTTTTCATTAGATCCAAGTAAAACAGGAGTATTATGGGTTTGAAATCCGGTAATCTTCCTGGGGTTTCCAGCTTGTGCTACAGTATCTACAGCCTGTCCAACTCTTACAAGAACATGTATAGGTTCTAATTGTTCATTAAGCGTGATTGCCATCCTAGGAAGAGCTGCAGGGATAATATTAAGGATCAAGTAGTGATAGTTGCCAAAGAGCATAGTTTTAGATTTGAGACCCAAGTGAAGAATTGATATCATTGAAGCTAGACTAATTGGGTTGAAAATAAATCTATCATTATACAAGGGATTTATTGTAACAAGACCTTTTCCCATATATAAAAGCCCTTGAGCTATTCTAACTGCATATAAAGCATTTGAATCTTTACTGTAATAAGATGCTAGTTGTCTCAATAAATTTGCAGCACGTGCATTGTTAGTTCCAGCTGCTATGAGCCCCAGAGCAAAGATGGCATTCAATGCAACATCCGAGTCACCATCATGAGTTAATTTGGATACAGTATCAATAACAATAGGCTTCGGATTTCCAATAGAAAGAGTAGCAAGTGCAATTGGGATTGCTCGTCTAACTATAATGGATGAGTACTGTAGAATATTATCAAATATTCTGTGTGCCATTTCGCATCCTACATCTTCGCACATACATATTAAAGCAATATTCAAGACTGATACTAGAGCTACTAAATTGCTATCTTCATCTAAATCTTCATCTGTATCATCTAATTGTTGATCTTTGTTAGTTTTTTGTTGAGCAAGTGTTCTAAGAAGATATTGAACTTGAAGAACATCACCAGAGCCTGTGTATGCACATCCAATAACTGTCTGTTCGCAATAAGAGCCTATATGATGTGTTACGGTTTTTAGAGCTTCAAGAGTAGGATCAATAATCTCCCTTTTACATAAAAATAATAATCCCAAGCAAATACCATACAAAATAGCTAATGGGTCATCTAAAAGTGCTGTATTTTCAGAGTTACCTTCAGATTCTTTGGATTGTTCTTGGCTACTAAGAGTTATGAGCACATCTAATACAGCTTCAACAACAGATTGATTTGCTGTACCTACAAATACAAATCCCAAAGATAAGGCAGCAATAGCTGAACATTCGAAACTAGAATATGGATCCATAAGAACAGGTATGAGGAGTTCCAATATATCTACTCTAGCAGTCCCAATATAAGAGTAACCTAGTCCAAGCACAGCTCCCATCTTAACAGTATAATTGGGAGAATTAGATCTAATTACTTCACTTTGTGTATCAGCCATTAGTTCTGCTGTCCCATCTCCAGGTTCTACATGTTCTGACAATAAAGCTAAAGCCGGATCACAATCGTTTTGAATTCTAGTAGACATCAAGCCAAAAGCTATTAGAGCTCCTGCTTTAGTAAACCCTTCATTACTCCATTGATATTTATCAATATTAGCTAATCCTTGATCGATATCCCACAGATATATTGCTCCTAGTGAAGCACTAACAGCTAATGTTCCGGAATCTTTATTTTTATATAACCAGGTAGAATCTTCTACAGTCAAAAGTTTGTCTGAACCAAAACCCAAATTTACTAGAGCATTGACATATGTAGAAGCTAAATTTTGCTTTGCAGTATCAATTACGACCATAGACCTGCTGGAATTCTTGTTTCTCTCTTCTAGGTGTGTTTTATATACATCATCAGGACTTTTTGCCTCTAAAACATCTAATTCCTTTCCTAGATAGCGATAATGCTTGGATAATAATTCATTAGACAGTATCTGCTGAATTATGTCTAGTTCTTGATCTGAAAATTGAGCTTTAGAATTAAGACAAGATATTATCTTCTCTAGTGAAACCGGACTTCCAAAGCGAGCAAGTTGAAATGAAATTTGCTTTACAATACTTGCCAATGGTACTTCATTCTCTAATATAGCCCCTGAGTCTGACATTGATTTTTTATGTATAATAAGGTCCTGTAAGACGCGTAGAATACGTGAAGTACTCTCATCACGTTCTTCATTGATCTTAAAGGCCATTCTAATTGCACTTGTGTACTTTTTAAACTTAAGTAGAATCTCAAAGCAAAGTACTAAATACATTTGACATTCCGAATTAGAAGCAGAATATAGCGATAATTGTTGTAAATACAGAACTATACGTTCTACTTGCTCATCATTCATATCTTGTAGATATTCTAGCAATGTCTCTATTTGTTCAACTTCACATAATAGATCAATGGCCTCAATTTCTCCATGTTTACTAATTTGATAGGGAACAATAGTTTTCACTAAAGATAGTAAATCATCAACATTAGTGTTATTATTTGATATTCTCTCATTATATTCGAGTCCTATTTCACCTCCTAAATTCCGCATATATTCTTGACCCCAATTTTGCAAATTATCAAAGCGATTTGATAATAAACGAAACTTAAGCGCATTCCGTTCTTTAATATCACCCAATGTTGTACATAGTATCGATAAAATTTCAGCCAGTAAACTTAAACATATAGCACTATGTGATGGAGTTTTAAAGGTATTCTTCTCATAATGGTCTCTCAAGGATTCAAAATGTGTTCCTAACAATTTCAAAGCTTTAGGAACTGATGTCATACTACTAGTAGAATTCTGAATAGCCTTAGCTAAATCACCCAAATTAGCTTCCTCATCGATTTCACTTAATATATGAGCAACATATCCATCAATCTCTTCCTTTAAGGCCACATATTCTTCAGTCATATCCATATCCTCTGGTTGAGCAGAATCTCCACTTTTCTGAAGTTCCAAATTCTTATCCTTCATTATTACAGCAGGGGTATTTCTATCATTTGTAGATGTCATTTCTTATTTGACAATAAATTCTAGTTTCCGATTTTCTACAAGTAGGTCTGGTTGAGCTAAAAAAAAACTCAAATTTTGCACTTTACAATGCTTGCAGTGGGTTAATTACTCCCAATTCAGTAACTTATAACCTCCAAAACTTTGTATTAAAAGTTTTCTTGTGTGTTCACAATTGTATCTAGCACTTTTTACTTCTCTTGAATAACCAGGCTACAGCAGAATCGTAAAAATACCACTCATATTAGCGCCATAATTATTTAGGCGCTACTAATATGGCACTCTTTCTTACCACAAATTAAACTCCATTAACAAATTCTTTGAAAATGGAAGAAGTTGTAGTACCAAGAAGCTTTAGACTATTGGATGAGCTAGAACGTGGACAAAAAGGACAAGCTTCAGATGGTGTTTCTTGGGGTTTGGATAATCCAGATGATATTACTCTTGGGACATGGGCTTGTACAATATTTGGACCTCCTAACGTAAGTAATTTATCTCCTATATACTTAACCTTATATAACTGTTGTATTTATGTTTATCTAAAATTATTTCAGACTACTTTTGAAAATAGGATATACTCACTTACAATAGAATGTGGGCCTAATTATCCTAATGAAGCTCCACAAGTGAAATTCAATACTAAAATAGCTTTAAACTGTGTAGATAGCAGGGGTATAGTATCTCCAAATTTTCCAATATTAAAACAATGGCAACGTAATTTCTTTATTGAGAATGTACTTATTGCACTCAGACACGAAATGGCATCAAATGCAAACAGAAGATTAGCTCAACCTTTAGAAGGAACTTGCTATAATGATCTATAAAATATAGCAATCAATATTATAAAAATAGGAAAGTCTAATGGCTACTTTTGTATATTACAAAGGTACGATATTAAATATTTAATTTATCAAATCATAAGTTGAAAAAGTGCTATTATTTTAAAAAACAGTAATTACATTTCAAATTATCCTAAGTCCTTAATATTTAAGGAATCAACAGGTATACCTATGGAATTATATTCTATATCACTTGATGCCTTTAAATATTCTACAATATCTTTTATTGCATATTGTCTACATTCTTCCAAAATCTGGTGTTTGCATTCTCTATATATGCACATCCTACTCTTCGGAGTGATTCTCTGAATTTCTGGTAATAAATTACTCAAAGGTGTCACCTCATCATGTAGTCCTAGGAAGAAACAAATGCCTGTATGACCTCTAATAGCAATATAATTGTCACGCAAGTCTGAATAAACCTGATGGTTACTCCACAAATTGAACCCTCTTGCTACACGTAAACTCGTCATTCTCAATTGTTTACTATAACAACATCCCCTAAAATATCGACGTTCTATTATTTTTTGATCTAATTTATCAGGATTATAATAGTCGCGAATGTATCTTTCTTTCTTAATAAACCAATGTAGTGGGAAAATATAGTAGATACATTGTGCAAGTAATGGAATATAGTTTAAAGCAAAATGATGAAATATAGATAGTCTTGCACAGAAGCCTGCAGGACATATTGCAGACACCTTTAGGACACGATCTGGTTTGTGAGCAGCATAATATATGGCTATTAAACCTCCTAGAGATGTGCCAACTAAATATAGTGGAATATTAGACATATTGAGACTTTCTAGCAAGGTATCAATCTGGTCTATACAATCTTGAGGAGTCAAGTTACCAAAGCAATACCATGATGATAAACCATGACCTGGTAAGTCAAAACGTAATACTGGCAGATTTACTGCATTTATAAATTCTACAAGTTCTTTATAATATGACATTGAATTGCCAAGACCATGTATGCAAACTACTAGTGGACTTCCAATCATTGAAGTAGCTGGCTTTGATAATGAATAATTTATACGTCCTAGTGGCCCCTGTATAAATGTCCCAGATTCATACTTCTCCATCTTATATCTATAAATGGAATTAATTTGTAGAAAATTAAGAAGATTAATAGAAGTGTATGAGGGGGGGGGTTAAACTAGAAAGTGTTACATACATTGACTCTTCATCTACTAAGCGCTATAGGCGCTACACACTTCAAGAGTCTATAGCTCAGTAATACAAAAATTTACAAAGTCAGAACCTTTTGTGCAATTACTACTACATATTCAATATATTTAATTATATTTTTATCTATTAAATTAGGTAAAGATATCTTTTTTTTCCATCTTTTAAGTTTTTATAATTTTTTTTAACCGCTTTCTATTTAGCGCCAAAGTACCTGTTACACTATTGTTCTAGATTAATATTCTTATAACTTATTCTTGAGAAAGTATGTCAAGGAAATTTTTACATCTGGCATTAGCTTATATTTTTGCATATTTAGGGACTGTAACTGTTTTCTGTGATGATATACCAGCTGACTTTTACTATGAAAAGAGATCAGAAATAACACTTTCTCAAGGTACTGTTAACTACCAATTACACGAAAATTCTACAGATGGTATAGTCACAGTTTGTCTGCATTGTTATATTGGTACTTTATCTGACTGTTCATATATTTCTAAGTATCTTAGCAGTGAGGGATTTAGAGCACTTAGATTTGACTTTTATGGCCATGGATTGAGTAATTATAAAGGGTTTGGTTATTATACTGAATATGATTATGTTGAACAGATCGTGGAAATATTACAAAGACTTGGTTTAGCAGATATTAAGAATAACCCAAATGATAAAATAAATCTTATTGGTACATCTCTTGGTGCTTTGATAGCAATGAATTTTGCAATAATGTACCCAGAAAATGTGAAGACCCTTATATTAGATGCTCCTCCTGGTTTGAGAACAAAAGTTTTTGCCCCATATTTGCGTTATAAAATTGTGAATTATCCACTGCAATTAATAGCTAATATATTTAAACCTAAATGGGCTGCATATCAATTTTTAAATCCACCAACAGAGAACTATATTAGTCCCAAACTTGATTTTCGTGCAACATATTATGGTCGCCAAATTATTCTTACATCTCTCCAAGTACTACTTGGTATAGATTTATGGTATAATGTTGAGTTATTTGAAAAGTTAGGACAAACTGATATAGATGTACTTTTCTTTTGGGGAACTGAAGATCGTTTATGTCCATTATCTGATGCTATTGTAACTTTAAACAAATACTTAGCAGATTCAAAGATTTTATTATATGAGAATTGTAAGCATAGATGTATGAAATACTGCAAAGTGAAGTTTGCTAATGATGTATTATCTTATCTGAAGGATTTGGACTTAGAATTTTACACTATAAATCAATTAATGACTAATTTCGCAAATACAGGGTCATTAAGAATAAATAAGTCAAACATACGAGGAATTTTAGAATCATCAAAGCAAGATGATTGTAATGAACCTGAAAATTTCGTGCAACTTTTGTCAGAAGATTATTCAACATCAGGAGATTCAGAGAATAAGAGTATAAAAGAAGAATCAGTAATTTCAAGTAATTCGAATAATGTAACCGAGTTAACATGCAAATTAATAGATGAGGATAATAGAAGTAATCAGAAGAATTCATTTGGCAAGATCTAAATAATTTGCAGAATTGTGTTTAAATTAATCATAATATTGGTTCATATTACTTTTGAATATGGTGATTATTATCATTATAATACTTATAAGTGAATCTAATAAAATTACAATGGTTGTGCTGTATATGATTTTAAATGAGTCAATTATATATTACTTTTATCTATTGATATCTTTAGTTAGGAATATTTAATAGAGATGATGTTTCACTTTACATTTCTATAAAATAAATTCTTATTTTTTTTTCGATCTAGAGTGATTTCTAGTTGCAGATTTCTTAGGTATAGAATTTCCGGCAGCTTTACGAACTTTAACTAATGATCCTATCTGATTTTGTTTATCTACTTCTCCACTATTTAATTCGTCTGTATTATCTTCCAGACTTTTGTCATTTTCACTATCAGATAATTCATATTTATTTATCTTAGGTAATGATACCTTGACAGCATGTATAGTTGAATTAATTACACGAGTCATTGCCGACTTTGTCTTACTATCTATCTTATCATATAATTTATCTTGTTGTTTAAGCATTAAAGAAGTAATATGCTCAGTAAAGTGATCTCTATTTAAGCCATATTTCATCATTATATCTAAACTCTTTTCAATATTATCCTTAAAATCTCCACTTTTGTTTAGTAATGGCATTATTGCTTTATGATATAGACAATCTAAGTATCCACTTAATTTCATTCCCTGACTACTTGGACATGTTCCTTTTGTTCCTACAGTTAAATATGCTAATAATTCACTTAACAATCTTCTATTTTTATTCCTTGTTGAGTTTTTGCCTAACCACTTTGGAAATTCTGGTCTAGCCAAAAATGATCCTTGAAACTGGGGTCCAGATGGTATTACAGCACAATTAATTGCTATTTCTGATAATAAGCTCCAATCATTATTTGATCTCAATTTAGAATTGTATATATCAGCTTCTGCAAATAGATTAGCAATTTGGCTGATAGCATCTATATTTTTATAAGAAATATTTCCTTTACTTTGTGCTGAAATATAGTAACTAGATTGACTTGAAAATGCTGTTATATAATTTTCTTGTATGAATAGTGGGATTAAATCAAAGTCAATAAAGAACACTTCAATTCTATCACTTATTGATAAACGATGAGCATCACTTGCAGTTAAGAGTTTTTTAGTTGCTGAAAATATATCCAAGGTTACTTGGGAATCCTTAACTGGTTTAGATATCTCATTTTTCATGTCAATAAATCTTAGTGTAGACTTACTTAGTCTCATTAACTGTAATTCATTTAATATCTGACGCAAATCATTACCAACAGATTCACATAGTAAGTCAATAGCATTTGCCTCAATATTTAATCCTTCTTTAGATGAAATTTCTTGTATTCTCTTTATTATCTGAGATTTCAATGGACGTGAAAAGCGTAGATCATAACATTTTGATGCTAAATTACGAACTTTTTCATTTTGGCGATCATTACAGAGACATATTATTGGCCATTTAGTCTTTAATATGAGTTTCCCTAATGCAGCAGTACCCCCACGATCACTTCCTCCCAATCCATCTACTTCATCCATAATTAAGACAATATTTGAATTTAAATTTTCTGAATATTTAGAATTAAATTTATTAATATTTCCATGTGCAAAATCTGTCAGTGTATACCCACCAATAGCACTTTCAGCTAAGTCTTCAATTACACTTTTTGTTCTATCATCACTTGCATTCATTTCAATAGCTATATAACCACATTCTTTAGCTACTAAATTTGCCGTAGTAGTTTTACCAATACCTGGTGGGCCACTTAGTAAAACGGCACGTGCATTAATATTCTCAATTTGAGGAAATCTTGAACCTGGTGAAAAAGTAGCTTTTGGTGGATTCTTTTTCTTTCCTTCAATAATTACAGATCTCCAATCATTTAACCAAGTGACTAATTTTCTAATAACTTCACTATTACCTAATATTTCATCTATATTAGATGGCTTATACTTGTCTGTCCAAAGTTTATCCTCACTTTTATAATCCTTTAAATTTTCTATAGTTTGACTCATATTAAGCTTCTCTTTATCCTCTCTAGTAATTTTAGAACTATCAATTGGAAACATATTTATAAATTCATCTTCAGAGAGAATTTGTATATTTTTAGAGATAGCACTTTTATATTTTGAGCCTTCAGTAATTCCACGACCATCTTCGAGTATATATCCTGCAATTAAATATGATGTCCTACCACTTACTGCACTAGTTAATTTACCTCCTAAGATTTTAACCAGATCTTCAATATCACTTCTCGACTTTTTCTCAAAGAGACCAGTTACAACAATACTTTTACCTTCCAAGGGAAGGTTTGGATCTTTCTCAGTTATTGAATTAGGTCGTTCATTTTTGCGTCTTTTGCGTTTATCAATTGGTGAATATTCCCTCAAATCTTTTCCCGAATCACTTTCTTTAGTTAATATTAAAGAATCACTTTCTTTAGTTAATATTAAAGAATCACTTTCTTCAGAATCTGTCTCAATTTTATGTAGCCTACTTTTTTTATTTTTCAAAGAAGACTTCACACTTTTTGTATAATTTATTTCCGATTTAGAAAGTTCACACTTTTTATTGTTAGTATGTTTACTGAGAGTACTATTTTTTGTACTTAGGGTTGAATTTTCAAGTGGCTTATCATATTCACGTTTACTTTTGTAGGTTGAAAAGAAATCTTCTAAAGTCATTTCATTTTCTTCTAATTTGGCATTTTGAGACAATTCCTTCGTATTCTTTGAAATAGCACGTTTTGGCATTACCCACTGATAAAACTCCTAGCTTTTGTTCTTGTTTTATTTTCTATTTTAATTAATAGCCCCCACAATAATCCCGGTTATACAATAACACTAACACTAACACTTTATTACCCGGGTACCAAAGAATTTGCATGTTGTAGATCTAAACAATTTGTGATATAAAAGTGGAAATATATATATAATAAAGCATTCAATAAAAAAAATTAAAATACATCAATTTCGCATAATTAAAAATGTTCAAACTACTCATCAATTTATCAAAAGAAAAAAAAATACACATCATTTGCACATTGAATATCTACATCTTCAGTGGAGCAGTTGGTAGGGTACTATTCTTGTGGATTTCCGGAAGTGGACGACCTTCAAGTGGCATATTTGCTTCAAAACTCTCAAATTCTTCCTCTGGGAACTCGATAAATTCGCCCTCTTGTGGTGGTAGATCATCTAGATATCTAAAACGACGAGAGTATCTACCTCCTATATATGGAGATCTATAATAGAATGGGCTATAGGGATATCCAAGATATCCCGTTCTATATATTGGATACTGATTGTATGGGTTTAAATTAATGAAATATGGATCATAATCATAGCGGTGGTATGCATATGGCTGGAATAAATATGAACCTCTATAAGGATACTCTACCATCATTCTAATATCAGGTTCATCCAATAATATTGGTTCAGCTCTATAATCTACTGCTTTATCTAGAGTTTGTCTAGGTAACTTGTCCGTGATTACAGGTTGCTTATTTTGAATAACAATTGGCTCTTTTGTAGTCAAATTAGCAATAGGAGTCTTTGAAATAACTGGTTGGGTAACTACTGGTTGAATGGCTACTGGAACTCCATAGAAATCACCATGATGATGATGACGATGATGACGCCCTATTGGATAAGTATATGCAGAGTAGTATTGTCTTGGAAATTCGAAAACTGTTGAGACTGGCACCTGATTTTTTGTAATTCTTGCACTTTCTTGAGGTTCCTTTACTAGAGGAACTGTATTATTATTAGGTAATGGAATATTGGCTTCTGGTGTGTGAACTTGACCTTTTGGGTCTGCTGCAGTACTTTCAAGAGCATATATCAATCCTAGAAATCCAAATAAAAGCGAAATTATATTTATTAAATTTCTCATTTTTATGGGTAGCAGTTCAGAATTGAAAATATATCAAAATGTAAAAAGTGACTACAGTGACATTCTGTCACCACGACAACATGCAGTATTACGTGGCCGGTATGTTACATGCACTATAAAGTTATGTACATGTACGTATAAGATATCATGTGGATAGTTGTATATATGCAATCCATCAGTTTTGAAGTTCTATCTAATTTCTAGATTATGTCATTTAGCTTATTTATTGGTGTATATTTATAATTATTGAAGGTATAAAGCTACTAGTTCCCGCTATTTATCTTCGTTTAAATATTAAAAATATTTAAACTTTAATTAAATATTTACTTTGTGAACCAATCTTAGTAATAAATAGCTGATGACGCTAAACTGGAATACAAAACTTCTTTAGTTATTTAAGGAAGTGAAAAAAAGGAATAAACTATAAAAAAAAAAAAGATTTGTACTTGCTACAAGTAGACTATAGCTATTAAACTCTAGCGGGAAATATACAGGACCCTTATTAAGATACGTATACAAAGTTTTCTCATCAAGATAAATTAGAAATATTGATATTCTATTTTCTCTAAATAATATTCTAATATGGGGGAAGACTATAGTGTAAAATTAAGTCAATGAGATGTATATTAAGCTTAAGGCTAATGTATTAAATTAAATGCCTGTATCTAAGACAACAAGCGGAGAACAGACAGTTTGTTTGTTAATTCACCTTGGCTATATAAATTAAACTTTAAGCTTAGAATTGGGGATCCTCAATTACTTATTTAGGATCTTCGAAAGCTTGTTTAGACATATATATTACATTTATTTAATAAACTTCATACTAATTAATTAGATACTTCCACAAGAGTGTAAATTACTACAGAATATCTGCTATTACCTTCTAGTTAATTTGTTTAATATTAAACTAATTAGGACTTATTCGAATACTAAATCTAATCTTTTTTTTAGTTTGGTATATCCATATATAGCGGTTACTGAAAGAAAAAAGAAAGGGGGGGGGAAGGGAATGAAGGCTAACTAGATCACAAATAAGACTGAAGAAAGATGGAAAATAATAAAAATCAAGATATTGTTGGAACTCTTGAAGAGTTCCTTAGTAACCCATTGTGTATGGCATCTTATGAACGTTTAACTAGCAATATTAGTGTAATTGAGATGATTCAAACACTAAGCAGTACACAGAAACCAGAAGAAATTGCATTGTTAACTGATTCACTAAAACGTTGTGTATCTTTGGGAATAATTCAAGGTGCATTAGAAGGATATAATGATCTTCCTGAATTACTTGTGACGGGATCGAAGTCATCAAGTCAAAATGTGAGATCTTTGATAGCATACGTTTTCTCATCTTTAACAGAGTCAGATACATCATGCTTAAAAATATGTGAAGATGGATCTTATATTTCACTAGCTATTTTATTAAGAGATATAGAGATGAGTATTGGTGAATCAGCATCCCAATCCTTAAAATATATTGCAAAATATCATCCAAAATATATTTATGATGAAGGATTTTTATCAATACTAATGAATAAATTTAAAGAATTGAATGATGAAACAAGATTGAGGATTATTGGTTTGTTTATTGATATTGGATCTTTTTCTGAGCAGCTATTTGATATTTGTGAAGAAAAAGGACACTTTTTTACCTTGGCACTGCAAGAATACTTTACTGATGATATACTATTAAAATTAGCATCATTAAGATTACTTGAAGATTTGGGAGAATACAAATATGGGTTAAAGTTTTTATATAAAGAGTCAATATCAATTTTATTATTAAAGGATTTAGATAATCCACTGGTTGACGATGAAGTTAGAATAGCCATTTTGTACTTATTATCTAAGATGATACAATATTATCCAGAGGGTACAGAAAATATATTGAAGTCATGTAATAAAGTTTTCTTATTAACCCTTCAAAATTTCATGGCATCATCTAATAACATCCATGCACTTGGAAAGCCTGTATGTGCAATAACTTGTTGGGGACTAATTTCCTGCCATGAGACTAGTTTTAAGATATTATCTAATTTATGGAGTGAAAGCATCCAATTGGCAATTAAATATGTTTCTAGTTCAAATACTGAGTTATCACTTGCAGCTATTAATGCTTGGATCATTATTTTTGAAACAGGAGATATTAAAAATATACTTAAAAGTACTAATGAAGAGATTTGTCTTGAAAAGCAAATTGAAACTAAACTAATACCTTCAATTATGAGTATAATGCTTAGTAGGCCATTCTCTGAGATAAGAACTTTAATATATAGAATACTTGCAACAATGGTTCCTTTCTTTGGGTCTATTACATCAATTATATGTACATCTCAGCCACATAGAGATTTAATGCTAAATACTAATAGTGATACTGATAAAGAAGTGAAATATCTCAAATATAACTTAGTTAAGCTAATTGTTAAATATCATCTGAACTTGCTTGAGGATAAAACCGATGAATCGTTTATTAAGTATATGCAAGATTATGCCAAAGGTGGGCCTTTTTATATAAATCCTAGCTTCCAAGTAGATATTGCTGATCGTGTCTTATAATATAAAAAAAAAAGAAAAAAAAAAAAACTTGTATTGACCATATTACTTTATATTCTACACATGTCTATTCCACCCTCTCTTTTTTCTAATTCCACTCACATTAGTGAATAATACTAAACAGTCTTTTTGTTTATTTTTGATAATATACTGAAACAATTCTTGACGTGATTTTTAAACTTACATGCAATTAATACCGGTACTTTTACGAGCTGTGGGGAGAATGGTATAAAAAGAATTTTTTTTTTTTTTTAGAAAAATAAATTCAAATATTTTAGTAATATAAAAATTACTAATATTGTGAATAATTAAAGGTGAAAAGCTGATGTGTGATGATATTACTATTTGGACCTCACGATGTATTAATGAAACGCTTGATCTTGGTCAAATTTACAATTCAAATAATCAAGAAGATTTTAAATTGATTATATCAGCAAATGGCTCATGCACACTAGACATATTTGAGGCATTTAGTTCATCTGAAAGGTTGTACAGACAAAGTTGGTGTCCACCTATAAGATCTTTAGATGAAGATTTTGATGAAAAAATTATTTCAACTACATTATATACAGATCACTTCGTATGTATTGGATTTTATAATGGCTGTATAAGACTTTATTCTCTAAAAAAGCATGATGCAAATACTAAAGATATGTCACAATCTTCAGATTTGGACTCTATGGAATATTACAACAGGATGTTTGGCAACGATACACAAATAGATGAGAATGAAAATAAATCTAAATTCTGGTTATATGAATCTTCTAGTACTACTTTTAACTCTATATTGCTTATAAAACATGTAGCACAACCATGTTGTATACAAGCCTATGAAGATATGATATATGTAATTTATGATGATGGAGTGATATATAAAGCTTCACTTACTGAAGATAATAAGAACTATAATGTTATTCGCTACAACAAAACATTTCCTGGAGTAAGCTATTTCGTTGTAGATCCTTTAGGTAAATATTTAGCTATGTCAACCCACCAAAGAAAGCTTATTATAGTTTCTATCAATAATGGTACTAATAATGAAGTAGATTATATAGATGTTATACTTGATATAGATTTATTCAAGAAAACTAATTATGAATTTGGAAAGTCTAAATTAAAGATTTTTAATATTCATAAATTGTCTTGGAGCCCAAATGGCAATTTCTTATATATCCCAGGAGATAATGAAATACGAGTAATACAGAGGGATAAATGGGATGTTGAAAAAGTGAAAGTTGATTCAATTAATACATCTAGTAAAAATACTAATACTGATATATGCCTAATTGATACTGTAAATTTTAACGAGGAAATTATAATTATAACTATTGACCTATCTGGTCAAATTACTATATACAAACATGATAATAAACACATACTTTCTTATATTATATTAGATAAATTTACAATGAATATTGATAATAAGAAAATTTACCCAATTTCTTCATGCTTAAATATTCAAAAAAGTAAAAGCTATTTAGATCATAGTAATATAATATTTAATAATGAAAATAAAGATATACTTCAAGAAGGAAAACTCTATATCTCAATTCTATGTTGTGGTGGTTATATATATTGTTATAAATGGGATATTGATTTAAATCCTAAAATAAAAATAACTACAAATCTCGAAGACAAATATAATGAAGAAATATCACCTTACAAAGAAAATTACCAAAGAATTACTAATAGTAAACACTTGGATAGAAAGAATAATGAAACATTACTATGGGATAATATATTTGATAAAGATGACGAAAGTGACCAAGATGAAAATATATTAAAGGATAATAAATCTTCCCATTCTTATACACAAGATATAACAAGTGAAACTGATTTTGATATAGATGATAATTACTCTAATAATGATATTGAATCAATACATAACTCATCTGGACTTATTGATGATGTGAAATTATTAAAAAAAATTATTGATAAAATAAAAATAAATTTAGAAAAAGAAAAGAGACAACAAGATATAGTACAACCAGGATCAACGAAAATGGATAATAATCCATTAAATAATGGTAAAACAGAATGTTTTTATTGCTGGAATCAAAATGGATTTATTATATCAAGTATTGATGAAGATGAAAAATCAATTCTAGAATTAGAATGTTATACAACATTAGATGGTCCAAGAAAAATCCGTTTATATGATACTAAAGGGTATTCAATGGGGACATTGGGTACTGATGGCTATTTATTAGCTAGAAAAGCTAATTTATTAGAAAATGGCACATATATTCCATCAATAATAGAATATCATCTGTGGACAACTTGGGGAAGAAATGATAAATCTGGTTGGATAAAGACAATGATGAATGGTGAAGATATAGAATGTATCACTTGTGGTAGTAACTTTATTGCAGTATTGACATCTTTAAGATTTTTGAGAATTTGGAAAAATAGTGGTCTATCAATATCTACAATCAAACTAACTGGTGCTCCTGTTAGTTGTGTATCAAATGAAAATTATCTTTTAGTTATAACACAGAAAGAACCATTTTATCCTATTAGAAATAATAACTATTATAATAAAATCATAAATGGATTATGTAATAAATATGAAATATATTACTATGATATTGATAATGAAGAATTATTGTATAATGGAGAAATAACTTTAACTCCAGAAACACATGTATTTTGGTGTGGAATTTCTTCTAAATATATCCCTGTTATTCAAGACACTTCAGGGGCAACATTTATGTTGATGAATCAATGGACAAATAAAAAAGAATGGGTACCAATGACTAATTTTGGTTTACTACAAACCTCTGAATTAAGATATTATATACTTTTTGTTAGTAAAGAAGAATATCATGTCATAAAATTGCGTGATGGATTGAAGTATCCATTACCGATTATGGCAAGAAATAATAAACAAAGATCTGTAATTAGCACAATTCCATTTTATATTCCAATATTAGGGTTACCAAATACGAAAAAGTGGTTAGATATAATAGAAAATGATAAATATTTGAATCATTGTGTAACCAATAATGATATACCATGGGAAATGCTAGATGAACTACGGCTAAGAAGGAAATATATCAAAAACAGTGATTTATCTTCATCTTTAAATAATAATGATCGTAGTTATAAAATAGATCAGGAAAAACTACTTATGCGACTTTATCTCAAATTACTACTAAAACAACAAGTAGAATCAGCTTTTGATATTGCCCAGATGTTACAATTCCCTAAAAGTTTGAATATAGCAATGGAACAAGCTGAAAAGTATAACGAGAGAATTCTGGCAACAAAAATTAACAATATTATACAAATTAAAACACCTAATATTACTAAAAATGATTATGATCATAATACTCAATGTATATATAATACAGAAAACAATAATCAACAAATCATACCTGGATCACGCCCATCTAAAGAAAAATTTAATTATAAAGAATTAAATAAAAAAAGTAATATATCTGACTTACTTCATGAAAAAAATTATCAAGAAGTATCTTTTAAAAAAATTTTAAACTCTTCAAAAAATCAAACAATATATAATATTATAGAACAACCAAATTCTATAGATAAGGATCATTTCTCAATTATGGAAGATATCATTAAAAAAAGGAAATTACAACTATAAATTTAATATTCTTAGCTAGAATTTATATCAAATGAGTTCATTATTTCAAAATCATATTTACAATCAAATATTATATCTTTTTATTGAAAATATATATAATCCTAAATCCAATATACAACTAGATAATTAATTTAAAAAAACCCTCTTATTCTCTATAAGTAAAACTTAAATTATCAAAGTATTAACTATTAACTATTAAACTCTTAAAACAATCATCATTAATATATCTTATTATTTAAAATATATTAAAATTATGTCATGTCATTATGAAATCTCTTTTTCTTAATAAGACATAAGACATTTTAATTCTCTATTATTTTCAAATTTTAATTTATGAATCTAAAATATCACTAATTTTCTTGATATCAGCTCTTGAAATTCCCCTTTTCTTTCTTATTTTTCTAAGGTTCATATTATCTAAGTAACTTGAGGTATCTATATTTCCTTTCAAACTGTCATTAGAAGACTCTTCATTATTATTACTATCAATATTCATAGAATTCAAATTAGAAGTAGATAAAGTAATATCATTGAGGAATTTTACTCTCATTTTATTACTAGTACTTACAGGACGAGATCTAATAGATAAATTCTCATCTTGTTTTGATTTCATTTGTTTAGATTTCTCTTCAATTTGTCTTAGTGATCTTTCTTTTGCAGGTTTTAATATACTTTTTACAGATTCTCCCAATTTCATTATTTCCTTTATAATTTCCTCTTTAGCCTTATATCTGTTATCACCATCTAATGGACAGTTAGAAGATAGAGGAAATAAAGGTATATTTCTACTTTTTGTTTGTGAAAATATATCATCATTTTGTTCATTATCATAATATGAGTCTAAGCCTAAGTTTTCTCTTGGAACTATATTACTATCTTCACTTTCTGAAATATGTTTATATAATATTAACTTCTCATTAAGTTTTTCATATTCCATTTTAAGCTCTGAAAGGTAAATATGAACTTTTAGTATTTTCTCTGTTAACTTTTTGCAGTTCGTATATAAAGTGGATGAAGTATTATTATTAGCTCCCACTTCACAATTTAATAATTGTTCTTGGTATTTTAATCCTTTATTTCTCATATATTTAAATTTATAAGAAATATCTTCCAATTTAGATCTTATTTGTCTTTCTGTTAACTTGTGAATATTTAGATTCAATAAACTGAACTTTAATAAGGTTACATATTGAAAGTAAAATATATCCAAGCTATATAACATGTAGTAAATAATTATTTGTTTATATATAATCATATTTCATATTTTTCGAAAAGCTATTTATAAGGTTGTTTTAGAATTATAGATGTGATCAGTATAGCGGGAATAAGATATAACAGTAACAATTTAGAGTAACTATATTAATTCTAGTATCTGAAAAGTAGTATAAAATTTTTATATATATTAGAAAAAAATAGAGAAAATTTTAAGATGTTCTAATTAGATTTAAATATAGGAGTTGACTAAATTCCTATAAATTCTTTATAATATTAAATATAGATATTGGTGCATTACAAATATAATTAGATTATATACTTAATGTAACTAGTAAACATAATATATTAATAAAAAAAAAAAAGAATTTGGTAAAGAAAGTAATATTGATAAATAATCTTATTATAGTATTAGATTTGATTTAATACCCCTCTTTTACACGTATTAAAAAATGACCTCTTTGTCCTGTAGCAATAGATTATTATCTATTTTTATATATAATAAAACATTTGTATATAATAGATAATAATTATAATAGAAAATATTTTATATAGAAATAAGTTAAAATAGAATAATATCTTAGTAATTTAATACTACTTTACTATTACTGTATTATTCATTATATATTATAAATAAACATTTTATAAAATGTTTATTTAAAAAAAATCAATTTACTTTAAAAAAGTAATTCCTCACAATATAAAATCCAACTATTTATATAATTCATTGAGTTGAAGTGTGCACCTAGTGCAGAAACTAGAATATCTAAAAGACTACAACCAGAACAACCTTGAATATAAAATAAAGCTGAAGAGTCTGAAGTACTGAGAGTATTGATAATGAGTATGAGTATTACTATGACTTTGCACAGAATGTACACAAGTTATTACTTCATATAATAAATTATATGTAATTTCTTCTAATCCATTAAAATGTTCTCTTGTTGTATCTAATAATTTAGAACAACTTTCTTTACTTCTAGTTAATCCTCCTAATATTAATCTATTTTCTATTTCTTCAGGTGTCTCATTTCCATGTATAATTTTTGAATCTATAGTTTTTGAAAATATTAAAAGTGATATTGTCATGTTATTTGTACTTTTAACATATTTATCCTTGTTATTTAAGCATAGAAATAGTAAGATCGAGAGTATTCCACGTAAAACCATGATTAATTGAATAAAACTAGGATAAGTATTTGGCATATATATTATTTTTTCCATACTAAAAACCATATGAGTGATTTGATGAAATACCTCATTACATTCTGATAAATTAATTGGACTTAATGGATTAAAATTCAAGATATTAGATATGAACTTTTTTTCTTGAAAAGAAAGATTATTATAAGTATTTAACAGTGGATTATTTTCTAATATATAACAAGTACCTGTATTTTTGTCTTGTAATACTTCATGTGTTACTAACACTGATTTATTATCATGATCGCTGTTTTTATCGTCATTTTCAATATTTTTACTATCCTGAATTTTATTACTTTCAGAAGTATCACTTTCAGAAGTATCACCTTCTAAACTTGATTCAAAAACTTCTTGATAATTCTTATATTGTGTTAAGTACTTATTATATTTTGATTTAATATCACTTAATCTTACATGAGATCCTAGAATATTTTTATATCTTCTTTCACATTTTTTGCATAATCCTTTTCCTTTTTCTTTGTTTTTTTTAGTTGTACAACTACATCCAATATATTTCTTTTGTATTTCCTTAGTTTTATCTTTTAAAGACATAAATTCTTTTTTTAAATTCAGAATCTCTGTATATAAAATTACACATAAGTTTTTTATTTCTTTAGAGGACATATACTTGTCTGCATACTCTGTACTTATAGAATCTTCAATGGTAATTATTTTTTTCATTGGTATATGTGAAATTTTTAGACCCTCAGCAACGAAATTGACTAAACTTGAAGTCTAATTTGTATTATCTATATAAGGCTTATTTATAATTTCCAACGTACTATATAATGTGAATATAATATAATATAGTCTTAATATAATCATTATAAACTTTGAATAATTTATTTTCATATATGTTTAGATTTTAAAAAATATTTTAACTATTAATTAAAAGCGCCCAATAAATGCATGTATTATATATTGCATGTTAGACCTAATATTTTATTTATAGATTATTATTTTAAGATTTTTTGATCCAATTATTATTGATCCTAAAAATATATCTTTTTATAACTAATAGTCTTAATATGAAATTTCTTAATTATCTCTTTATTTTGGGTATATTTAAATTAAAATTTAAGATTTTGAATTTTATGTAGTATTTCTTTTATTGAAATTAAAACTTTTATATACTATTTAAATAAATAATTTAATGTCCAAAATAAAATAAAATAAAATTTAAATATAATCCTAATATAAAGATAAAATAAATTGAAATGAATTTTAAGATATATCTATAATTATTAAAGACTAAGAATACAATTTATGATAAAGGCTTACATTGTTATATAATGAAAATGATCTTAAATAACTAAAATGACTTTATTAGTATAAAAAAAAGAAATAGAAACAAAAATTTATATTAATATAGAATAATAAGTTAAGAAGTGAACTATTAGAGATTAAGGTTATATCTTGGAGGGGGGGGGATATTTATATAAGTGATACTAAGAAACTAATATTAAAAAAGTAGCAATAGTAGTAATGGTAATATTAGAAATATTAAGAACTTAAATTATCTCTTAATAAAATTACTTTGAAAATATTTTATCTATAGGTTAATTATCATTAAATTCCGAACTTTTATTAGTTATATCTAATTATATACAGTGAATAATCAAATATATATAATATTTCTAGTAAATAATAAATATCTGATGCAGACTTAACTTATTAAACTTAACATTAATTTTACTATTAAAGTCCAATTCATTGCTATATACCATTTAAAAAATTCTGAATTATAGAATTATCAATAAGCAATTATTAATATCTTTATTTTTTTTTTTAAATTTACAAAAGTAAAAAAATGTTGACAATAAATATTCTTAAGATAAATTAAGTAATTGTTGCAATAGATTTAATTATCCCAGTTTTCATATTATATAATACGAAATTTCTTTCAATTACATCCATAAAAACAAATGAATTTGATGAATTATGCTGAGTAATATATTGATCACTATTTAATGGTATAAATTCAACAATAAATGGTTTATACTTTTTATTTAGACAAATTTGCACTTTTTCCTTATATTTAACATTGAAATGATCATCAATTTGAACTAAAGAAATAAACCCAGTAGATGATACACACAAAAATTGTTTTAAACCTTTAATTTCATCATCATTTAATTTATTTAAACTAATAATTGCATTACTTCTCTGCTGATCTGAATCTGATTCAAAAGTTGAAATCATTATAATTTTTGGATGAGAAATATCTGTAAGATTTACAATGATTAAGTTCCCATTAATACAACCAATAATAAGACAAAAGATCAGTTTACTATTAATTCTATTTTTACAATTCATATATTTTTCTATTTGAGTATTATTTCCAATCCATAAACTACTAGTAAACCAACTAGATTGTCGTATCACTTTTGTATTATTTATTGTATCAAAATATTTATCATTTCCTGAAATTGTTGATTCAATTAAATCATAAATCAACTCTAGTTGTTGTTTAAATTTGCTACATGTAAATGATAATATTAAACCTATTTTAGGACCACCAATAAATATAACACAAACTTGTTCATCTTGTATATTTTTTGAATTTCCTTTTTTATAATTAATAATACCTTCCATATAATCACATTTTTGTAATTCGGATGTTATAGTACAAGTTTCTTTTAGTGCATCTACAGTTGGTACAACATCACATATAGTTGATTTACGTCCAACTTTATTATTTAAATTATCATCATTTTTGATGGCATATCCAAATAGATTACACCAACATTTTGGATGAAAGCTATCAATTTTATCCCATTTTATAATTTGCTTTGTTTCATCTTCATTATCTATAATATTTCTTCTGATAACCCCACTCCATTTATCTATAATATCATCCATATTAAATGAAAAATTAATCCAATCAGCAATCTGTTTTGTTGATAAGTCAACAATTGTGAATAACCCATCTAATATATTAAATACTTTATTTTTAGTATAATAATTTAAATGTTTATCTTCAATATCCATATTATTATCATTAAAATATATAGGATCGGTAGAATTTCCTAAAGTATTTTTTTTTGATATTATTCCATTTTGAAGTGAATATGGATAAGGAATTGATTTTAATTTAATTTCTTTTTTGATTTTATTGCTTTCATTGTATTCTACATGCCAAAGAATTCCAATAAATTGATATGTTAATGGATGAATGAAATTCATCTTTAGGGGTACAAATATACATTCACTATTTAACCATTCAATTGGCATATATTCATTAAATGTGATATTTGGTAGAATATTCATTGTTTTCATAGTTTTAAATTTATTATCTATAATATTTTCATTAAATATAGTTGAATCTTCAAAATTAGAATCTACCTTAGTATTAATATAATTCTCATTAAATATACTATTAGATGGATAATTAATATTAATATCCAGACCTTTATTTATTTTTAACTTCATTTCTGAATTGTAAGCCCTATTATTACCTAAATTTGGTAAAAGAGTTGAAGGAGTAATATTAAAATGATCAGATTTATCAGTTATATATTCATATTTTGAAAATGAATTTACAAGAAATCTGAATATAATAATAGTGCCTGAATCATTTATAATACTGAAACTCCTTGGGAATGTTGTATGTTGACAAATACATAATACATTCTCTAATTCATGACATAATGATTTATTTTGTTTATATATAGAACAATCTTTATTTTTCAAAATGGAATCTGATTGTTTACTTCTAGAATTTAATATATCAGCTATATCATTTGTGCTATTTTTATCCATATAATTTTTTATAAATATTAATGAACTATTGTTAACTCCATATTTATCTGATATTGAATACATATCATAAACATCAATTAAATCGCGTTTTTCATTAATTTCAATCATGCAAATTGTACTCCCATTAAAGTGTATAAGGTATTCATAGAAATGTTTTCCAAAATAACCATTAAATGTGAATAAGGATTGTCTCCAAATCTCTAATCCAGAGAAATAATTAATATCACTATTAGGGTCAGTATATTCATTGGAAATAATATCTGAAGTACTCACTGACATTTCAATATGTTTAATCTTATTTTCTTTTATTTGTTTATTTTTTATACTAATATTATCTAGTTTATATTTAAAAATGATCCTAAATGTATCCCTCATCATCTTCCTCTTAATATTATCCATGATAGTTTTAATATTTTTAAAGCATAGAATAAAAGGCATTTTATATGCAATTCTTTTCCTTAATGGCAAAATAATATTTTTATAAAAGAGATACCATCGATAAACTTTACAACACAGAAATTGTAAAACCATCTTTTTCTTCTTAATTATATGTAGAAAACGATTTTGTAACCATATTACAATATCTACAACTACAACACAACGGCGAATACAACGTTTAACAAAATTTTTTCTAAGTATTTTTAAAGTATTCTCATCTGGTAATGATAATAATGATTCAAAAGTTCCATTTTTACTATCATTTATCTGATCAAGTAACATACCATATTGACCCGATTTTAAAAATAATTTCGATATACCAAATTGATAAGTATTTTGAGGTATTTTATATGCTGATAAGAAAAATTCTACTATCATACGATCTGAAAATCCATAAATATACTTTGATGGTAATAACTTGCAAATTTTTTCAAGTAGAATATTATAGTTTGCTCTATTCGGGTATCCATAATGCATGAGTTTAACCATTTGAATTGTCCCAGATTGAATCATTTGATTAAATACCAAACTTCCCTTCCATAAATCTGATTTCATCTGATCATTTGGTATGAAACATCTAATGAATTGTAATATACTTTCACTCAAATCCTGAATCATGTCTTTTAAATCACGTGTAAATTTTTTGCTAACACTTCGAAAACTAGCAGTTTTCTTTTGTCTATACTCTGTATCTAGCATTGCATGAAGTATTTGATTACTCGATTTTTCAAGTATCTCCTCTAATTCAGGAATAATTTTGTCATGATTCTTATCTAGCCACTCAGATAGTGTATAGTTTACAGAACCGGCATAGTGGACAATTGTAAAATTTGGATTGAATGTCTGGATTTTTCTTGCACCACTTAGAGGAAATATAATCACTGATTGATCAGTCGTATTTGTGCTCAAATTACTAGATAAGGATGAAGTAACTGTCCATAATGTAGACGAAATAGATGAAGATGAACTTATATATCCATACTTCTGATTGACTTTTTGCCAGTATGTCAAATCAGTCCTATCTTGACCTTGAGCCTTTAATCTACTTTCATCATCTAAAAGTGAAAATAAATCGGAAATTAGATCTAATACTGGTGATGTATTTGGAATATCAATATTAGACCAAATTAAACCTTCTTGTTGATATAATAACTGTTCACTTTGCAAAACTTTTTCAACAAAAAATTCTTGTAATCTCTCATTAGCAAGATTGATACATAATTGTTCAAATGAGTTTATTTCCAGCTTCTCAAATCCATAAATATCTAGAATTCCTATATATAAGGAATTATCTAGACACTTTTTATTTAGCATTTGCAATTTCGTCTCTTCATGCACCAACTTAGTTGGTTCATTTGATGAAAATGCATTAATTTGGTTAACAACCCAGTTGAATAATCGATTATATATTGACCTGATCATGGAATTTAATAAATGTAGTGCTTGTTGTTCTGTGCGTGCAATTGCTACTTCTGACATGTTATTACCTATATTCAAATACTTAACGGTCAAGATATTCTCCAATATATTGGAATCGATACCCAATACTGTGGAAATATTATGAATAAGTACTTTATCATCACATTCTAGTATCTTCCCATCTGTAGTTAATGAAATATTGCTCTCTTGATTAGGCACATCACATTCTTTGAATCCAACATTTCCAAGTAAAATTATACCTGCCAAAATTTCGAAAATTAAATCCTGTTTACTTTCATTTATACCATTTATGAAGAATGATTGCTTTAATAACTCAAATTGTCTCTTATCATGTAAAATATCTTCTTGATAATTTAATTTACCTTGATTCAATAACTTATAATAGGTTACATCTCGTTGCAAGTTCAATCTATATAACTGTTCATCTGGTAATCCATGAACCAACTGGTAGAAACAGTGGTATGTCCTTTCATTGTCATTATGCTTAACACAACGGCTACTCTCTAATAAATATGTGGTTATTCCTCCTCCCCTCAAAAACCCATGTTCATTATAGTACAATTTGTTTAGTCTCCCAAATCGAGATGAGTTATAATTCCTAACAGTTCGAGCATTACCAAATGTTTCTAAAATAGGATTTGCACTCAATATTTTAGCTTGAATATCTTTAGCTTCTTTTTGCCCAAATATATTACCTGAAGCATGAGACAAACGTATTTGCATTAACCTCTTATGTTGTTTATCACCTATCTGATCTGTTTCTTCACTTTTGAATATATCGCTTTCATCAGGTATTATACCTATATCTGCTAAGTATGACATTACTATCTTTGCTGTTTCTGTCTTGCCTGCTCCACTTTCTCCAGAAATCACAATCGCTTGATTCTTCTTATCAAGGACTAATCTACGATATGAGGTATCAGCTATTGCATATGGATGAGGAGGTAATTGACCAATATATTTACCATAATACTTCTGCTTGTTATCAACAGAATATAATCCCATTACTTCTTTATAAGGGTTCAAAGCTAGCAAAACATGAGCTGTATATGTATAGATTTTATTAAGACTATATCGAATACGTAAATTCTCTAGTATATTTGCTGGATCTAAAGATACTAGGGAGGTATTATCATCCCTTTCTGGTTCTCTAATATATTTATAAATATCTAAGATAGAATACCATTCATCTCCTGATTTTCCAATATCATTTGGACTTATTACATTCACTTTACCACCATCTTTATCAATAAAGTTAACCTTGCAAAGTTTAAAACCATGTTCAGGGCATTTAACCCAGACTATATCTCCAATAGAAAGATTCAATTTTGTTGACATACTAGCAGATATAAAGTGTAATTTCTTGGTAGTTCACAGAATCTAATATTATGTATCTTTCTGAGTTCAAATATTGTATAGAACTATTTCTTGCTAGATGACAATAGTTCCCTGTAATAATATCAGCCAAATTATCATACAACTATGCATAAATGTTTCGCAACTTTATAATTAGCTTATTTTTACTTCTTTCTATGTAGTAAATTCATTACCCCCACAATTTTTTAATATATGCGGCATCATACACACGTATACTATATGCAAAAAGTATCAGCCGGTATTGTCTTACAAAAAAAGTAGAAATTCCAAAGTTTTTGTACTCCACTTTCAGTATTACCTATAACTGCTTATCAAAGAAATAAATAATTCTTATCAGTTAATATGTACAGAGTACATATATACCTATAGCTATATATAATTAATTATTTCAATACATCTTTATAAGTCCCAAATAAAAAGGAAAGTAGATAATTACATGCAGGAATTAATATTCTTTACGAAAAGCCTTTGGATCAGTATAGAAATCACTACTTTAAGGCTGTCTCTGATAGTAGGAAGTACAATTTACTACCGTTAAGATAATAGAACTATAATATTCTAAATAGGAAAGTTACAAGAAAATTAAAATTGATACTAGGATGACAGTTAAGATCATACATATTTATTGTAGATAAAATGAGTTCTAACTGCTAATATCTGAGGCTTGTATGTTACTATGGCCAATACTAAAGAAGTATAAATAATTGCACTTTGTTCAACAATATCTACAACAGGTTATATTGTATCCAAATTACTTCAAGAATCTATTACCTTAAATTCCCCAATAAGAATACTCTAAATTTAGGAGGCCACTTGTTATCTGAAAAATAGTGTAACACAAAGAAATTACCGCTTTGAATAACCCGCTTTGTCTCTTTAAAGACACATGATTATTGGAAAAGGTAATGTTGCGGGTACTGTTTGTCTTTCTTCATCCCTGAACTATTCTAAGTAAACGCACTTGTATATTTTGCTTCCTTACTTTTTTTTTTTTATAAGCATATTGTTTCAATATAATGACCAGCTCAAATAGTAAGTTTTGTATTTGTGATACATCCAGTTTGTTTGATATAGAATTGCGGATGTTTAACTTTTGATCTAAATTACTTTAGAGGTTAAGAATGCAAAAAAGACGGCTGTAGCTATCAAGACTTCTGTCAGATCGGCTACTACAAAAGTTAGGACTCGAGTTCAATTTTATATACCAAGAACTTTAAAGTTGGATAGGAAACCAAAATATGAAAGACGCGTCGCAGCTGTTCCAAAGGGACTGGATAATTATGATATTGTTAAAAAGCCAATTACTACGGAGTCGGCGATGAAGATGGTTGAAACTTTGAATACATTGGTATTTCTCGTTGATCAGCGTGCTAATAAGGCTCAGATCAAGGAGGCTGTTAGTAAACTCTATGATATTAAGGTCTCAAGAGTAAATACACTCAACATGTTTGGTGGTGGAAAAAAAGCATTTGTTCGCCTTTCTGCTGATATTGAGGCTGTTGATGTAGCTAGTAGGATGGGGATTATTTAGAAACAATACATAGATTTCCTCTAATATTAGACTTTAATTGCCAGGTACAATTATCTCCTAGTATATATTCTCCATCTTTTGAAATGAACTTTTTAGAATCAATATTGTGTGGCGCTACTAGGTAATTTCTTTAGTACTTGCACTTTAACGCAACTTCTAATATACAGGAGTTTGTACACATAACGAAATAAGATTACTTTGAAATATAGTTAGGATGAATGAGCATGCAACATTAGATAATCTTGTATCTAATGCTAGAAGACAAGTTGCCCAAATGCGTGAAACAGCATCTAAAGTAGTTCATAATGCTCTCCAATCTGCAAAGAACCAACAGACAGGAAATTATGAAACTTGTAGTAGCGAAAATTGTGGTAACTTGGCACTAAATAATCAAGTATATTATGATCATGAAAAATCAGAAAGTAAGCAAATTTCTCAAAATACAAAAACTCTTTTAGAATTTCTACATCAGACTAACTTGAAATTAAAGCATTGTAAGGCTTCTAAATTAATGTCTACAAGTGATATATCTGACCAAACATTGGATAGTAACAAGAGAGGGTTTGAAAATCCATATACTTGCAGCACCCCATAGACTGGCAATAACTTATTAAACCTAAATATTTATTCTAATCACTATAAAGCCAATAAAACTGACAGTTATCTATTTAATTTATTGAATTTTTTTTTAAACAGAAATATATTTCAATTAGAGTTTACTGTCACCTATAGTATAATGCAGATTAATAATTTTTAGTTGAACAAATATAGAAGTTTTATATAACAAAGTAAGATAAATAATATGTATTTTCCTTCAAAATATATAGGTGGTTATTTATTTATATTATCCATTTGCAGTATAATAGTCATTTCTCTAAGAGAATTGCATGCAGTCTATACCGGCATGCATGCTTACTACATTATATATCACATTTTTATATTTCTTAGCGTGAATATGAATATAAAGTCAATATTCTGCCTTGTCTGTGCACTTTTGGTGCATTTAGCCCTTGCTTCAGGACTTAAAGTTGCATATCCAAGTTTTTCTCATAATCTGATCTCTTCTATTGCATGGAAGTCCAATGAATTTCCTCAGATATTCACTCAATTAAGCTTGAGTTCAGAATTTAATAAATATGATGGATTTAATCTTCCTGATCCAATAATACACCCTCAAAGCTGGTAAGTCTACACAAAACATGGCAATTAGTGTATTTGATAAGTTAGAAGTTATTTTATCAACCTTATTGACATTGAAAATACTAGTAAAGAAGACAATTGCTATATTAACCTGTTTTGTCTATTAGTGGAAGAAGAAACAAAAATATGAGCTTTATATGCGATCCAGCAAATTTATTATCTAAGGAAGAAGCGGATTCTATTGATGCAATATTGCAAGAAATACGTGAGACTGCTACTCACAAGTGTGGTAATGGACAGGTTGGATACCCCATAGATATAGCTATCTTACCTACTAACTCAGGTAATAATTCTTCTATAGCTACAGATCTATTAAAAGTATGGACAATAAGTAATTCAGGATGTGACGATGGTATTATTCTGGTATATTTGCAAAGTGAAAACCGTGTATCAGTAAGATGGGGTAGTGGGGTTGAGCCTGCATTAAATGTAATGATATATCCAGAACTAATTAGTGAGATCGACCAAGTACTCCAAGAAAAATCATTAGGTGCTGGCTTATACCATGCAATATCCTTAATAAGGAAGCAGTTAAAAGGTAATATAGGACCACCAAGGAGGTTGCCACAGCTTCTTGTTCTTGCAGTTATTGGAGGAATAACAGTACTTGGATTTGGTGCTCTTGTTGCTACAGCAATATCAGAAATCAAGTAAGTTCCGAAACTAACTTATACTACTACCCTTTAATAATACTTATTTATCAATAATTTCCCTCAAATAATAGACCACAAAGAAGCCAGAGTCGTTCAGGAAGGAGAAATGAGTCACAGCAAATTCTAAATAGAATACAGAAAATGATAAAGACAGGAAGACTTGACACAGATCTATGCCCTCTTACTCTTTTGGATTTAAACAGAAGTGGAATTCCTTATGTTGTTAGTAATAAGGGTTATAGATTTGAAGCCAGAGCATATACCTTGTGGTAAGTAAAGTATGCATTACTGTGGAAAATAATCTAGATATATTTAAAATTTCATTCAGGATGCAAACAAATAGATGTGGACCTGAAACAGATCCCCTAACAGAGGCAATTAGAAAAGATGAGTACATTATGTCTACTAAAGATGATGTTCCTCCAGAATTAAGGAAGCTCCCAATCAAGGTGTACTTAGAGAGTTTAATGAGAATCTATCCAGATATTATCACAGTAAGTTAAAGTCTATTATATAATTTTATAAGAAGTCCATATTAAATAATATCTTTGCAGGAACAAAATATTAGAGATTTTCTGCGTAATACAGACAGATGGATCTTGCCCTAATTAATTTTGTATATTTATCAGCTTTGTAATATTATATAGTAGAATCATGATTTATTTTGAGCTTTATATTCCTGAATTCTTTGTTTAAATAAAGACTTAGGATGATTAGATTTACTATTTGAATTCTGAGTAATTTTATATTTCTCAATACTCATAGAATCAAATTCTTCATGTATGGTATTAATATCAGATGTTTCTACATGATGTGAAGGAATATATGGAATACTTAAATTATTTGTAGGTAAAGGAGGAGGTGTATTTATGTCTAGAAAATCATCAGCTATCTCTTCAAGTATTTCAATTGCATTTTCGTTTTTTAAATAATGTAATTTATGGGTCTTTTGCTCAAAAACTCCTTTGGTATCTCCAACTTCATCAAAAAGCTTTAGGGATTTATTTATATGGTCCATTTCTTTATTTGCATTTTCAAGGCATTGTTCAGCTAGTTTAAGTCTATTCGTAATAGTTTTAAGGGCATTTTTTGTTGTTCTTTGAACATATATATCAGATCCCAAAAGCATAAGTACTTGGTTGGTATTTGTGATATATCCGGGTGAAAAAGCCAAAGGTCCTAATGGAACCATTATTTCATGCTGATTTTTTTCAGGTAAATGTTCAATAACTTTCGAGACTTCCTGAAATTCTAATATAATCTTGTTTAACCCTTTAATTTCATTCTCTAAATTGGATTTTTTCTCCTCAAGAGATGTCTCATTACTGTCCATAGATTTTCGGTTAGATATATTCGTGAGAATCAGGAAAAATAAGTTCTGAAAATTGGAAGATCTTGTTAATAAATTTAGAGGGATCTCTTTACATCCTCATCCGAAGTCAAATTTTGATTTTCCAATATGGCCATTGGCGGTAATATTAGATGCCCCTCCAGTAGTATATAAATTTTGTATGTAAAATAAAGGAAAGTTGGTCCTAAGGTAGTTACATAATTTTATATGAAAGGAAATTACTTGACAATTCTAATTTACACAAATCCATTGAGTAATATAATAAAGAAGGATTTGGTTTGTATATAACATCTTACATAACCTGAACTAAACTATATTGTTTAGCCTACTGACAAAGCAAGGGGGCTGAAGATGTCCTTTTTCAGTAAACTGAAATCTAATCGCCATCTTATATATAAAGGTAATCAACAAGATAATATGCGAGGTAAGAAGGGAATTTTATTAAATCCGCTAGTTGGCAGTGGTTCTAATATATTAAAGCTATCCTCTACAGATGGTGCAGAATCTAATGCTTCTTTTTCTACAGAAGAAGATGAGAAGACTGCTGTAGCCAAACACCTTCGTGATAGAGATAAAACTAAAGATGACATTGATATGGTTTCTAAAGGGCTAGCGGGGAATGTTGTTGGTGCATCGCTGAATGATTCAGAAATTCAAACTTTGGTTGAATCAATGCATTTCTATGAGTATGAACAGGGTGAAGTTGTTATGGAAGAGGGACAGCCTGGATTTTTTTTTTTCATAATTTCATATGGTGAATGTGGAGTCTTGGTAAAGGACAAACAAGTTAACAAACTAGGAGAAGGTGTAGCATTTGGTGAACTTGCACTTATTCATAATACTCCAAGGACAGCAACAATAAAAGTTTTGAAGAAAGCTGGGCTATGGGGACTTGGACGCTCCACATTTAGAGACACTTTAAAGATGATATCTTCTAGGAACTATGAAGAAAATCATACTTTCATTGAAAGCTTGCCAATATTCTCTGGATTGACGGAGCAGCAGAAAAGTTTACTAGCAGAGGCCCTAGTACGTGAAGTTTTTGCGAAAAATCAGGATATCATAAGACAAAATGAAATTGGCAATGTATTATATATGATAAAAAGTGGTTCAGTTGATATAAAAGTGAATGGTAAATATATTCGTTCTTTGAATGATGGAGATGCTTTTGGTGAAAGAGCCTTAATGTATGATGAACCAAGATCTGCAACTGTAACCACTACCAAACCTACTGAATGTTTAACTTTAGATAGAGTAGTACTTACTCAAATATTAGGAGATCTGAGACAAGTTCTTAGCAAGAACTTGATACAACAAGCACTACTAAATTCCCCAGTTTTTAAGCAGTTTACCAAATCTCAGATACAAGGTCTAATAGACAAAGTATTATTTAAGTCCTTTGAGGCTAATACTATAGCTTTAGATGTCGAATCTAAGGCACTTGGAGTAAGAGCATTTGTTGTTTTAGAAGGAGAGGTGGAAGTTAGTATTCCTACGAACTACTTAAATAGTAGATCAAATGTCTTTACATCAATGAGACTTGATAAATCTTTTGGGGGATATCAGCAACTTGGAAGATCTAACGTCATTCGTATTGTACTAGGAAGGGGTGAGTACTTCGGAGATGACTTTGTTGTCAACCCAAGATTACCATTTGTATGTAAAGTTGAGACGAGATCTGCAGCAAAACTAGCAGTTATTACGACATCAATTTTGGCAGAATGTTTTGGGAATGACAATATTGATGCTGGGCTTGAAATTAACAGAAAAAGGAATACTGTTAAAAGTTGTTTTGTCTTTCAATATATCTCGGAACAGCAGTTAGAGTTGCTTGTCAGATCCTTAAGATCAATAGTATATACAAGTGGTGAAAAGATAGTAGTACAAGGTGAGCAAGGGACTGCATTTTTCCTTATTCAATCAGGTGAGGTAGCTGTATATAAAGATAATAGGTTTATTAGGTATCTTGGCAAAAATGATTACTTTGGAGAAAGAGCGATGCTTTATGATGAGCCACGTACAGCTACAATTGAAGCTGCTACACCTGAAGTCCATTTATGGGTTGTAGATAAAGATACATTTCTTAAAATTGTTGAGTTACCTATGAGAAGATACTTAGATGAGAGAATAAAATTACAAGACACAAATGTTGAACTGAGCGATTTGAAGGTTATTCAAACAATAGGAAGAGGAACTTTTGGAATTGTCAAAATGGTTGAGAATAATAAAACTGGCCATAGATATGCTTTAAAGTGTATTTCTAGAGGAAAGATAGTCGCACATAACCAACAAAATCATGCAAGATTAGAAAGGTCTATTTTAGCAGGTAATGATCATCCATTTATAGTGAGACTAATTAAAACATTTAAAGATAGTGATACAATTTATTTCTTGACTGAATTAGTTCCTGGTGGAGAATTATATGATGCAATAAGACGCATTGGACTATTAACGAGATATCAGGCACAATTTTATATTGGATCAATGATACTAGCATTAGATTATTTACATGAAAGATCAATAGTCTACAGAGACTTAAAACCTGAAAATATTTTACTAGATTCCCAAGGATACATAAAACTTATAGATTTTGGATGTGCTAAGAAATTAAGTGGTAGAAGCTATACGCTAGCAGGAACTCCACATTACATGGCACCAGAAGTTATATTGGGAAAAGGATATACTTTAACTTGTGATGCCTGGACTATTGGAGTATGCCTTTACGAATTTATGTGTGGTCCTTTACCTTTTGGTAATGATGCACAAGATCATTTAGACGTATTTAAGGATATATTGACAGCAAAGTTGTCATTCCCTAGTCATCTCAATGATACCGATGCTATAAATTTAATGAAAAGGCTATTATGTCGTGTTCCTGAGGTTAGAATGGGTTGTTCTGCAACTGGTTATAAAGAAATTAAGGATAACGCATTTTTTAGGGATTTTAACTTCGATAGATTATTGGGAAGGAGCTATGTAGCTCCTTTAGTTCAGAAATACGAAGTTTTTGCAAGAGAAAGTGAAGATGAAAGTGACTTTATTAATAAAAAGATCAATCAAAGCAATATTATAAGTTGTCCTGGACAATATTGTGATGAATATGACTGGGATAGAGATTTCTAAAATAAGATAGGTATTTTAGGGGAATTGCTTTGATTTATAGTTCTAAAATATTAAGGTCTAAGGAAGTAAATAATAATGTAGTTTTAATCTTGTTTACGAACATAACCAAATGAAATAATAGTTGCAAATGTTGTTACGGTCATTTCTACCTTTTCATCATCATAATAAGGGAACAAAAGTTCATATATAAAGTGTTTGTTGAAGGCGGATAAGCATACAATTAATACTGTTATAAAAGATGCAATAGCTGTTGCACTACTTAGACGAAATACCTCCAATACTGAAAAATCGCGGAAACTAAGCTTTATTTTCATATCAAACTGGCTATAAGAGTTACTTCCATGGTCAAATGCATTTATTGAGCTGGTTGGTTCTCTACTGTACATAGCTCCTTGAGAAACAACAACTTCATACTCATTTTCTTGATGAGATACATAACCTTTAATTAGATGAAAATAAAACTTCTCAACATCCAAAACCAAGCTTTTGGTAAGCCTTAAAGAGACATTTATACCTCTTCCAAGATTTGAATAAAACCATGAAGGTTCAAAGTTATTTGGATTCTTGTATCGAGACTGTAACATAGAAGAGTCATACACCCCAATCTTCAAAATAGAATCTGTTGAATATCTTCCCAGATAATCTCTTTCATTCTGAGTAGGTTTAATTATGGTTTCTTGCTTTCTAGATTTCCGTCTCATTTGAAGAGTACTAAATGTTTTAAGTAGTGACGATTGGTACTCAATATCATCATTAGCATAATGAAGTAAAACATAAATACTATCTGGGGGATTCTCTGAAGAAGTCCTTTGAAATAGTAATGGAGATTTTAAAACCTCTCCATTGTCCCCGAAGAACGTTTGTTTCCACATATCAATACACAAACAAGGGATGGTTTCTTGATCTATCTCATGTTGTGCATTATTTTGCCAAAAGCAAAATCTTACCTTTGGTCTCTCAATTATATAAGTATTCCCTCTACTCTTCAATTTCAGATTCACTTTGATCTTGCCTTTTATGTAAGCTGATACAACATTTTCATGAATAGACGAATAGGATAATGGGCAGATAGCTATAGAGGGAGCTTCTAAGCATGAATAAGTCGCAATTGTAGTGGACAAATTATTTAACTGCCCTGTTTGTACAAAAATAAAAAAAAACAAAGTAGCCCAATAAAGTCCTAGTAGGATGAATATTGATATGATAATAAAAGCAACATATTCTGTAACTTTTGCTCTTGGATCCCTTCCAAATGAACCTTGAGGCACTAGTAGTTCTTTAATAGGCCCAATATATTTCATTAATAAAGTTGAAAGTGTATTTAATCTCCATAAATCCAATAGATCTCAAATTCCAAAATCAAAGATTAGTTGGTTTAATATCTAATTGCTTTGATAATATATGGCGCTGTAGTGCTGTAAATTCATTATCTTAATGTTAGTTATATAATGCCGAACTAAGTCATCTTGAATATCTCAAATTGTCTAGTTTTCTAATTAAGAATATGGATGTCTGAAGTGATGATATAATCTAAATATAAAGGTGTTTCCCTTTGCTTAAGTTTATAACTTCTATTCAATACTTTCTTGCAGAATATATTGACTTGATTATTTAAACTTATTGTAAACAAGATTTCTGTTATTCAATCACATAGTTTGATTTATCTGGCATTTGTATAATTTTGAATTAATATTCTTCAAGAAATTCATAGTATTGAGATATATCAGTTTTTCTCAATAGCGGTAATTATATACCGGAGTTTTTTTGTAATGTGGGGAGAACACGTAATTTACTAAGAGTAAGGAGTTCATTATGCTCACTTCTTTTCCTTTACTTTTCTTCTTAAGGAGGTGATTTATGGGTTAATATTTGGGATATATTGAGGGAATCTTGGTTATTAATGCGCTTGTAGCTTATCTGTGCAACTTTTTTGAGGACTCAAAAGTGAGTTGTTAAATTATGATTGAATCTCAGGAATTATGCATTAATGCACTTAACAATGTGAGAAGACCTCCTGAAATAGATGAGTCACCATCTAATATGATTTTTCATAGCAATACTTCTACATCTTTGGTTAATTTTGAGGGTGAAACTATTGGCTTGTCTACGAGCTCTAAAGATGAAGTAAGAAAAAAGGAAATAGAATTTACTCCCAATGTTACTAATCGTAAACGTAAATTGAGGATAGATTCTACAGGTACTGAGAATATCATTGGGGCAACCCCATTATCTCCCTACTCTATTTCTGCTGATTATGCAGTTATGCTAAGCGATAAACTCGGACTATCGCATATCTCTGACTTAGATACTTTATCATTAAAGTCTTTAATTGAAGTTAGGGAAAAGGAAATTTCAGAGATGATCTCAACATTTAGCTTTGAGAAAGCGCAATATAGAGTTGAGATCTTGAGATTAAAAGATAAAATAAAAGAGGAGAAGAAGGAGAACTCGAATTTAGAGAATGAACTGAAAGAACGAGATAGAGAAGTGTTGGATTTAAAAATGAGATTGGATGAGCTTGAATCAGAGAATAAATCTATAAAAGAAAGCTATGAAGCTTTAATTGAAGCTGAGAAGCATGCTGTATGTCACTTAAAAAGAGAATTGCAACAAGAACGAGCAATAAGTTCTTCCTTAGAGGATTATAGGAGTCGCTTTAATGAACAGCAAGATTATAAACTTAAATATAATGAAGCTATTAAGAGGATTCAGACATTGGAATTAGAATTAATATACAATAGGAGTAATCAGCGTTCAGTATCTGATGATAACATATACCTTTCTAGTGAAAATAGCATACCTATTATATTAGGGAGATTAGATGAACCTAAAATAGCTTTTCAAGATGGAAATATAAGAAAGACTAGGAGTCTTGAAGTTTCTATAGAGATCAGAGATAATTTTGATAATAAGTTAGTACAAAGTAGCTCTAAATTACGTGATATAGAACTGATTAGCAGAGAAAATAAGATATTGATGGAAAGCTACTTAAAATTGCAAGAAGAGCTAGAGGCTGAAAAGAACAAGTTATTAATGGCAAATATTCGTCAGATAACACAGAAGCCGTTATTGATATCATCATGTACAAATACTAAATTGACTATGAATAATATTTCTGAGATGGAATCTAATATTAACTATACAAAGCTTAAATTTCTAGAATTGAAGACAAGAAAGGTAGTCTCATTAAATATTGTAGATATATATGTCAAAAATAGATTTCAGTGCGTGAAGTGTGTAGATTATAAAATACATGGTACTTATACAAGAGATAATAACTCTCAAACTGATTTAAATAGTTTTGTTATGGAGATTAAAAGAGAAAATAGTTTAGTCCATTTAGGTCAAATTTGTTATATCCAATGTATTGAAGAGGACTTAATGAATAACGAAGAAGATCCAAATTTATCCTTATTTAACTTGGCATTTGAGAACTATCATTTAACACCCAATTTACTAAATTTGAAACAGTATACATTTGAAGATGAAGTTTTTGGACAAAAAAGAGTAGTACCTATAGAAGAATATTCAGTAACTACAATTAAAAGTGTTGTCCCACTTTTTGCAAAGTCTGAATTTCATATTAAGAAGGAATTGGTTAGAAAAGTATTATTATTATTTGCTGATTTAAGGGAAGATTTGGAAGATATTAGAAAGTCTATGTGTTCTATATTTCAAAGCCCACAGAACATGTTTTCAATTGTAAAATCCATATTATGTAGTGAAGAAGATATAAATAATATTAATAATAAAAATATATTCTTGTATGATGTGTCAATTTCATTAGCCAAAATATATCGTTTATGCCTTGGAAATATGAGCCATGTTGAATCATTAATTCAGTCTCAACAAAATGAATGGTATAGATGTTTCGATACATTACAGAATCATATTTCGAGATTATATAAAGAGAAGAGTGAACTTTTGGATGAGATAAATAATTTAAAGGTATGTTTAAAAAATACAGAAGATGAGAAGAAGAGAATAAATAATGAAATGTACGATATGAAAGATGATACTATAAGCTGTTATACCTTTAAAGCAGGTAGTATATGTGATTCTGATATAAATGACCACTGTACTTTCGATTCACCAAAACTGAAGGCATCAATAGATGATATTGAAAAGTCAATTCACAAGGACAATAATGAATATATAAACGAGGTTGAAAAATCTGGAGGTGAGCAAATAGAATCGTGTTTTGGAAATCTGAATAGAGAAAATGAGAACTTAGATAAAACTATAATTAAGACTCAGATAGAGGGTTCATCCTTATATAGTGAACATACAGAAAAAAAGTCCGAAATAAGTAAATTCGATAAAATAATCGAATTACAAACCAAAATACGTTCAATAAGAAATCATAGAAATGGTAGGAGCCTAATTGAAATGTCCAGTAATCAACAAATAAATGTAGATAATACTACAGACAGTGACACCATAACTATAAGAAGATCTCATTTGGAATTATTTGGTACTACTAAACATAAAGTAATGGCATCTCCCTTATCAAAGGCTTTATCGAATAGTTTAAAGCCACCATTACTTCCTATTATGCAAAATGACTCATTCGATAATATGGAAGATATATCGAGTACAGTGTTAATGTTGAGATTACATCGATATCATAAATATTTTGAGTTATTACAGAATCACATAACTTTTTTAACAATGGAAAGACAGAAAATACAACTCACTTATGAAAGAGATGTACAGTCTGCTCATATTGAATTACTATCTTCTAAACTTCAGTTAGAAGCTAGGGAGGCTGAATTAAGAAGCCTAAGCGAAAAGTATAATAGCTCTGTTGTGACTTTTGAAGGAAATATCAATCATATAAGGCTATCTGCTAGGGATGAAATAGAAAGATTGTGGAAACCGAAATTATTTGAAAAGGACGAGAAATGCAAAGAATTAAAAAACCAGATTCATTCTTTAGAAGCCGAAATTTTGCTATTACGCCAACAACTTTCATTTAAGGAGAAAATCACGAACAAATATTCTTTAGTTGATAAAAATGATGAATCTTTCAGGCAGTTATATATGACAGAGAAGAGTGCAATTGAAAATGATTGCCCTAAAACTGATGAATCAGATATATCCTCTCCAATATCAAATAACAGTGATGGTAATCAAAATTTGTCAGTTTTGAATACAGCCTTATTAAAATTAAAGTCTGCAGTTTTTGAAAGTTCAATGAATGGTCAATGCAGCTTAAAGTAATTAAAATATAAACTATTGACTTAAAATCAGGTCGCTCCACTATTTTAGTAGATATTTCATCTAGATTTAATCACTATATAATTTGTAATTATATATAATATTATAATGTATATAATTCTATTTAGTATTACTTCTTAATATTTGAATTTTTATTAATACTTAGTAGCATTAAATATAAGGAATAATTACGTATTTTACAGCCTTTGCATTGCCACATGTAATGCATGCATGCGGAGTTTCATTAGGTGCCACGTCATATTTACAAAGTAACTTGATTCTTCGATTTTCTTCTTTTTATTGTGAGAAATGAATTTTGGATAGTAAGTATGATGGTAAATGATCGCAATAACTGTAGATCAGTCATGCGAGATAGTTCAAAAAGAATATATTTTCCAGAAGTGGTAGTTCCAAACAAACATACATCAAATAATCCACTTTTAAGTGTGTGTAAGAATAATCCTGATGACTTAAAATTAAGTGAAACAACAAATAAAGACTATTCAAACCACTATTTAATGTCAATTTATGAACTCTATGTATTTAGAATTGTAGTATGTGAAGCTCATCTTCAGGGTAATTGTCAAGATTCAGATAGATGCCCATTTAGTCATTGTTTGACATGGCAAAGAAGAAATCCAGATGATCATTATTATTGTCCAAAACTATGTCCTGAAATATCTTTTGTAAAAAATAATGAAAAGATGAATTTGATACGCCGTTGTAAAAAGGGTAAACATTGCACATTTGCACACTCAAAAGAAGAGCAACTATATCATCCACTAATGTACAAAACAAAGGAATGTTCACTATACCCAAACTGTAACAGGTATTACTGTCCATTTTCACATGGTTCTAATGAAATTAGGTCACCTGAAAAAGTACGTGAATCAATACAAGAAATAATGAGAAGCAAGTCTAGTGGAATATTTAGGAATCCAAGAAAAATATTATCTAATATGGACTTTAAAAAAAAATATAGAATAACTTGTGTAGAAAATGGAGAGTCAAATAGACATTTATGTATTCAAGATAGCTATGAAACTTTTCAAGGTCTAGAGACTACTTATGAAAAAACAATCAGTGATTTATCATCTAATGGAAATAAATCAATTTCATTCTCTGAACATGATTTGAATCATGATACTGAAACCAACAAAGAAGTAACTCAAGAGAACATAGTTAAACAATGGTCTCAACCCTATGATTGGTTAGTCAATACAAGCACTCGCAATGTTCATCCTAATTTTGCAGGCATAATCCGGAATATAGATGATCTTTGTAATTTAGAACTAGAAAGTGAAACAAAATTATGTAATACTCATGATATCAATAAAAATGAAAGTGAATATGACTTAATGTGGCAAGAAATATCTAATCGTGTTAATAATGGTGATAGAAGATAAATTTAAATAATTGATAAAACTGGAGATCTATTAAACATAAGATGAGTTAAGCTCCTTTGGTTCATTTTTGTGAATTAACCTTTGTACTTATATTTGATGATGGCTTTGATCTTCCATCGGGAATTTTTATAAGAATAATTGCTTTATCTGGTTTGTTTACATCAAATGGCTTGTCAATAATAAAGTAACCCCTCCTTTCTAATTGAAGTTTGTCACCTAGTTTTAGATTCTTAACAAGTGGATCACAATAAGCATGTGTCTCAAACATTGAATTTCTATTTACAAGATCCTCAATATTATCGCCATCTTCTGGTTTTTTCTTAATAATAAGATGGTCAAATTCTCTTAAAATACATTTTACAAGATTAGTGGGTAGATTTGCTAACCAATGTATCTTTTTTTTTGTTGAGCGGAAATCACCTTGCAGATTTAATTTTCCATCAATTTTACCTAAAGATGAGTTTAAATTATTGAGATTAGTAACTATGGCATTACCCCACTTCATAAGAGTTATTTCCTCATTATCAGTAAAAAGCGAAGCATCATCTCTATCAACTAATATGGACTTATACATAGTTATTGGTCCTTTTCCAAGATCTTTATTTTTTTGATGTAAATCTCTTTCGTTTATAACTGGTAATTCTGGACCATTTGAAAGATTAAAAACTACGGCATCTTGGCCAACACAAAAGAATCTTGGAATAATTGGATCTATAATTTGTTTATTAATAGTCCATAATTTGTCCCATTCCATAAGATTGGAATTTTTTGATGGACCCTGTTCAATAACAAATTTCAGTAAAGCTTGTGGAGTAAGACCTCTCCTTAAAATACCTCTAACAGTTGGAAATCTTGGGTCATCCCACCCATCTACAAGCCCACTATTAACGATCCATGATAATTTCCTTTTTGACAATATAGTATATACAAAATTTAATCTTGAAAATTCATAAATATTGACAGGACGAAGATCTAAGGCTTTAATTACCCATTGATATTGTTCAATCCTATCGGAATATTCATTCGTACGTAGTGCATGAGTTACACCTTCAATACTATCAACAATTGGACAAGCAAAGTCATAAGTTGGATAAACTTTATATTTAGTTCCAGTACGATGGTGTGGTAACAATATACAACGATAAAGTACTGGGTCTCTCATGCATTTATTCTTGCAAGACATATCAATCTTTGCCCTAATACAACATTTCAAACCATCTTCTGATCCACTTATCATTTCATCCCACAATTTTAAATTCTCTTCAACAGTGTTATTACGGTTCTGGCTTTCAATACCTTTACCTCGCTCTTCTCTCATAACTTCAACTGGGGTATTATCAGCATAAGCTTTGCCCATTTTAATCATTTCTTCGCAATAATTCATTATCTCGTCAAAATAATCAGATGTAAATGATAAACTGTAAAATGAGACATTTAGCACCTTCAGATCTTCCATTATACTATTTTGAAATTCTTCATTTTCCAACGCAGGATTTGTATCATCAAACCTCAATAGCATTTTGCCTTTATATTTTTGTGAATAATAAAAATTTAATAATGCAGCTTTTGCATGGCCAATATGTAAGTAACCTGAAGGCTCTGGTGGAAATCTAGTTACAACTTCTCCTTCAATCGCATTTGGCAATTTACCTTCATAATTTCCGCTCTTTTTTTTGTGATTAATTTTGATGTCTTTTATATCACCATATAGACTAGACACTGGATTTGATGACATTACAATAATTACAAAATTACAAGATAGTAATAAATTATAAAGAATTTGGGGGTACTGTAGTTAAAATAATTAAATTATTAAAGGTAACTTAATTGAAAAAGAGATGTTAAAAGAGTTGAATTTATAAAAAAAAAAATTAGTACTGAGTTTCTTCTTTTTTTAAAAGAAAAATGAATAGTAATAAAGTTTTTTATTTTAAAACTGGAGCCTTCTACTATATATTTTATTGACTTGAGGCTTGGTAACTCACAAGAACTTTTAGCGCTACATATGTTATTTGAAAACTCAGTAATAAATAGATCCTTATGTAGCAGAAGATAAAAAGAAAAGTTTTATAGTGTTATATACAAAATACTCAAATAAAGTTAACCGAACAAATAATATGTAGTAGATATATTTCTATTAAAATATGACATATATATATATATATATATATATGCAATATTTTTAGACCAAGTAATTATTCTATTATTAAAAATACTAAAATAAGTAAATAAAATAAAAGAGATTTTATAATATTTTATATTATATTATTATAGCTACTATATTTTATGACAAATATCAAATTCAACTGTGGCATCAATGAAATTTCCATGGCTATGGTAAATCAAAAATTTTGTAAAGAAACTAACGATAATACTTTGGAAAATTCCAATTAATAAATCAAAAAAAAGAAATTAGGAAAATTAATTAAAATCATTTAAACCTTAATTTTATTTTGATTCTTTTTTTTTTTTTAACTCCTCTTTATATGGTATATCCTTAATAAATAATAAGCTATGAAGGACAGCCACAAAGAAGTTTATCTTTAAATTAAGAAAAAAGTAGTCTTAAAGAAGATATTAAAAGAATACTTGAATCTTAAAATTATGAATTGATAAATATAATTGTAAAGGTGTCAGAAAATATTAATTTGTTTTAGAAATGGATACTAGCTACAATAAATATTTTACAAGTGAGATATCTATTACTATTACACAAAGATTTACAATATAATGAAGATGTGATTTTTAAAAGGTATTTATATTTCTATAATAAACTTGGAAATTCTACAAATATTTAGCTTGAATGGAGCAGGTTGTATATAATTAGAATATTTCAACTATTTAAATAGCCTTCGTAATAAAGCCAATAACTAAGTATTTTCTTGTAATGAAATGCTAAATAAAATTCTTCTTAAATTGACTCAATAGAAAAAGATTGCAGTATAGTAACAATACTGAAAATATTGGAATTAATTTCAATTTTCTATACTAATATAAAAAACAGCTATTTTTAATATTAAAAATATCAATAATTATAACTGTCAATTCAATTAGTAAATTAATTCAGTATATGAAATATACATAATTGGAAGGAAAATTGAATTATTACCATTAGTATTATATTAAATATGGGTTATTTATTAAACAGATGTGTACATATTTAATTAATTATAGAGTATGATGTTTGATTAATTGAATAGATTTGAAGATGAATACTAAAAATTTAAAATAGTATAGATTTGTATGAATAATTTTGATACTCAATTTATATATTTTCTTATATATAATCATTCACTATATTAGTTGGATACTAATTTCACAACCTCTGATATTTTTCCTATTTTAATAATGAATAAAAATGATAGGTAAATTACAATAATAATAGACAATGTAATAATTTCGCTTTTAATGAGTACAATGTATCAGTTTATTTTCTATGAATTATTATATAAATTACATTTTGAATATTTACAATGCATAGATAATTACATTATAATATGTTATTATTTAGACTTAAAATTTATCAATTGGAACAAACATATTTAAATCTTGTTTAATTTTATAAAATGTTAAACATAATATAAACTCATTTATAAAGAAAATAATTTATCTACTAAATTTAAAGTATATAAGTTGCTTTAATATTTATAATAATTAAGATAATCTCAGTTTTAAGAAATTGACTCCTACTATAACCAAAGTAGTTAAGTTTTAATACTAAAATATTAAATATAAAAAATCAAGATAAAAATATACGAATTAGTATAGTTAGAAATAATAAATTAAAATAGTATATTCATCAAGATATGTATACATTTATTTTATCAATAAGTTATAAAATATAATTATACTTAAGTAGCAGTCTAGTTATCTGTTAAGTCTATTAGATAATGAATATTTACCAATATTGTAATGATTCATTTTATTATTTAATTGTTGATGCTGTTTTTTCAGCATGTTAATAATTACATTAAATTCATGTATTGCCTTTTGTACTTTGATATGATTTGGACCATTGATCTCTACATAGAGTTTTCTATTTTCTCCAAGTCTTAGTACTGATTGATTCGCTAATATACTAGAACTGTTTGAAGAATTTATTAGTGACAAGTTATTATTATTATTTATTGAAAGAATATTGAGTGAATTATTAGTGTTGGTAGTTGAAGGGGGTATATAAACACCCTTAACTTGGCAAACAACACCACAATTCTCATTAACACATTTCAGTATATCTTTATGTACAATTCTTTGTCTAATATAACTAGGATAATCATTAATTTCAAATGTATCAACAATACGACCACTAAGTAAATGATGGGAATTAATTGAATCATTTATAATAGTTCCAGAACTAGTACCATTGATACTATTTATATTTGACGAATTGCTTACTGATTTTGAAATATCAATAAGTCTGGCAGCACTAATTGCTTGTAGAAGTGCCTTTTCTGCATCATTAGTTTTATTTGTTACTGAAACTTGTTGAGTAGTATCCTTAGTATTAATTGGTATATTTTGATAGTACTCAGTGTTATTTGAAAATAAGGATAATGATTGTGTAAGTTCAAGGTTAGAGTCAACATTAGTAGTAGTGGTTTGCCTATTATTATTAAGTGCATCATAATGAATCTCATTATCAAATTCATTAATTGGTTCATATTCAAGATTATTTTCAGGTACAAGTCCAAGGATTTTTTTAGTATCATCTTTAAGTAATTGTAAAGATGTTTTCTCATCTTTAGAAAATTTGTATCCCTTACCACCAAATCCAAAATTACTTTTACGATTCCTCTTATTTCTGGTTTGTTCAGATCTTTCAAAACAAAATTTTATTTTTTCATTATTATAACTATCTATAACCTTTTGATCAATAATTACAATATCATTATCATATTTTTGGGTTAACTCAATAAGATCAAAACATTGAGAAATTTCACTAGAGAGTAATAATGTGAAGGAAGTACCAAATTTTCCAGCACGTCCTGTACGTCCAACACGATGTATATAATCCTCAATATGATGCGGTGGACCATAATTAATAACTACAAGGATATTGTCAATATGTAAGCCACGTGAGAATATTGATGTAGCAATCAAAATATTATTTCCAGAACTAATTTCAACTTTATTTGACTTAGAGAATTGCATAAGATTTGAATGTCTATCATTATTATCTTGCCCACTATGTAAAGTAAAACATTTATAACCATATGGAAGTAATTGGGCATATAATTCATCAACTTCAACTTGTCTATTACAGAAAATAACAATTAATCCAAATTCTGACCATTCTCCTAATAATTGGAGAAGTCTATAAAATTTTTCTTGATCATCTTTCCATAATTCAATATGCTGTTTAACATTACTTGTAAGTTGTCCTTTTTGTCCAACAATTACTTGGATAGGATTTGTAAGTAAATTGTTAACAAGTTGCTCTACAACTGGAGGAAATGTAGCAGAAAAAATACAACATTGTCTATCTGGTCTAATAATACTAAGTATATTTGTAAGTTGTGGAGCAAATCCCATATCTAGTAGTCTATCACCTTCATCAATGACAATATAGGATATATATTGGAATACTGACACTCTCTTATAATTTAGTGAAATAATATCAATGAATCTTCCAGGAGTGCAAACGACAATGTCACATCCAGATCTAAGTTTATTGAGTTGATTACTTATACTAAAACCTCCACATATAACAGTTGAATTTAATTTAACAATATTAGATAATATTTTAGTCTGTTTATATACTTGTAATGCCAATTCTCTAGTCGGGACTATAATTAGAGCAGTTACATAGTGAATATTGGTGTTAATAGTTGTATTACTCCTCTCCATTTTGTTAAAGGGATAATTATTGCTTTTTTGAATTATAACATGACGAATAAGTGGTAATACATAGGCCAGAGTCTTTCCACTACCAGTTTCAGCTATCCCAATCATATCTTTACCACTCATAAGTATAGGTATACTTTGCATTTGTATTGGAAAAGGTTTAATAATATCTTTGGATTGTAGATACTTATTTATACCTGATGGTAGGCCACATTGTGAGAACTTAAGTATAGGTTTCGGTATATCCGTATTTTCAACTTCAGATGTTTTGGATTGTATATTTTGTCTACTTTTCAATTTCTTAGCATGTATTCCATTATGAATTAATCTAATATGATTTACTTCATGACTCTTGAGTTTTCGTAACTCATCAACCTCTCTATAGATACACTTAATAATTAGTGGATAATCTATGGAACTATGATCGATCTCTGGTAATCTTCTTCGTGTCTCCAGAGATGTTAATATGGCTTCGTAGTTAGTATCATAATTGCTTGTATCATCAATATATTCACTCTCATTTGAATCTAGATCACTTTCTTGTAAAGAGGACTCAGTAGTAGATTTATTGGATATATTATTGTTAATATTTGTCGAAATATCTGCAGTATTTGAACTAGAATTACTATTAGTTGCTTTAATAGATTCCATAAACTTCTTATAATATTCTGAATCTTCTTCATCATCAATTTCATTTGTTGCACTAATATTCAAGATATCCTCCATTGTAATACTTATTTGACTATTTGTAAGCTCTGAGGTTAGGCGATTTTTGAGATTATGGATCTTTGAGATCCGAATTGCCCTAATATAATTCTTTTCATCCTCATTACTTTGTTTATTACTCTTCATATATAAAAAGAGGTTCCTTTTAAATAAGAGATTATTATAAATCAGATGATTTTATTTCTTTATTATTCTAAGCTTATAATTCGTATTTTGACTATTGTTATGATGCAAATATAGAAACGGTTTAAAGCGGGTAAAACCTTATAAGAATGTAAATAGGTAAAATAAATCACTTCGTAAATTTATGTTATGTCAAAAGTCCCATAATATTCTTAAAGCTCATATAATTGATAAAGGTTCTCAATATCTTGTCTACCTTTCAATAATTACTTCTTATAAAACGACATATATATAAGAACTCTAGAGCTATAAATTTCTTAAAATAGCGAAATATTAAATATAACAAAGACTCCAAAGATAGTTAACAAAGTCAAAGAGGTAAAATTAACCTTTAATTTCTTAATTTAAAGAAAATAGACCTTTTTTAAAAGAAAATAACCTACTGTTAAGAAGTAGCCCTTTCAATAGTAGACCCGCCTGGATACCCACGGACCGGTACTATTTCTAATTTTTGTAATAGGTTATAAGATATTAAAAAACTAAAATATGCATGCAGCATGTTTACTATAAATATAAAATAATTAATACTTCTACCTACAAAATTTGTTAAAAAAGTACTATGCTAACGATAAATAAATTATGGTAGTATTAGATCACCTATATAGCTATCCACATAAATTGTAGAGGCATAATACTGGAAAAAGTTATAAAATAGTACTACCATGAATGGGTAAGTCAAAAGCGGTATAGAAAATAATTATACGTAGCTATTATGTATACCTATGCTGGATATAATGAGATATTTAGCAATAAATAGAGAACTACAACATGTGAATTTCCCGGTTAATTTATTATTAATTAATATTATGGTATGCTATTTAACTATATATAGGGTACTAATGTGGCACTAGTATAGATTTGGATATACGTATATTACATATATATCCTATAGTAAATTTATACGATTGCTATTAAATTTCGAGGGGGGTAAATTGGCTATATGAACTCCTCACACATACACAATACATGATGAAGGTCGTCTACTCGACAATTTGATACTTGACATATATCGATTACAATAGTTACCTATGCAAACAACTAAAATATAATAAAAAGGTTTAAAGGTGAATATAAAGAAATAATATTGAAGTACTTTTGTATAATTAATATAACCAACCAGGTTTATAAGCAAAGGATTAATTTTACATACTAAGGTTGGAATTTTTTTTAATCAATTGAACAGGGTAAAAAAAGTATAAATTATATATAGAAGTTGGGGAATATCCTCAATGACAAAATATATGGAACAATAATTAATTATCTTTATATAATTAATTGTTTGTAAAAGAGTAATAACGCTATTATATCAATAACGCTAGGGATAAATTGTATTATCTTTATAGGATGACAGTAGTAAATCAAGGTGAGGTTGATGATTTGGTACGATATTTGTACAGTGAATGTCACCTTGACAAGTCGACCTATCAGGATATTGTTGATATTCATTCAATAACTCCATCGTTAATTTATTTAATTCACAAGTATAGCGATAATAATTCTAATGGTCATACAATAATATCAAATTATTCATCATTACTTTTGCAGGATGACCAATTAAGTGTGAATCAAAAGGTGTGTTCTAGAGTAACTCTTCCATATTTGGATAAATTGCAGGAATTGCCTCGTGGAAGTTTACTTTTATATGGAGAAACAGCTTGTTATGTAGCAGCCTATATATTATCTAATTTGAAGAATGGTCAGTTTAAAGATAATTTGAGATTATTTTGCAGTGGCCAATATAATAATTTTACCTGTAACATTAAACAAGTGATGGATTATATTGAAGCATCTCATATATTCATTTTAAATCCATATTTATCAGAACAGGATATTAGAGAATTAGTGGAATTTCAGAGTAATACAAAGACGAAACTGCTGGTTTCATGTAGACCAGATCTGTTGGATCTTGGCTTAGCTAACTTTAAGCTAAATACAAAGTCTCCTAGTTTCATTTTAACTCTAAGAAACAATACGAAATCTGCAGAGGGATATGGTGCATCACCTAGAGGAGTGATTCCTATCCCAATATATTTATATTCAAGGATTCCATCAATTAGTATCCAAGAGAATAAGGGAAACATAAAGAACCATGAACAGCAGCAGCACTATTCTAGTGTATTCTCTTTTGATTATAATTGCTATATTGGAGATGACTTAAGAGCTGTTATTTGTGTGCTATCAAGTTTGTATAGATGGTTTAGGGAATTTTCTATTAATATTGGTGATAAAAGTAGTCATGATATACAAAATACAAGCTTATTTGATGATGAAGTTGATAAATATTATCCCAATCGTGTAAGAGATCTATTGGCAAATATTGAGTATATTATTAAGTCTTTAAAGCATATTTCAGATGCTCGTATTGGTGATATGAGTTTCACAAGTAATCTAACTGCATCAATCAATAATGATTCATCTAGTACAGATACGAGGAAGGGTATTAATGGCGGTCTGGCCAATTGCACTAATAATGATAATAGTCTAGATATTGGACCTCATTCTGGTGTAATAAAGTTTACTACACCTAATTCTAGATGCTCTATTTCTACTACAGCATCAACTACCCCAGTTAGTATTGGGAATGATCTTATCAAAGGTGAATTAAGCCAAGTTAGTACCTCACATTCCCAAAAAGCCGCTGATTTAAAATATAATGTTAATTCTGTTGGTCTTGCTAATAGATTGAGTATAACGAACTCAGTAAGATGTAGCTCTTCATCTGTTGTATGTTCTAGGACTATGAGTCCTTCAAATGAAAGGGTACGCAAGGATTATAAGATAACTAATGGAAGTGTAAGGAACAGTGTTGAAAGTGGAGTTAATAGTATGGGTACACCATCTTGTTTAGGTCAGTCAACGACATCAAATTCAACCCCAGTGGTTAGTACTTTAATTCCAGGTACAATAGTGCGTTTTAGATCTCAGATCCCTGTTGACGCGAAACTAATACCAGGTGTACCAGAGACAGATTATTTTACTCACGTACAACAGGTATACTACCATTTTCAGAAAGGTGAATGGAGAGCAGTATATGGTCCATCTAAGAATAGACAGCAAAAGTCATTTTCAGTTAATAAATATGGTTTCTATGAAGCTAAGAGATTGGCTGAGGAATGGAGATTACGGTACCTGTACTCTCATCCAAATACTTGTACTAATATATCTGGTGTTAATAGTTCGAATACAGTCATTACTCCTAACTCTAATAGTAGTAAAAGGGTTTCAAGGGGTAACTTAAGTCAAAATAGTCAACTTAATAATAAGATTACATCCAATAATATTGCTGGAAATTTAGATACTAGCAATCAAAGTAGTACAAGAGTATCTAAAAGAAGAAGAGTTAGTAGCACTAATGAAGGTAGGATAGTAACATCTGGTTTAGTTTCAGAAATGGCTATTAGGTCAATGGGGGGACTACGTGTTGATGAAGATATACTAAATAGAGCAAATGAACTTGTCAAGTTAAATTCTAGTAGTGATTACAGCAATATTTCACAATCAATATGCCAGAATAAAGCAAATATTACTAATAGTTCTACATTATCTTCATCTTATGCCAATAGTACGAACATTTCTCCTCAAAATGAAAAAATATCTGAGCATTCTATATTACATCCATCTATTATTGGATGTAATAACTTTGTTCGTTATAACATTAAAGATGGTTCCAATCATGAAGATTACAAAATTGATAATGGAAGGAATACTCCTGATAATAGCAAGTCTGGAAGTGTATTTCAAAATGTTAATCATGGTAGTAACTCAGATATATCTGTTAGAGAAACCACTATACACGATTTTAATGATCACCAATTGTTAACTCATCCTGTATTAGATCCATTAATGCTTCATTATACTGCAAATGAACCTAATTCTCCTATGGTTCAAAATAATGATGATATTTCAGAATCACATATGTGTGAGAATAAAAATAATGGAACTGATAATTCATTAGTAGATGATGAGGTTCCACTAAGCCCAACAGGAAAAACACACGCTACTAATAAATTGAAGATTAATATAGGTTCATCTGTTAGGCCTCCAAATAATACATCCTCATATCATTCAAGTCCATATACTGATCATTTCTCTAATATATCAACAACTGAAACTAGCTACACATGTGTATCTCCTGTGGTAGAAGATTCCTGCTGCTGGCATAATTCTAGTGATAACAATAATACAAATGAAGTGGATATTAACAATGTAGGCAATACATGGCTTAAACGAAGTGCTTGGGATGAAGATCTCTTAATAGATTCTTTTTTTGTTGGATAATAGCTAATTTGTAAAATCACTACAATTACATTTTACATCTTTACAGCTTATGCTTATCATTATAGCTATCCATACATTACATTAGTCATTGTCAAAATATTGTCTTTAGCTACTTTATGTTTCACTTATGTCTATAATTGTATTAAGTCTAGTTCTCTAAATTCTACTAATTCTAATTGCTTTATTTCTTTTCTAGGTTTGGAACGTCACACATCGACCCGCTGGAAATGCACTTTTGAGTACACACCTGTGGTATTTTCTTGTAATTTGGCTTCTAATATTTTGAATATTTAGGCCTTTAGGCTTTTTCATTATTTTTATTTTAGAATTTGTTTATTTATTTTTTGTTCATTAATATACAAATAACTTAATCCTCATATGGAATAAATAAAAATGGAAAATGAGATTAAATCTAAAAATCTATTTAGCCAAGTTATACAGGAATTAAAGCTTAAAAGCATTATCTTTAAAGAAGATAAGTCTCATTATAAATTTAATTATAATGATACTTCAATTTCTAAATTATCTCAAATTGATCAAGTTTCTATAAATTTAGAAAATGTACAGTTATCAGAGTATGATGACACAGAATATAAAGATGAGTTTTACAAAGATAATATAATGACAAAATCTGAAAGTGTATATTTAAATTCTTCAAAGTATAAAAAATATTCGAAACCTTCATTTGAATCTGCAAAAATAAAATATCCAGTAGTTTACCCATATCCAATGACATACGTATCTCAATCTTTACCAAGTCCCCCTAAACAGCATACCCTCCGTAAAACTGGTATTAATTTAATTGAAGAAGAATATATTTGCCCCAAACTATCTACACAAGAATCTTTGATATCCAGTAAAAATTTAACAATTCCTGAATATTTAGGAACAAAATCAAAATTTGAATTAGATAGCTACAACCAAAAATCATTTAAGTTTAATTCAAAAAAAAAGAATTGTAAGCCAAGAACACAACTCTTTGCTCATATTAAACCTTTAGAGATTTGTCACAAAGGAAGTTTATATAGTATTAAGACTGAAACTTATGATTCAAATGATGAAAATACTTGTAATGACCTTGGTAATTTACAAAAAGATGAAAGTTTTGAATCTATAGATAAGTATAATATAATTGAAAGACAAATTAAGAATAAACAAGAAAATTCAATTTGTGAATCCAAAAATAGATCAAATAATGAAACTATGAATCATGTAGTAGATAGGTTCTTAGAACCAGATAAAAGTGCTAATAATACTTGCTTGATATATAAATTACGGTCGGAACATACTCATACAAGACATAGACCTTTATATGATGATTCTAAAAACATTGAAAGTCTGGATACACATTTTGATATATCAAAAGTTAAACAGGAAAGAAAAAAATCACAGCCTATTGATTATCCTAATCAAACTAAATTTAAAAATATACCTTCATCTGTAAAAAATATCTATAGTTACAAGATAGATAATCTTGTAGATCAAGGAGTTGTTAGTGATTTATGTGAAGAAGCTAGAATATCAATTCCTCCACTTCCACTCGCTCCATTACCTAATCTAATAGAGCCTACTACAAACTATAATAATATAGGAAAAATATCAAAAACTATATTTAAACCTACAGTAGTAACTTCAAGACATGAAATGATGGCTCAATTACTGGATATTGCGTAGCAATAACTTAAGATATTTTCTAGATCTATATATCTAAATCAAGATATTGTAAAATAGAGCGCTATATAAGGTCTACTTACCAACTAGCTAATTTCGATGAATAAAAGAGATAAAGTCTCATTTATACTGAGAAAATCTCATGTAATATCTCAAGATACTACACATAAACTTCCTTTTGGTGATGAGTTTAGTGATACAGAGGATAATCAAGGGATAAATGAATTATCTCAGAGCACTATAAATGAGTATAAAAAAGCTCATGAGTTATTTAAGGAACAGCCAGAATTATTGGATTTTGATAATGAATATTTAGACCTTTCAAATTATAGAAATCCTACGTTATCTAAAGATTCTTCAAAAAATTATAAAAGTCAAAATATTTTGGAATCTAGGTATATCACGAAATTACAAAACTTAGCTAATAGAAGGAAGGTTGAGAGACAACTAACCCAAGAGAAAAAACTCCAAAGAGAGATTGAGAATGAATCTAGTGGAGTAGAAATATTTATTACTCCATCATACCGCAAAGTACTTGAAGAACGAAAATATCTAGAGGATAAAATTTCTGAAGAGAATAAACTTTGTGAACAGAAGTCTCTTGGAAATTTCAGTAAACATTTATTTTCAATGATAACTGAAAGATTAAAAGATGAATCTAAAATAGAATCTTCATATAATCCATCACGTACGGTGAATAAAGAATCTAAAGCTTTCTGTTCTATAAAGGAAGAGGAAGTTTTGAAACAAGAAATTGATAATAAACAATTGATAATAGATACATGTATTGGTTCAAATTTGAGAGCTGATAAGAGGATCAATGAAGCTCAAGCAGACTACGGTACTGAAGAAGTATCTTATATACAAACAATTAGAAATGATAAAATCGAACTAGCTAGAAAGAGATATTTGGAACGAAAGCGAAATCGCCAGTCTGTTTTGTAATTATATTCTCTATCTGTATTTTAAATTTTAAGATATAAATTATGATGTTTGGGATATTTTAGGTGTATTTTTCTTTATAAAACTGAAATTTACTTTTGATTCAATATTTAGCAAAGGTAACTTCAAAACTATTAAAAAAAAGTGATTATATAGTGAGAATGTTGCAATTTAATTTATAATATTCACAATATTATAGTATACAATCTATAAAACTCTTCTTTTTAAAATACAAAGTAAGATCTAGAAATATACATATTAAAAAAATAAGTTGGTATTATATAATATAAATATAATATAGGATATAATAATATATTAGTATATATAGTGAAAGTTTCTAAATATATTTTATAAAAGATATGCCTCCCTTTACTATATTTTCATTCCTTAAAAAAATTTAGATTTTTCTCTTGTTATCTAATTTGTAATATTATTACAAAGCTAAAACCAATAATTAGCAATTTGTGTTATTAATTTTATTAAGGATAGATGTTTCAATTTCAGTGATAGGTAAGATTAAGCTATTTAACTCTAGTAAAGTATAATATATAATTAAGATTAAAAAATTAGATTATCCTTTAGTATGAAAATATGTCTACTTATTATGAGGTCTTCAAAACTACAAGGGATTTATTTATAATTTATAGGTATTGGGTACTTAGGTTCTATTTTAGAGTAATTAGTTAATTATTTAAATTACATTATAATCAGATACAAAGAAATAAGGAAGGCCAGCAAATTTGAATATAGACAGAAAAAATAACTTTCAAGCGCCAAATATGGAGGGACAATTTTTTGAGGGTAGAGTAGTAATTGAAGGTTTTATATCCCTGAGGAGATATAATTAAAGATAGACCTAGCACTTTACAGGATATAAGCTTAGAGGTGTGTGAAATTAAAATATCAATTGAAGGATGAGCTCTGAAGATGAACATAGTCGTGCTCTAGCAACTTATGCACAAAAAGTTCGTGAACATAGAGACTTAGAAGTAAAGCTTAAGAAAAAGAGGCTCGAAATAAAGGAATTGAGTAAGAATTATGAGAAGACCGAAGAAAATCTGCGTGCATTGCAGAGTGTAGGTCAAATAATAGGGGAAGTCTTACGTCAGCTTGATAATGAGAAATGCATAGTGAAGGCTTCAACAGGTCCTAGATATGTAGTAGGATGTAGATCTAAACTAGATCGGAAAAAATTAGTTTCTGGTACAAGAGTAGCTTTAGATGCAACAACATTAACTATAATGCGGATATTACCACGTGAAGTAGATCCTATGGTATATAATATGTTACATGAAGATCCAGGTAGTGTAACCTATTCTCAAGTTGGTGGTTTAAATGAACAAATTCGTGAGATACGTGAAGTGGTTGAGTTACCTTTAACTAATCCTGAATTATTCAAAAGAGTAGGAATTAAAACTCCCAAAGGAGTTTTGTTATATGGTCCACCTGGAACCGGGAAAACTTTGTTAGCTAGAGCTATGGCATCATCTATGAGTTGCAGTTTTATGAAAGTTGTAGCTTCTGCAATTGTTGATAAATATATTGGTGAAAGTGCTAGAGTTATCCGTGAAATGTTTGGATATGCAAAAGAACATCAACCTTGTGTTATTTTCATGGATGAAATAGACGCTATAGGAGGTAAGAGGTTTTCTCAAGGTACATCTGCAGATCGTGAAATTCAAAGAACTTTAATGGAATTACTTAATCAACTAGATGGTTTTGATGAATTGGGAGCTGTGAAGATTATTATGGCAACTAATAGACCTGATGTATTAGATCCTGCCTTGTTAAGACCGGGGAGATTAGATAGGAAAGTTGAAATTCCACTACCTAATGAGACATCTAGGGTTGAAATTCTTAGGATTCATGCTGAAAAACTCTCTAAACAGGATAATATTGATTATGATTCTATTTGCAAGCTTTGTGATGGATTTAATGGAGCTGATTTGAGGAATGTCTGTTCAGAAGCTGGGATGTTTGCTATTAGAGCTGAGCGTGATTATGTTATTGAAGAAGATTTCTACAAAGCTTCTAGGAAGTTAGCTGAAAATAAGAAATTAGAAGGGAAGTTAGACTATGATAAAGTTTAAGATGAATTTATATGAAGACCTCATATAATAATATGATATAAAAAAGAAGTAAAACTAGTTAGAAAGTGTCATAAAATCTCCCAATATCCCTTCTATGTTTCAATTGCTAGGCTTGAAACTTTATTAAATATTAGAAAGTCTAGATTAATGCTATAGTTAATAAATAATTATTGGGTTATTTATTTTTTATTCCAAAATATTTTATTTGTAAGTATGACAATACCATATATCACACATACTATAGCTAAAACTAACTGGATTATAATTGCTGCAGCAACAATATAAAAATTAATTTTAGTATTGCAGGAATTATTAAAAATAATAAAGTCTTTATAGAATTCGGTCCTAATATTAGGTATTATATTTTCGACTGTGCAGAATAGATTAATCAACTTATTTCCAAACCAAGCTAAAGAGCAAGACCAAATAAAAATGAAAAGTGAATAGAATGTTATAATTGATGTAACAAATATTAGGATTTTACTACATATTACTGCACTTATAAATCCTAATAACCCAATTAATAGAGCAGTAATTCCTGAGGAGATTGAAACTCCAACTGTTGTCTGATAGTATAGTATAACTTGTGACTTCAAGTCATTATTCAACATTGTATCAATGACACTGTCATTATAAAATGTATATAATGAGGATGCACATGCTATTGTAATACATCCAATAAATGCTAAACAGTAATAAAATATTGCTAACTTTTTTGAAACCCCAGTTCCTAGAGATAGATGTCCATATACTACAGGGAACTGAATAATGAAAGTAATAATTACAAATGTACCAAGGAGAGAGGTAGATAACACTGAATTAAACAATAATTTGTTTGTATTAATTTCAAATACATTATATTTGATTGGGATAATACACCCTACTACTACTCTGCAAATTGTAAAAGCTAATAAAGGACATGAAATTAACAATGGAAACCATATAGACAGTATATCAAAAGTTAGAGCTACATTTTTAATATTATTTTTGTCAATGATTTCATTAAATACATGATTTATGATGCCCATAATAGAATGTATAATTAAACCTAAACAAGTAATAACAATAGAGAACCAAATGATTATTGTAGATTGCAATGATATTTGTGTTACTTGTTCCAACTTTGGAGATTTTTTTGAGTCTCTATATACATCAAACATTACAAAAGAACCATATAGTCCAAAGAAGCAGCGTATTAATATAAACAAGTTTTCAATTATAAAAATAGCGTCCCTTTTTTTTTTTCTTTGTTTAATATCCTTAACTTCTTCAAAATTTTGTGGAGTCACCTTTGGTATTACAACATCTCTGCTAAAATCTTCTAGTTCAATGTTATCATTCATCTGGTGACTAATTTATTTCATAAACAATAATATAAAGTTATTTATTTAAATAATTTCATATATATAATAGTAATTAAGATTCTGAAAGTTATTTTCCAATATTTAAAAGGTCTATAAGTTAAAATAAATATATAACTTATATTGAGATATTCGATTTAAATTAGAAAATTATTAGTTCTTAAAAAGGTCTTACTATTTCTTTAAATGAATGATTGTAAGCCCTAGTTTAATAGGTACAGCCTAAAATTATGATAAAGAACTAATTTACTAAACTGATTTGCAGGACACCCATATATTAGGCGCTAGCGCCTACTTAAGGGGGGGGTACCTTTTGCATGTATTTTTTCTTTTTGCACCCTGATGCAAGAATTCACTCAAACAGTTTTATATTAATTCCTATATGATTTGTAGAAATATTTTATATGTCTGTCATATTATTTAATGCTAAATAGTAGAGATAATTGAATGTATACGCTTACATTTGCTGATATATATCCATAAGATTCTACATAAATTATAACAAATAAATTTATCTACTTTATCTTATTGTTAAATAATAATATATCTTAAAATTATTATTAAGTAAATAATAAGACAAGTTAATGAAGTTTTATAATATGAAGTGATATTTTTATTCCAAAGGTAGATTTAAATATTCTTCAATATTATAATTGCTAGAATTCAATAAATATTGACCCATTGGATACAATTAGAAGTAAAATATCAATTAAGATCACTATCATAATTATTTGTATGTTAAAAAAATACATTGATATTTACTTATTAGTATTTCATAGTCAAAATATTAAGGTAATTTTTAATTAATAATAATTCCTAGTCCTAATAAAAGGATAATAGTGACAGCTTAAGTAGAATATAATCCTATTGGGAGATTGTGAGAGTGTATGATATAAATATTAATTAAATAAATAAGAGGATTATTGAGTATCTAGAGCAGAAATAGTATTGGTTTAAAGGTAATCCATTAATTTGTTATGTAAAATGACCTAAATGGTGTTACGGAGAAATTTATACTATACCTAAAACTCTAAGTCCAATTTCACCGGCACCACAGTTAGAACAAATTGAGCCAGTGAATTCAGACAAATGGGTTGAATTACAAACTGGACATTTGACAAAACTATGGACTTGGGGGTCAATTTTTTTAAGAGAGGAACAACATAATAGTAAATGATCAACATCTTTGATTGGGTCAAAGTTAAACAAATATTGATCAGTTGCTTTTTGTTCACATACTAAAAGGATTTTTTGAGTCTTCTCAATATCGTCAATATTTTGCATAGTTAGTAATCTCTTTGCAAAGTTAGCAGCAGTTATATAATTTTGGTATTTCCATGCTATACCCATAGCTCTTCTTAATACAAGAGATAAATGTAAAGGTTGTAAATGACAACAAGTAAAATAAGATATAAGTTCTAGATTACGAATAATAATATTTGAGTCATTTTGATCAAAGCAAGAAGTGAGCATTTCTGTTCTACTGAGCTCCAGTCTCATCCCAATAACATATTGGGAACAGAGTTCCAATAATTGTTTAAATTGTTCAGTACTTCTAGAATAAAATATATGATGTTCAATAATCAATGGAATTATTAATATAAGTTCTTGGAAAACTTTCAAGGCTTGTGAAAATTTCCCATTAGTAACAAACTTTTGACCAGTCTTAATAATATCTAGTATTGCAGATTCACTATATAATATCATTGGTTCAACATGATCTGAAATCTGATTACCGAAGAGTTTACTTTCTGAAGATATAAAAGGTAAGGATAAGGAGATATTACTACAAATACTTGGTAGGTTATAATATGAACTTAAAACTATGCTTCTAAATATTGGATAAAAAGGTTTCAAATTTTTAGCTCCAAGCTTACGCTGTAAAATACTTAATGAATCATAGTATTTACCTCCAATAGTAAGATTAATAATTGAATTTCTAGAAATTGTTGTAGGTAAATTATTAGGTAAAGATAAAATTCGTTGTTCAGTTGATATTCCTAATGCCTCTTTATCTCTAGGGGCTGAATAATCATGTGATTTATCAACTGTATTAATAACACTATAATTTGAATCCTTTAGATCTATTGTTTGATCTGGAAATTCATCATGTACATCAATATTATCTATATCCCATTCACTAGGTATGGTTTGTTTACTAGCTGATTTAATTATATTACCCCTATCTATATCCTTAGAATAACTTTCAACTATTTGCTCAGATTGATCATTTCTATGAGGACTTGTCTGACTTTTAATAATAGGCCAATTTATATCTCCATGTGGAAGGTTTTTAGCTCCTAATATTGGAATACAAGGAGATATAAGGTTATTGGAACAATTAGAAACTACACTTTCAAGTTCCTTTACTAATTCAGAATGATCGCCATTTATACAATAAGACTCCTTATATACAGTTAACAGTTCCTGTTGTAGATCATGAAAACCATAAGTATAAGCAGTAGCAATTGCCAGGGGAATTTGACCAAGTTTCCGAAGGACTGAGATTCTCTCTTCAATATCACCAAGTAGCAAAGAAATATGGAATTTCCTTGACCAGTTTTTCTGTTTCTCAGATATTCTTGCTAGTTTAGCCAAATTTTCACGTTGACCAATAACATAATAAAGTAGAGCTAATTGTTCAAGTTCCTTTACAACTTGAAGACATTTTTCAGCTATATTAACAAATCCATTGGTAAGAGCATTATGACTTAAGCTTTTCCACATAGTCAGTAGAGTATTACTATTCAATTTTGGAAGAATTGTCTTATGAGATGAGTTAAGAGAGTTGTTAGATATATATGTAGTCCCATTAGTGCTTATACCAAAGGAGTTGTTATTTCCACTATAATTATGTTGTAATTGGGATAATATATCATATGCTTGAGAAATTTCGCCAAATTGTATAGCATAATAAAATTTCAAAATGGGATTCTCCACAAGTCGAATAGCTATTTCAGGATATCCATGTTGTGTTAAATAATTTAATGTTGATAATCCCTTGAGATTTCCACGTTCAATATGACATATTATGTTATTCTGTTGCTTAGATATTGAGATTTTAAACAATGCCTCATGTAAATTTATATCTTCAATAATTTGGATCTTGCCAAATCTATTTAGAGTAACCAAATCACTTCTTGAATCTTCAAAATATTGTATATAAAATACATCTGAAACAGTTTCTATAATTCCACGTTCATTTAATGTAGGTATAGCATATTTAATGTGTCCCAAAGTTGTATATATATACAATGGAAGAGTTGAATGCCAAGTTCCTGACTTAACTGTAAGATTTTCAGTGAAAATAGCTAAAATCTGTAGTTTTGAATCAGCAAAAATAATATTGTATTTGAATACAATAGCTACGAGTTTTTTATCTGTACTCCATTCTACAGATCTAATACCAGTACCTAAACTTGATGGATCACTAGGATTTCCACAGATGAATGACAAACATTGAGGTGCATTGGGACTCATTTTCGTATTTATAACCGCAACTTGATGGTTCTGAATGTTAGAAATAACTAATTCAGCCGAAATATCTCGTTGATTAATATCATACAAATATAATACATCATCTGACTGGATTATTACATGCTGCTGAGATGATGCTGAATATAACTTTTGAGCTATCCAAGGCAAGTCCCAACGTTTGAGGATATCACCCTCTAGAGAGACAATTGAAATTGTTTGTCCTCCACTTTCTAGAGCAATGAAACGGTTCCTAGCAATAAAAGTAAGTGAAATTACACTAGATAATCCATTCCTCCAAGTCATATTACTAGATAAATTTTGGTCATATAAACTACAATCAGAGATTGGAGTTGTTACAATATCATATGTAATTAAAGAGTTACATGTATTATTTACAGATGTAGTTGGAGCTGAGCTTATATTTCCAGATGATCCATTTAGAAAGTCCTTCTTATAATATATAACAAAACACAACTCGTTCGGACTATAAGGATTTATGGATAATTGATAAGGACATAAGGTATTTGATGTTAAGTTAGGATTTTTCAGAGGCATTATAGATGTAGTTGTGTTATTCTTTATATCATACATATATAAGTATTTGTCAAAGATATACCAGACCTGTCTCATACTTCTAATTATATCACTAGGTAGTCTCTCCATTTCTAGCTTAAATATCATCATCCCAGAATCATGACCAGCAGCAAAAAGGCTACTTGTTGGATGACTCACTATAGCCCAAAATCTATCACCTTCTCTCTTGTATGTATGTAAGGGTATTCTCTTGGTTAAGTCCCAAATCCTAATGGTCCTATCTTCACTATCTGATAATAACCAATCCTTACTTGTATGGAATATAACTGAAGATACATTATTAAAATGTCCCCTCAAGGTATCAATTTCCCAAGCCTTGGTTTCACTATACCTCCATAATTTTATTGTTCTATCATCTGAAGCAGAAGCTATAAGAGATAAAGTAGGATGAAATGTGACCCAATTTACACCTCGTTCATGACCTTCCAGTACAAATTTACAAATTACATCATTAGCACCAAACATATCAGAGTGAGCTGGCATTGTATTAGATATTGATGTAGATAGTGATGAGTGACCCTTTACTGTCTTTTCTCTTAAACCTGTAAAATCCCATATCCTTATAGATTGATCCATACTTGCAGATACTATCAAATCCTGATGTGGATGAAATTTAGAGCACATGACGTAGTGATTATGACCAGTAATCACTGCTATACATGCTCTACTTTGCCAATTCCATAATCTCATAGTCTGGTCATCAGAGCTAGATAATATCCACGGATACTCTTTATGAAACTCAACAGTTCTTATATAATCTAGGTGGCCAATCAATGTGAATAAACAACGTCTTTCTTTGTAGTTCCATACCTTAACCCTATAGTCATCACCACCAGATACAAATATAGGTTGACTTTCGTGAAAATCCACACTTCGAACAGGCCCCTCGTGTTCTTCATAAGTATCTAGAAGACTACCCAGACGATAATCCCAGAATTGTATTATACCATTGTGTAAACTTACTAATATCCACGGTAGCTTTGGATGAAAGGATAAACCTTTAACACGAGTACTTTTACTCTCACACCTTATCAGCATTACTTTCCTAAATAATCATAGAAAAAAAAGTATAGGCAATAAGAGGTAACTAGATTAGTGGTTAATATATCAGCCAATCAAAACACTCACTGCAACAGTGCTAATGAGACTTCAACGCCATCTATAAGTACCCCTCAGCAATTCCAAAGGAATCTTTATCATGGACCGCCTATATCAGGCGGGAAATAGCCAACTTCTTAATATAGAATAGGGTTAACCTATTTAAATTTATAGCAGTAATTTCACATGATATATATATAACTTAAGAGGCATTTACCGAATAAGTGTTTTAGCAATGATTCGGAAAATTAATTACCATATAAATTCAGATAGTACTAAAGTATAAATAAAGTGTCAATAACAAATGGTATCTTAAAAAAATTTAAATTGTCCCTTTTAAGATGAAAAAGGGGAAGGATTCTAGCTGGTACAATGATAAAGTAATATAATAGAAATTGTCTCCCAGATATACTACATACCTAGATAGTATAACCAAACTAATTAAAGTTCCATAGCTACGAGACGAACTAGATTTCCCCTCTTAATCTTCAATATAGTAAGCTAGATTCATCCTTGCTTAGCTTATATAGAATAGTAGATAGTTTAATGTGGACTAGATTTTTAATATTGTTTGCACTATGACTTGACATAATTTAGGTTTAACCACTTTTATTTAAATATATTACAACAAAACCTATTATGGGCACAGTGATACATTTAGAAGGCGCTTGTTCACACATTGTGGGAAGTATTGGTGCTGGTATATTATACATTTATGACTTTTCAGCTTCTCTAATGTCTTCAATTGAAGGAGATAGTACAATTGAACGGATACAAAGATTACTTGGTGATGAATATGACAATTACAAAGAAAGTTTTGAAGCTATATACAAATCTGATCCACTAAAGAATCCTCAAAAATTCTTAAACCATGTTGAAAAATACTTAGGTAAATCAAGTTCAAAAAGTACATCAAATCTAAGAGTAGGACCATCAGCTCGAAAAGTTATTGAACCTTCAATTGAGAATAGTAAGGGAATAAAAAATGACTCTGAGAAAAACATGTGTTTCTATCTGGCTAAGAGTGTTTGTATAACTAGTTACTCTGTAGGAACGACTTTTTTAGATGAATCTGAAAATAATAACAAGGATAATATAGAAAAGAATATAGTTTTGGCTAACATTTATAATGAGAACTTGGTAGCGAGGAAAGGCTGTCTAACAGATAAGAGTTGTACTAAGTACTACATTGAAAATCTTGTAGATTCTATTACTGAAGATTGCTTATGGCTTGATTCTGATTTTGAAATTTACAGTAGGTCTATAAGCAAAAGATGCCAGGATCTTATTGAGATGATAATATCTCAATGTTCAAATTCATGGTTAGATGAATCAGGTGAAAAATATCCTATTATCCCAGTAGGAGAAAGTAGAAAACAAAAGGTCGTGACTCTAGGTCAAATTGCATGTGATAATGAGAGTCATTTGAATGAGCAAAGTATATTATTAATAGGAAGTCGAGAAAGAAGTGGTGGTCATACTTGTGAACTCAGGATTAGAAACACTATTAAAGATATCACATTATATCCAGGTCAAATAGTTGCAGTTATTGGAAATTCAGAGATAAATGAGTTTGGACAATATTGTTTTACTGCTGATGAATTTATTGGGGGTCTGCCTCCACAACCACCTAAGGTAACTTTTAAGGAATTATCAAATTCAACTAAGTTATATGCTGCTCAGGGTCAACATCCTGTTCAATGTATTGTATTTTCTGGGCCTTTCACTAATAATAAATATCTTGATTTTTCTTATTTGACACGTATATTAGATTATGTATCTAAGGAAAAGCCTCATGTTTTGATTTTAATGGGCCCATTTTTAGATGCAAGAAATGAAATAATAAACAATGCAGACTTATATAATCATGATACGGGATCATTTTTAAGTTTTGAAAGCATATATCGAAATTTATTTTCTAATTTAATATCTCAATTTGCAAAGCGTAATGAGAAAGTTAAAATTTACATTATTCCTTCTGAGTATGATATAGGACATTCATATCCAATACCTCAGCCTAGTCTAGAGCAGTCTTTGACACAATTGAATTTTCCTTCAAATATGTATTGGTTAACAAACCCATGTCAAATTTTTATTAATGACTTTAAAATTTATATAACATCTTCAGATGTAGTGGCTCCAATGGCTAATTCAATGATTACTAGAAGTGAATTACCATTACTTGATATAATTCTTAGCCAATTTTTATATCAAAGAAGTCTATTCCCTTACCACCCATCTCATCATCCAATTGATCCTAGAAAGCTTTCTAGATTAACTCTTTCTGGAGAATTACCTCACTTGATCTTGTCTTCAAATACTATGGAAAGACCATTCGCAAAACCTATACTAGGATACTTATTCCTTAATTCTGGAAATGGGAATATGAAGACTGGTATTTCCTTTTTTTTGTATGCTCCTTCAAAAGATCAGTTGATGAGAGCTCAACAAATATCTAGGAATTTGACAGATGCATTAGTTCCAATGTATACTAGTGAAAGGATCAGAGTAGATCTTATTGAAATTACTTAGTAATTTCATAAAATATAATATATTCAGTGAAAATACTCCAAATTCATAAATATAAATTTATTTGAGAAAGTGAGATAAATATTAGAAATATATAAAAATTATTAATCTCACAGCTTACAAAGTTTCAAAAAAATTCCTCAACTCAAAATACTTTATAAATATAAACTAAAAATTAATTCCAAAAATTAAAAAATATACTTTGTAACTAAATTATATTTATACAAATAGAAAAGAAATAAGACAATAATTTACTATATTATAATTATGAAGTAATGAAATAAAATTCAGGTGTTAGTATTATGATGTGAAGCTAAGTATTTATACGACAAATTTATGTATATATTTTCAATATATTTTCAGTCTAATATCTTAGTACGTCTCTTTAGTGTTTCAATACCACCATCTAGCCTTGGTACAAAATCCTTTGGTAAGAGTTTATTACCAATGAGTAATAATTCCCTATATACACCTCTAACTGTGGTTTCACCACTTTTAGCTGCAACAGCAACACTTTTCATATCTATTTGTATATTACACAAATTAGAGACAAAATAAATGGCACCTGCAGCAAGTGAATTAGGTCTATGACTTTTATTTATATATTGTTCTGCTGTTCTACAGACGTATTCAGCAACTCCTACAATCTCATGTGATAATTGAAGGTAATGACAAAATCTTGGCATTAATTCAGCTGCAGAAGAGCTTAATGTTGGACCTTTTCTTGGTAAATCTTTTTTAAGCTTATTAATTGCTCTCACAAATTCACGTTCTGAGACACTTCTATCATAAGTTAAAAGTTCCTTAACAGTTCTAGATACACCTTCTTCCCTACAGGCAATATATACAATTGCTAATGTATACTTCTTCCCACTCTTTAATATATTTAAATTGCTCAGCTCCTTAACTATTTCCTTGCATCTCTCTATAATATTGTCATGAAGATTAAAGTTACTAGCTATAAGCCTAAGTTGGCTGAATACTTCCTTAATTAATCTATCACTAGAGGCTTGACCTGAGTGCTTAAGCATAGCTTTCATTAATTTCTTATCTCCAACAACTAGCTGTGAATCTGTTCCATCATCTAGCCATACATCATTAGTAGATCCAACACGTGATTTAGAATTTCCATCATTCCCATCACTTGAAAATGAACGCCATTCTTGTTCTTCATTAATTACTCTGTCCTCTACAACTACTCCACAACGAGTGCAAATCTCTGAACCAGACTTTGAATCATATACAATAATAGAATTCCCTAAACCACAACGTTTACAATGCTTAGATATCCTAAAATTTCGGAATATATGAGCAGAAGCTGCAGGCTTAGTTTGAATTAATGAATTTGATCCATAAGGAGTAGATCTATTTATGTTATATTGACTTTCATTATTTGTAGCTACTTTTCCACCATATTCTGGTCTTATTGGACCTGGAACTGTAGTTAATTTAGATGCAAAACTTACAGAATTTCCTTTATATGTATTTGTAATTGTACTGGATGAGCTATTTAAGTTTACATTATTCTTTGAGATTGTTAAATTTGGATCCAAACTTGGATTATGAGATACTGATATAGGTTTAGATTCTTTTCCATGCAATGTAACATTATCACCTAAAGTTGAACTAGATGTTATTATTCCATTTATCTCCATTGAATATAAACCTGATATAAACTTGGCATAAACTTGGGTAGTTTAGTGAGAGAACTGTAGTTTAAATAAAGAATCTTTTCTAATATAATAGTCCAACAATTAAACCCGCCATTACGCTTATTAGTTCAAGAATATGAAGCTAATAGAAGATTGGTAATGGGTACTTATAAGGGTAATTTATTGCAATTAATAAATATCCATAATTCGAACCCACTAAATTGACTTCGGTCCGAAATATAAGAATGACAAAGGTACCAGTATCTATAGTTACAGGATTTTTGGGATCTGGTAAAACAACTTTACTGCGTCATATTGTAAAAACATTAACTACTAAGAAAATAGCTATAATACAAAATGAGTTCTCAGATGAGATGGGTATTGAGTCCCCAACAATAGTGGATTCTGAAGGCCAACTATTTAAGGAGTTTTATGAATTACCAAATGGCTGTGTCTGCTGTTCTGTACGTGGTGAGTTAATAAGAGCAGTTGATCACTTACTTTCTGTAAAAAGATTTGATAAGATACTAGTTGAAACAACTGGAGTTGCAGATCCTGAGCCTTTAGTCGAAATGTTTTGGACTGATGAAGAATTGGGAAGTAAGGTAATGTTAGATGGTATTATAACAGTAGTTGATACATTAAATATACAGTCTTATCTTAATTTAACCAATAAAGATATCCAAGATATTATAGAATTAAGTATTGAGACAAATAACAAATTAATTACTGAAAAAACTCGGATATTATCTAATCTTTTAATGCATCAGTATGATGATATAAATATAACTGAAAATAAATATCCTAAACTAGTAATTGAAACAATAAAGCAAATTATAGCTGCTAACAAAATAATATTGAATAAAATTGATTTATTAGATATTAATGAAAACAATAGTGATAGTGATCTTTCTACGATAGAAAAGATTATTCATTTTATAAATCCAACTGCTGAGATATCAAAGGCAATTAAATCTAGTGTACCAATAGATTGGATTTTTGATATAAATGGTTTTAATATAAATTCAATATCATCAGAATTTGATAGATTCCAGATTATAAACGAAATTATGCCTATAAGCTCAATAAATCCAGTAAATTATATTTCTAATGAGATGTTCACATTTCAGCACTATATATTTAGCCCAGAAGCTATAGAAAAATTTATAGCTCTTGTTGTTTGGGATTCTGAAAAATTTAATAATAAATTAGGAACTTTAGTTCGTTATAAGGGTATTTTTAAAGGTTATAAAGATGAAGATAAACAAGAGATAATAGATTATGCTTTGCAAGGAGTTGGAAAGGTATTTGAAGTAGTACCACTAAATTCTGAGACTTTAGAGATGTCAAAATTTTTGTTCATAGGGTTTAATCTAAAAAAGCAGGCTATTCATGCTTCACTTGTCTCATGCATAGCTTAGTATTTATAAATACAATAAAAGAAAAATGATAGCCTTCCTTTCAAATTGGCGCCCGCGCCTTTTGGTGGTTATAAGTTATTTGGGTCTACTTTTGATTATTACTTATTATTTTTACATTTCTAAGAAAGTAGATGCTTACTGATTAAATCTGGGAAAAGCACTTGAGATATGGCAGACAAAGTACAGAAGGTACTAGAAGATATGGTCCCTGAGCTTCTAGACTTAGGTAAGAGAGAAGTCTTTTCTGGTACTGAAATTCGTAATATTATAGAGAGACGACGGGACTTTGAATATAAGTTAGCATCTAGAACTCCTTTATTAGGTGACTTTTTAGAGTATCTAGAGTATGAATATGAGTTAGAGAGAATAAGATTTGCAAGGACTAGAAAATTAGGTCTGAAAAAACGGACAATTGGAGATTACTCTATTATTCGTATAATCCATTTTATTTTTAAAAGGGCCTTAAGAAGATATCCAAATGATGAGAAACTGTGGTTACAGTACATCGATTTTTGTCTAAAATCTGGATCTTCAAGAATTTTACAAAGGAATATGATCACTGCTTTACGCAATTTACCAACTAGTGCTACAATTTGGATAATAATGGCTGATAGAGAATTTCAAAGTGGGAATGCAAAGTCTGCTCGTTCTATTTTGATGCTAGGTCTAAGGATAAATAAGTATTCTTTCTTAATGTGGCGTGGATTAGCTCAGCTAGAGGCCAATATAATATATAAATTGTACTTAAATGAGTATACAAAATCAGAACTTGCTTTAAGTGCAAAGTACTCTAAAAAAGCTACAGCTGCTTCATTAGAACCAATTTTAAAATATGCTTTAACTAGAATAGAGCCAGAGGGGCATAAACATGCATTTTTAGTATATATGTATCGTATATTGTATAATTTATATTTGGTAAGGAAAAGTGGTACTAATAGCGATACTTGTAACAAGAAAACACCTGAAATTCATTATTTATCAAATTTTGAGACAACATTAACAACGAATATATATAATAATATAAGTTCTCAGCCAATATTTGTAGTATTCTTTGGAATAATAAAGATGATAAATTTGAATAAAGAATCAGATAAAGATTTTATTCAGGATCCTAATGAGATTATTACTTATATTGAATGTATGATGAATGAGTCTTTAAATTTATTACTTAAAAAGGAAACTGAAGGAGCTGGTATTTTTTCAATGTTATTAATTTGCAGATTCTTATATCAATGTGGCCTGAATAATATGGAGGAACTTGATGGGTGGAATAGTGACGAAAAAAATAATTTTGGTAAATTAAGAAATGTGGTAGATTTTGGTTTTTCATTTTCAGATCAAAGTGATTCTTTAGAGTACTCCGCGAATATGGATTCTAAAAATAATAGCTCTACCATATTTAAAGGAAATCTTCTTAAATGGTTGTCTTTTTCTTCCTCAAAGGGTATTATTGATTCTTACAATATTTGGCCAAAGTCAATGTTAGATCTCCTCACTGTAGAACCATTTATTTGGAATTGTTGCATATTATCTAACCCAGGCACTGATAAAAATGAGTTTGATAGATTAAAGAACTCATCTAAAATATTGGAAATAAATAATATTAAAAAAGAATCTTTGTTTCCTCAAGAACTTCTTCTAAATTTCAAATCATTTATCCAAAATAATGTCTTATCAGATGAGAATAATGTAAATAGGATCTATTCAAAGTTATCTGATATATATAAACATGTAATGAGTACAAAAGTTCAACAGAATTTATCTATACCTCGTGTAATGCTAATTGAAGCTCTCTTATACTGCAAGTCTGCATCTCCATCAAATATACTAGTTTCTACAAACGAATTTGATAGATATGAATCACTATGTGAGCCTTCTGAATATATTTTAAAGTGGAAGTGCCTTGTCTATAAACTGATGAAGGATTTAGATAGTGTTCATATTACTGAATTTATTAATCTAATTAAAGAAATTCATACAACTATAGCTAATCATGATATACAAGCTAAAGATAGCAGAGTAATTGACTTAAATAGCTTTTTAGAATTAATATTTTTACTCTTTAGTGGGATTTCAAACAAGTTGAATAGAAAATCAGATATTCAGTTAATTGAGGAACTTTCTAAGCTTAAATATGACTTTGTTTGTAATGCATTAATCAAGTTTCCAGTTATTATTAATCCCCCATATATTCCATATTTCATATTTAATGTACTTATATTTTGGTCTATAGATGATATTCAATATTCACCAAATTTTATTAGTGAATTTGTTGATACCAACCAATTTGTAAAATCTGAGATAAATTTCATTACAAAAGATATTCCAATACTCTCTTTTATAATAGAACATAAGGAACCTGGAAGAATCTCTAGATTATCACATTATAAGCAACGAAAGATTATATATACTGAAAAAGTTACAAGGTTAGCAAATATAATCAAATTACCCACTAGAATTCGTCAAGTTATATTATTGTCTTCATATTTATCTATTCTATCATGTGCAATGATTGAATTTTCGTGTAATCTTCGTTCCATACTAAAGCATGGACCACGTGCATTAAATGATGCAGATATTTATGAGACTACTCTAAATATATTTAGTTATTGGAAAAGTATAATCGAAGAACTCCAAAATATCAAAGCTGATATTACAGATATACTTCAATATAGCTATCTTAAGTATATTCTATTTACAAGAGTTGTGGAAGATATTGTGAATAGGAGATTGATAAATGTATCGAATATATTTCCTGTATCCTCAACTGCTTTACTATTACAAATGAAAAATAGTCAAATACCATTATTTAAGGGTGGGAACTATGATTCAGACATCCAAATCTTGTCTCGTATGCCATTAGATGACATAAGAATAAAAATGATTCTTGATGGGAATTCTCATACAAAAATGGATCCTTATTTATCCAATGTAATTACAATATTAGATCCAATACCATACATTAGTAAATGGACTTGCTTTGCTTGCTTACTTTTATCGTAGGCATAAAGTAGTGTTATTTCTTGTTTAGGGTTATTATTATGTGACTAAAATTCAAATTTGATCTCCTCTGTACTTTCACTTATTCTGCACATCTAATTTCGGTACTCTATATCCCGCTTTTTAGGTTAATATTACCGCTAAAGATTCTGTGAGAACTTAATATTTGTACGTATTTATATATGGTACATGACAAAAAAAGGTAATAAGGTATACTAAAAGTTTACTAATATAGAATTCTTAATATATTTGAGTTGATTGGGGGTATTTATTGCTTCAGTTCTATATGAAATACTTGCTAACTATTTAAGTAGACTTAATAAAACCCCTTTAGTTTAAATGGGACTACAAGATGATAATATATTGGATTTAGACGAAACATTATATATAAAACAAAGTTTTTATGGGTATGATATATCATGGGATAATGTTATACAGAGATTGCTAAGTACTGGATCATTAAAATTACCAATAACAATAGATCACGCTGTGTTTGCAGGCAATATATTTTATATTTCATTGTTATCAGGGCAGTTATTAAGATGGTGTCCTAATGAAAGGATCACAGATCTAATAACACTAGAGCCACCTATAGGGATAAGTGGTGTATTTGATAATATGTCAAGTAGCTCATCCTCTACACTTCAAGTATTTACTGATAGTACAGGACATCATGCTTTAGTATCTGCTGGGACTGGAGAGACATGGTATCTTCATAGAAGTTTTACTAAGGCTAGACATTTATCAAAACTTAGCCGCTATTATATTCAGAGTGTAGGATGGAATAATTGGGAGAATAAGAAAAAATCTAGTTCTTCAATATCTATTATAATAGGTTGTAGATCTGGTACTCTATTAACCACAATTTTAGGTCCAGATATATCTTCAAGTTTAACTGTTGTTCGTATTTTATATGAAATACCTAGTTCTCCTATATTAGATATTTATTTAGATTCTATAGATTTTGAAGATGGTGAATTTCAAGCAAATAGTGAGATAGATATTTCATCTTTTGCAGTTATTGTTGCTACTTCTAGTAGACTACTTTTATGGAGTGGATATAGCAGGATTCTTGATTTATTTATGAGTAATGAGAATATAGGCACTGATCAGAAGCCTGGTCTACAGATTGGTAGTATAGAAAGTAGTGATTCATTTACTACCAAGATAAGAATCTTGGATTATTCTTGTAATAAAAAGATTTTATTATGGATAAATAGTAAAGATGTAAAAACTTATCCATTATACCACAAAGATGAAATATCACTAATAAATAATTTTAATATGATACAAAATAAACCAAGAAAGTATTATACTATTGGCCACCCAAACAATTTTGATTATTTGAGTTACTATAACAAACGACCCAACTCTATTGAATGTGCTAGATATCACATTATATTTTTATTTGATGATTCCATTTCAATTTTATCTGCAATATCCTGTAAACCAATAGTAAATACATTAGTAGGAACTTCTATTAATCCCGTTATGTCAAGAAATGGGTATAAAACAGAGAGAAATAATTGTAGTTTTCATCAGGTACTCAGAAGTCTGGTAATAAATTACTCTAAATCACTGTTTTCTAATTCATCTGAGACAATAAACTCCAAATATTCCCTTTGGGCTTATTCTGATGAGTTTATTTATAAATTAACCCTTGTTAATGAAGAGGAAATATTATGGAAAGAGTGGTTATATATTGGGTTCTATAAAGAAGCTCTTCAAAGCATTGAGATAAGCTGCTCAGACGAACAAATTTTGCAAAGGAGACGAGATTTAATATATCGTCTTGAAATAATAGATCATTTACGCAATGGGGATATTCAAGAAGTGGGACATTTACTTTCTAAATTAACTAGCATTTCATTTAATGATATCTGTCTAATGCTTATTCAACATAATTACTGGTTTGGAATTCTTATATACCTTAAACATAAATTTCTAAATTTATCTGAAAGTTTATCTAACTTAAATTCTTCTGCTGAATTTATTGTTTTATCAATTTGGTTAGTTGAAGTTCATTGTTATATTTTATCATCCTTAAGTGTATGTAAGAATTTGGACTGTGACCAAGCCCAAGGTATCAAAGAGAATATAGAACAAAATTTAGCAGATGGTAAACAAAAAGTAAATATATCATTTTTGACAAATAAAGATTCTAATACAGTTGAAAGAAATACTCCAACATCTTTAAAAGACCCAGGTATTTTAAATATGAGTAATTCTGGATATGTATCCCCTAAGACTTCATATAAAGAAATAAGATTACAAACAATAGAGAATAGAACTGAAGAATCTAACAAAAATTGTAGAAAGTTGGATAATACTATAGACCCAATCTTATCATTTGAATCAATATCATTATCACTGAGAAATATTTTGCAGATAGTATCTAGTATTGATGAAATACAGAGTATTCTATATAAAATTCTTTTACAGTATGATTGTAAGGAAGAGTTTTTTTACTATGCAGAGTTATGCAATGATTGGAATGTTGTAATACAAGAGCTAATATATATGGGACTAGTTAATAGTAGAGACACAAAAAAGTGTTATGAAAAACTTTTGGCTGTTGATAATATAAGTAAGAGAGATTCTTTTGTATATAACTATGCTCCTTTGCTTTACATTTTAGATGCAGGGCGCTTTGTATCACTTTGCACTCGTCCTTCTCTTTCTACAATAAAGTTAGAACTTCTCCTTCCATATATCTTACAAGATCCAATCGATATATATAACTTTGAGGAAAGGAACTATAATTTGAATCAGCTTGGAATAGTTTTAATTGAGCATTTTTTAAGATCTATAAATAACTTTGTAGATGAAAAAGATAATTCTTCTAAAGAATCAATAAATAAAATTGGAAGAATAAATACTTCTGCAAGATTAGGAATACTTGCTACTTCTAATCCTTGGAATGGCTCTAAAGCCGTTTGGAATGTCTTAGCAATTCTTTGCTCAAAAATGGAAAATGGAGAGGAACTTTTATTATCTTACATAGCTCCTCTACTTGAACTTACTAGTACTTACGAAGCTAACGATAATGATATATTAGGATTGGGTTATTCTGGTAAATATATAAAACAACTGGATGAATTTTCTATTAAACCTGTAGAATTTGATTTACCGTTTCTTTTAAGTATATGTAGAACTAAACGTTACAAACGTTTAGAAGTATACATATGTTGTTTACTAGGAATGTATGATATGGGGATGGAGCTTTGCCTAAAGGAGTTGCAAAATATTTCATTAACAAGAGAGATAATATATAGATTTATAGATAATAGTAGCCGAAGAAGATGGATATTAGATCTAATAAAACCTTTAGGAAAAAAGGGAGATATTGAGAGCTTGTTAAAATTACTAGATGCATCTCCTCAAGGTATCCTAACTTTATCGGATATTCTTGAGGTTATACCAGACTCTTTACATTTGGGACTATTTCAAAAACCTATTGTTGATACTATTCAGTTATATGACCAGTTGCTGCAAAAACGCCAAAAGGCTAATAATGATTATATGCGTAATTATCAACATCTACAGAGTGATGTTTCAGCTATTCATTCAAATTTTAATATTCTAACAAGAAATAGTAGTGAATGTAATAGCTTGTGTGGCATATGTTTCGAAAATGTATTAGACTCATCTCCATGTTTTTCATTATTGGAGGTTAGAAAATTTATTGAAAACCTACAATTTAATTGCTTTGATAATTTAGCTTATCAGAATATTTTGGATAACTTCTTTACTTCTGATAACTTAAGTGTTTACTCTACATGGAATATTAAAGATAAAAGTACCAAAATTACAAACTTTTCTGCAATTACATATGACTTGTCTAATTATTCTAAGATACATGAAAGAGATCGCGTATTTTCTAATTTACAACAAAATAAAGAATTGAATGAAAATAATGGAACTTCAGTTAAGAAATTGATTTCCCCATCAGGCTCTAAAATAAAAACACCTTGTAATCTCAAAAATGATAAGAGGTTAGAAAGAGACATCCAAAATAATAAGTATTCTGGTTATTTTTTGAAATACTATAGCTCAAAAATTCTAGTATTTCCATGTTCACACTCTTTTCATTTTGGATGTGTTCTATTTACAATTGTGTCTTTAATGACAGAAGAAGAAATCCCCAAGATTAGGAGGATGATACAAAATATATGTGATTCTGCATCAAAATATAATAAAAAAAGTACATCCCCTAATAGTACTAGTTTTCAGCACTGGAATAATGAGATATCTAAAATATGTACCCAAGAGTGTCCTTTGTGTGGTGAAAGCATGATTAGAAGTGTACTCAAACCATTTATTAACACTGAATCTAATTATGATGAATTAGAGGCTCAAACATGGACAATTGAAAATTCTTAGAAGTTAGGCAAATAACATATTAGGAACTTCAAGGTATGCTGATTTATATATTCAATACTTGAAAACAAGGAATAATAGTAAATGTTTCGTCTTGTATATATGTACTTGCAAACATTCATAATAGAATACATAAATAAACAATTCATGGTCAAATTACAATTATATCCTTTACACTATTAGTAAGACCATATTAAAATGGAAAAGAATATCTATGCTTTTTTAACAATTATTCTCATGCAAAATTCCAAATATTTTTGTTTGTAAATCTTGAAATTAAGTTTTTTTTTCTTATCTAATTAAGTAGATTGAACGGCAAATTTTCTTTGTTTATTGTAGTTTTATTATTACTGTTACTGTCATTTATAATAAGCTTAAAACTTTGCAATACTTCATTTTCATCTTGTATATGTTGATGTAGAAGAGGTTTTTTGCCAATTCTAAAGACATTAAAACCTATTTTAAATAGTTGTTGATGATTCAAGATATTTCTACCATCAAATATAAAAGCTGGCTTATTCATTTTCTGATAGTAGAGTTCATAGTCTATATTTGCAAACATATCCCAATCTGTGCAAACTACTATAGCATGAGAATCTATAATACCTTCTTCCAACGAAGAGACTACATTAATATATGGTAATTTTGTTCTATTTTTAGAATTATACCTAGCTAATTCTGTAAGATCCTTGATTTCCTTTATACTTATTCTTTCGTGAGTATTTTTTTCGTTATTGCTCATAGGAAAATCTTCACTTCTAACTTTTTCCTTATTATATTTAAGTAAATTTCCAGAATTATTCAAATTGACACTTTCCAGTAGTACTGTAGCATATCTTTCATATATATATGATTCATCATTATTATATTTCCCATCTTCTAACAAGTAATCTACCAAATTATGATTTCCAGTTTCAATAAATTCCTCCCTAATGCTTCTAAACTTGACACAAGGATCAAAAATAAATACTTCAGCCCCTTCGGTATGAAGTTTTTCACATATGGTTGTAGCTGGGGTTTCACGTGTATCTCCTGTATTGCTCTTAAAAGCAAATCCTAAAATCAAAATCTTCTTATTTTTAACAGTATGAAACATTGATTTAAGAATAATTTCTACAAATAAATCCTTCTGGTATTCATTCAATTGAATCACACTTCTCCAGTATTTTGCATCCTTAGATAATCCATAAGATTCAAGAATATAAGATAGACATAGTACATCCTTTTTAAAACAACTTCCACCAAAACCTAAAGAAGCATTTAGAAATTTGCTTCCAATTCTGCTATCCATACCAATAGCCTTTGAAATTTCGGATATATCAGCTCCTGTAACATTACATAGTCTTGAAATGGAATTAATAGATGATAATCTTTGTGCTAAGAAGGCATTTGCAGTGAGTTTTGAAAGTTCTGAGCTCCATACATTCATAAATAAAATTCTTTCTTTTGGTATCCAATATTCATATATCTTACTGAGAGTATTCATACAATATCTACCTATTTCTGTTTCTATCGGACCTCCTATTAAGATTCTATCAGGAAATTCCAAGTCATGTATAGCAGTTCCTTCAGCAAGAAACTCAGGATTAGATAATACTATAAACTCTATCTTATCATCGGATTTTTGTGAATTTAATACTTCCTGTAAAGCATCTGCTGTATGCACTGGAACTGTAGATTTCTCAATTATTATTTTACTATTTTTAGAATATCTCGATATAGACCTTGCACATGATTCCCATGATGTTAAATCTGCTATTTCACCCTTACCTATTCCATAGTTTTTTGTAGGAGTATTCACGGATACAAATAAAATATCACATTTACAAATAACCCATTCAATATCTAAAGTGAAGTACAAATTATTATTCCTAGTTCTTTTTAATATATCAACTAATCCAGGTTCATATATTGGTAAATTAAAGTTTTCAGAATTCCATTGGTCAATTACCTTGGGATTTTTGTCACAAACATGGACAGATAAATGTGGACATTTATTTGCTATCATAGCCATTGTAGGACCTCCTACATAACCAGCACCTATACATCCTATTCGATTTGTGTGAATTATATCCATATTTTCCAATTTCTGCCAAGTTATTGGGTATTACCAAATTAACTCTTCATATTAAGCTAAGATACAATGCTTGATATGAGGATAACTAGCTAGTATTAGTATATATATCAATTTTAATAATGAGCTCGTTAAGGGGTTTATTATATACTTAGGCTACTGTTATTTGAGGAACTATATAACTTTTTCCTAAACTCAAGTTTTTCTCAAAAATTATTTTATGAACTCAAAAGAAGAAAAATATAATATATATAAAAATATAACATAATTATATTGTAGTTAATGATTACATAAAGTAACCTAGCTTTAATATAATCAGACAATTATCATATTTAGATTTAGATTATCTGCCATATTTTTGAAAAGACCATTCTGTATTATCTAAAGGACAAACATTTCTTGTCTTAAGCCATCTAGATATACAATGTAGGTGAAATGCGTGGTTACATTGGCCCCAGGTAACAGTGCATTCATCACTTCTTTGCATAGAGTTGTTTGCTTGACATTCAATACATAGATCCATGATGTGGTTTCTGCATATAGCACAGTTATCAACGACAATATCCCATGACCACAATGCAACTGCATTCCACTTTTTTATCTCAAAACGCTTAATAGAGTCAGATTGTATCTTGGTATTTTGATTTTCTACATTGCTATCTAGAACTTCGCCATTTAAACTAGATTCAGTTTTTTCACCTATTATGTCAACTTTCATGGATTCAACTGTCATCTCTAGTTACTTTATATAGTACTCTATTTCATTTAAGTTGAATAAAGAAAAGTCCCAAAAGTTAAATCTTATTCAACTATTGAGATTAGGAGTGTATTCCGCCATAAAATTAGCGCTTTTAAACCACTAAAAAAGGTAATAACTGGGACTAGTTTTTAGAAGATAACTATAACTAATTGGAGTTACAAGGATAGTAAATAATTGTTTTTGAGTTAGTGGGTTAATTTTTAATATATTTTATAGATAAATGGCTAAGAGTTTGCGAAGCAAAGTAAAGCGTAGATTTCGCACAGCTAAAAGGCTACTAATTAGAGATACGTTAGAGGCAAGAAGAAATAGTGAGAAATCTCAGATACTTAAAGAAATAGGAGAAGGTATATATACTCAAAAGTATTCTCCTTTGAATGGATTTTTGTATCCTGAATCAGAAAATTCTTTTATACCTCAGAAAAATAGGGATCCAGTAATAGACTTTAGATCTCATTCAATAAGTATAGCAGGATTTATGGGTTCTGGGAATAGAAGAAAATTTTATCCTGAAGAAAATATCCCTAATTTAAGTATATTGGGTAATAATATGGTATCAACTAGCAAAGATGTTATAGTAGATAACTCTTGTAAAATGTCTGACTAAACTTGTATACATTATCTTTTGATTGTGCTAATATTGAGGACTTCAAGTTATTAAGATTTAGGAATATCCTAGAAATTTTATCAAAGAAATATTTAAGACATTAATAAAAAAAATATTTAAAAAATGTATTGAAAATGTAAAATATATATGGATAATGAAATTTATCAAAAAATTAAGAGCTCATTCAAAATGTCTTTGAAGAATAAATTAATCTGGATAACATCTAGAACTTCTAAGATTCTAGAAAGTTCTACATACATACGAATTTGATTGAGTGACATATCTAACCCATCTAAAATTATTATAGGATCTTTGTTTATCTGTTATTTTAAGATATTTAATTTGTAAGTTAGAAACATTGAACATTGGGATTTCAAAATTCAGATATACAGGTCCAATCTCTCTTTTTAATATATTTGTAGGTATAGATGAATTTAGTGTAATTTTGCATTTAAGAGCAATTTCTGTTTTCCCTGGTATTCTCTTTATATTCCATACTATTTTATGCTGTTTTTCATTGTAAAGTGAACTTTGAGGGATTGGAATTAGTGGATGAATTGTCTCAAATATTATGTTAGATACTTTCTTTGGAACCGGACACATTATAATTAGATTTGTAGCATGTAAATTAGATGGTATTTCAGACTTTATTTTGATAACAAAATCCAACTTTGTACAGTCACTCCGATTATTTCTATTATTATCTGATAGATTCCCTATTGATTCAAATATATTCGGTAGATTTCCACTTGGTTCAATAATAGTTGTTGTCTTGAAAGGAATCTTAAGGCATCCAGTAGAAACTCGGTAATTCATCAAAATGAACTCTCCTTCAGGAGGTCTTAATATAATGATCTTATTTTGCAAAAACTCATTAATATCAACGCATTCATGAAAGTTACAGTCATCTATGACTGTTGCTAAATCTGAAGTTATATTTAATGGACTTATTGAGGTATAGTTATAATCATCACTTAATATTATATTATCGGTAAATCCAAGCATTAGCTCAGGTTCCCCAATAAGATAGCTTTTCATAAGGATACTCCCATCTACATTACACCTTACAATATTTCCATTATAATCTAAAACTACAGTTACTCTCTCAAATATATCTACAAAAATTTCATTTTTTCTTTCAATCACTGTATTATAATTCCCAAGAAGAGAGAAAATTTTATTATCATTTTGAGATATTACAATTGACGAATTTATAGGTCTTTGAGTAGCATTACTAGATATAGTTTTAGGATAGTGTGTAGTTATAGAGTGGTTGGTAACTGGACCAAGTGGTTTATTTATTCCTACACCACCTGGACTACTAGTTGACAACATTCCAGCAGGTATAATTGATAAAGTTTGAGGAATAGCATTAGCAAGTTCTATTATTGAAGAAGAATTTAGTATATTTTTCCCATATAATAGATCACTATATTTAGTTATAATTATCTCATTATATATACAATGTTTTAGTTGTTCGGTATTTGTTAGTTGAGGATATCCATAGTCCACTATTTCATCAATTAATTCATAAACGAGAATAAAGTTTTTACGAATAGACTCTTCATTAAGAACCCCACAAAAATCTCGAACTACTTTAATTATTCTATATAGTAATTCTACAATATAACTTGGACACACATTAAACATACTTGTACAGATAAAGTAAAGACCATTTTGAGATAGATAAATGTAATTAAGACCTTTGAAGTTAAACATTGGACAACAATTACCCTGGTTTGTTTTAATATACTTGTAGAACGCATCGTGGACAATATTGATACAGTAATATCTATTCTCTGAGCGAAAATTACGTAATATTATGGTATCTCCTCGACCATTTAAGACCATAAATTGGTGAATCATTGTTTATATTTAGAATTGCAAGTCCTTCTAACTACTATTATGAAATTCCCTAGGCACGTAATATATAGCGGGGTATGACAATGATACCGGGCGCCTTATGCATATGCATATACAAAAAGTAAAACACTCAAAACTAAATGAGACTGTTAGAACTAGAGTATATTTGAAGTTTTCTTATGCTCAATATTAATGTTTACCTTATTTTGCTTTTGTTAATTCTATTGGATTTCTTGATTGGTGCATATTGTATGATAGAAAAGATTGACTCGAGAACTATTGGAGGATCAAATGCTTATATTTGGCTTATAAAATCACCAAATATTGTTACTCAAGATTTAAATGAACCACCTAGATATTCTTTTGGTTTAGTACCCGGTGGTTCAATCTCAGTGGATTTAAATTTTGATATATGGAATATTTCAGCAGAATCTTCGAGCAATATTAATGGCTCAGATTACTGGATTCCCTTTTTTGGAGTTTCTCTTACAAAATTACAGGAATCAGATAATAGTTATAACAATTTGGAAGGTAATACATTTTTTGATAGTTTTTATGAACAACATAGTATACCAAAAGAACAGGAAAGCATGAATAACAATCTATCCAACAATAATTATATTACCTATATTGAAGATAATATTAACAATAATAAATATGAAAGTAATATTTTAAATAAAGATTCTGAACATAAATTGCACTTAAATTTAACTAAAAGACCTTATAGAGATATTTATCACTTTGAAAAACTAAAGATGCAAGAAGAAGACATCATTAACTCACTTTCAAGAAATAATGAATCTAATAAGGAGGCTAATATTACATCTAATGAATTAACTAATTCTAATTTTAATTTTACTTATGAAAATAATATTTTGAATAATAATTTCAAGACTAAAACCTATAACCAATTTGTAGATAGAAAAAATTCTAGTTTTAATAAGGAAAAGTCAGATGTGGTATACAAAAATCAAATGTCAAATTCATCTTCAATTATACCTCAATTAATAAACAATGAACATATTTCATCAATATCTTCTAGCAAATATAAACATATAAAAAGTATGAAACGATCTTCTGTTCATTCATTTACACCTCTTTGTAGTATCCCAAAAAGCTGCCTCATAACATTAAAAAGTGACGAGTTAAATTATTTAACAGGTGGATTACATTTAATAAATTTTGATATACAAGAAATGACTACTTCTTTTCTGCAGAAGGTAAATAAGTCAATAGAAAATGTTATAAAAAGAGGCTTAACTTACTGGAATCCAATAATTAGAGTAATAATTAAAGGTCCGATACATACATATTTCAGAAATAAATGTATTGAGGTAATAGAGAAAAAATTAAGTATGGATAATCAGACTAATAAAATTGATAGTAATCTTGAAATATCAAAAATGAATGGTTCATCTACTGAAACAACAAGATTAATACCTAAACTAAGTATGGCCTTTTCTTCTATACTGTTTAATAAGCAATCAGTTTCTAATTCATCATATATAGATGTGCTTTTTAAAGATTTGCCTTTATATGAAGATTATAAAGATCAGTTAGCTACAATGGCTCTACAAAATGTTTATCTCCTACTTCTGAATAGTGAACAATTAGCTGCTCTTAGTCATTCCTCATTACATGAACTCGCTCTCCTTTCATTTTCATCTTATCCTCCATATTATATTGTGAGCACATATCTTAGAAGTACTCTAAGAGTACCAGTGAAAAATTCTAAAATTCAGATAAATTTTGTTTCTTCAATATTAGATAGGTATACAATATTGGTTGTTAATGGAGATAGAATCCCTTTGTCAATTACTGGCAGTATAAATATTCAAAATCCATCACCTTTAAATCATCTCTCTTTTGAAAAAAGGAGAGAGACATTTATTCTTGATACAATGCTGACATTATATTTTTTAGTTTGGGTTGTATACTTGCTTGATTTTGTTTATTCCCTAGGATTTAGACTGAGAAACATGAACAATATTAATACTCTACATTCTACAGTACAATGGTCTTCTCTTCAACTTTTAAGTATGGTTATATTACTCTTAAAACCAATTTGTATTTTATTTGACAAATATAATCTTGTTAATTACTGTATATATGGAGAACTTCCAATGCTTGCATGGTCAGTTCCTAGAGTTTTATCAAGGAGTTTTGATACCTTATTACTTCTTTATTTATTACTTATATCTCTTGGCTGGAAAGTATTAAGAGACAATCTACTTACATTGGAAACTCGTTTTGTAACTGCTATTTGTATTATTTCACTATATCTTGGTATTTTTGAAATAACTATCAGTGCTTTTCAAATTGCTAGATACATTCTTCATGCACTTTCTTATTTATGTATTATCATAGCTACAAATGTTAATACTACTCTCTTAAGTCATACAATATCAGACCAAAATATTTCCCCTAGACTCGGAGTATTGTATAAAAAGTGGCAATCTTATATATATTTTAGATGGATTTTTATTTGTTCTATTATTAAGCCTTCTATACTTTTGTTTTACCGTATAGGTATCTTACAACCAAATGGCTTTGATGACTGGATTTATACCTTAATTGATTATTTAGCTGATTTTATATTATTAAATATCATTATATATCTATTTAGACCATTTGAAGTGCCAGAATTATTTAAACATCTTCATATAAACAGTCAGTCAGATTACTCAAATATTAGTACGAGTTTTGAAATGCCAATATGGACTACCACACTCTAGCTGAAATATAACAATATTATTAAATCAAATGTTTGACTTGATATAAAAATGAGGTTATTCTCTCTTAAGGCCTTAAGGAATTGTTTTGTCATATTTTAAACTCCATATCTTTTTAAAATTAATTATAAATAAAAGGAGATACCTTTATAAAAAGACTAGTGACATATTATAAGAGTTAACTAGGATTATTTTCGTTACAAAAAATTTATATAGTAGTAAAAAAGTCATTTCATAGACAATAATATTGCCTATACTGTCATGTATTTTTTTTAATGCCTTAGCACACAATATATTTTACCGCTATATATTCAGCCCCCAGGAACACACATCCAAGGTAAAACAAAGTAGCAGGGAAAATTTAGAGGATTAAGAACTTTAGAATTATAAAAAGCAAATAACTAAAAGAGAATAGGTTCTAGCACATGTCTGAATAAATTGGGATATCAAGGACTTTTAGGGATATCCTGAGATTTGTTCAATATTGATTACTATCATACTTAAGAAATATAGTATTTTGGTAATGACAGTTTAAAATGTCACTACGAGGACTAGTTATTGGTCCAACTCAGATGTTGGTAGAAAGTGTATTGAGGAGAATTAATGAAAATCTTCTTGATTACTTCATTAATTTACCTGAGAGTATTTGGCTAAGTGGTTTTTTGGATCAAGTTCATTTAAAAGATGTAATGTTTAATACTCGTGCATTTTCAAATGAATGGTACTCACTTGATATTCCATTTCGTTTGAAATATGGACATATTGGTAGAGCTAATATTCAAGTACTTTTTGCTCATTCTAAATTAATTGTTGAAGTAGAAAATATGGTTATAATTGTAGGACCAAATTTGGCATATAAATCATATACAGATGTAATTCAAAGCACAATAGACAAAGTGGCAAGTCATATAGAGCAATTTAGACAAATTCAGACAATGAGAAGAAATAAAGATGACAATGAGGATACTAGTAGCTCAGATGAAAGTAAAGAAACCTTAAATTATAAAAATTCAGAAGTTAAGCATATACCAAATGATATAGAAGAATCTAACACAACCAATAAAGAAGGTTTAAATACTTTATTACGTTGGTTATTTCGTTATGTACCAGACTTATCATTTACTATTAGAAATCTGTATATCCGATATGAAGATGATATATTGGACTCATCTCATCCTGTAGCTGGTGGAGTACATATTAATTCAGTAGTAATTAATCCTGCAAGAAGTTGTTGGGATTTAGAATGGCCTTCAGATACGAATGATAATGTAATGTTTGTTTCTCATAGTAGTGACTTTTCAAACAAAAGTAATAAGACGATAAACTCTTCAAATAATGTGAATTCGAGTGATAGCCCACAAATAGATGCCTCATCTACTCCACAATGTAATTCTAAGGACAAGAGCAGTTCAAATATAGACCCTCGAGGGATTTTTAATTTGAAGATTAGAACATGTGGAGTATTTTGGGATGATGACTCAGCTCCCTTTATCCCTATGTCATTACTTGAGGAAACAGAAGCCTCTGATATAAAATATGGTGTTTTTTCTGCAATAACTACAGATGATATGCAGAACATAGTTAATAAAAATTTGAGTTATCATACATGGGTCATTTCTAACTTAAATATATCATCACAGTTTGGCTTCGTAGATCCAAAAAATATAAAATCACCTGATAATTTGAAAGATATAGAACTAAATACTAAATCAAAACTAGATCATTTATCACAAAGTTCATTTTATAATTCGTCTAAATCTCATATAATGGATAATTATTCATTACCAAATATGATAACAATACTTAACGTAAATATTCATAATGGTCTAATCATCAATATTTATCCTCATTTAGTACATGGAATTGTAAGGCTTTTGACTTCTTGTAATCAATTCTATACATGGACTCAAGTTCGGAGATTTCGCCCTATAAAACGACCTACTAATGGTGTAAATGCTGATGACACAAGGAAAATATGCTGTGAATGGTGGAGATTTATTCTTCGGTACTACCGTTATGTGCGTAAAGAAGAAAGTGGATTTAATAATCTAAAAGATGAAATTAATTATAGAATAGAAAGGAAGCGTTATATAAAGATTATAAAACGCTGGAAATGGATTGAATTAATTGTAAATGGTACCAAACCAATATCTGATTCTGGCAGAATCACATCTATCAGTTCTTTTAATCTTGAATCTGGAGATGTAGTTATGCCTAATAATACTGGAAATAATATTAAAAACACTTTTGTCCAATTTTCCAATGGTACATCATCAGAAATATGTTTATGTGAATATTGGCGTTATGAATTAAAAGTTTTACAACTTTTGGCTATCAGAAGTGAGGATATTAATTTTATATTGACAGTATTGCAGCATCAACCATATTGGACTATAGCTCAGTGGCATATATTGGCAGAAAGAGAATTTGAAGTTGAATTTGCTCTAAGTCAAAATAATAATATCCAAAATACACCAAATAGTAAAAAACGTTCTAAAAGTATATCTGACAATCTAACACTAGTTGCTTTTGGTCTACATACTCAAAAAGACACTATTTTGTGGGATCTTGTTGACCAGTTAAAATATAGTTTGTCAAAGTGCATACTAGAAACTTCAGAATTTCATTCAAATATTAATCACAATATAAAGTCATCAAAATTTAGTGGTTCATTTACTACAAATGCTCCAATAAATTCTTCATCTTATCCTGGTATAGCTGAATTAAATATTTTTTTATTACAGAACAAGGAATATCATCCTTATATCTTGTATGGTGAAAATATTTTACCATTTGAAACTAATGATATATTAATTGACTTCTTTGGTAGTAATTCACAGAAATTTGCAAATAACGATGAAATTTGTAAAAAGCATGAAGATTCTAATATTTATCAAATAAATTATAAGACAAATTCATCATATTGTAAAAAGACTTTATGGCATCCAATTCGTTTAAGATTGCATTTGTGGGGACGTTTTTATGATGAGTACTTCGATGCTTTTCCATTATCTTTGTCACAAACAATGGAATTCAAACAGCTCATCCAATTCAGTCATTTCCTTGATTTTCAACAAATTAATGCAATAGCATTTGTTGAATATGATAGCACATTTACACTATCAGCAAGCAGTTCGTTTGATTTAGTTTCATTAGCAGCTGTTGCTTCCACTAGTTCAGATACATTTAGAACTCGAAATAAACTTGTAATAACTCCTGCTAAACATAAAGTTTTAAATACAAATATGAATAGTTCTTTGGATAATATGCTCCATGATCATAAATTTGAAAATTACCTTATAAATGAAGATGAAAATTTTAGACCATTTGAATTTGAGAAGCAACTAACTGAATTTTACAAAGAATCTTTAAATTTTCCAGAAAGTTTAAATAAAATGGCAGAAGAAGGTTTTCAACTTCCAAAAATACTACAAAATAGACTTATTAGTATTTGTATTCCAAAATTTGAGATAAATTTGTGTCATTTGGTTCAAGATAATATAAATGGCAAAAATCTTCTATTAGATACCCAAGCTCAGGATACTAATAAATATCCAGGTATATTATCAAGTTTTTTAGCTCAAAGTAGAAGCTCACTATCAAATTCTACTCAGTTAATAATCTCATTTACACCAAGAAAACTCTTTGGAATTGTTTTTAACTCTTTAGCTTTTAAAATAAATACTTTTAATACAGTAAGGATAAACTGCTATTTAAGGAAAGTGGATCTAGTTACTTGGAATCACAGTGATAGCCATATCTTTACATCTTTGGTAGAATACATGAGCAAAGAAGGAAACTTAGCTGAGAAAATGGTAAATGAAAATTCTATATCGTTAATATCTATAGGACTAGATAAGGTCTCAAACTTGACAGAGAATCTTGAATATAGTACAAAAAATAAAAGTGTTTTAGATGAGAAGAATATAAATAATATAGACTCTGAAACCCTAATATCAGCTGATTCAAGAAAATTAAAAAATTGTGAATTATCTGAACAAAATGATAAGTTTGAAATAAGTGGTAACTCACAGTTGAAAGACTTGGAAGAATCTACAAATGTAAATGATGCACTTTCTCCAACTTTCCAACCTTTAGTTTCGACACCAATAAGAAAAGTTAAATTTGAAGAACCATCATCAAGTGCACAATCAAAGTATTGTGACTCCAATAATTTGACTCCTCATGAGACAATCAAAACAAATTACTCAAAAACTATTTCTAAAAAAGTGAGAAAATGGAATTATTTCAATTTGGTTATGCTTCCTCCTGCTTCTAAAGTGGATCAAAAAATATTATCTTCATCAAGGTCTAATACTACATTCTCACTAAGGTTACCCTTTTATTTAAAAGTAGATTTGCAAATTATGGATATGTCTATAGTTTTCAATGATGAATTACTAGATTGTCTGCGTGCAGAAATATTAAAATTACTCCAGGTATATTCGTGTACTCAGTGGAGCCAATATAAGGGTTTTGGTACATTTCCTATATCTAAGAAAGGAAAACAAGCTACTCAAAGTAGTGGACAAGATGGTAATCTTATATTATGCCCACCATTTAGACTTATATCCAATCTATCTTTACAAGGTGAGAATTTTGAATGGCAAATTCAACGTTGGAGTTACCTCGACCAATTACTGAACAAGATACATATAAGAATATCTATTAAATTACCACGTATTGACTTAGTTATGTTAAATAATGTAAATATATCATCTTCTACACTCTTAATTGAATTAGTACCATCATTTCATCTGACAATTGAACCACAAATAATATTATTGGGGACTATACTTGATAAATTTGACAAAAAGTATAATCGTTTGTATTTTCGCGGATCCCAAGTTAAGTTTGATACTCTTCAATCTCTTTCAAATGTAATACAATTATATACAAGAATTAAAAATATTATAATTAGTCGGTATAATGATATTATACAATTATTTGAAGTATTTAATTATGAAAAGTTTGAGAATATACCAAGACATTCTTTAGCATACTTTACTAAAGAAGTACTCAAATTACAATCCCAACCATTACTGGATACTAATGAAATACCTTTAAAAGAATTCTCATTAAGTGTAGAAGCTGATTATATTAATCAATCTAGCCCATCTTTAAATATTACCAATATTGAAGAATTTAGTTATTCAACAACTAATATTAATGATGACAAACAGCAGTATAATGATTGCACTGAAGAAGCTAAACAATCACAAGTTAATATTGACAATTCTAATAATACTGGTGAACATTTGAAAAATAATCAAACTATTGAAAAATCAAGTGAAATATCGTCAAATATTGAAAAAAGTGAAAGAAATGACTTTCCAGTATTAAATGTCTCCAATTTAAGTGATACAAAATTTTCTAGCATTGGAAAAGATTTAATATGGGATAATAATACTAACAATACAACGAAGATGACTACCAGTATTAGTTATGATGATTCTAAAGCTAATAATCTTGACTTAACTTTAAACACTCAACCAATTAATATTGAAAAATTTAATGTATACAACAAAGATAATTTATCATGTATCGTTAGACCAGTGGATATGCATCCAGATTTAGATTCTTCATTAGCATTTCAGAAGTATCAGGTAAATCCCGAAGTAAGAATAGCCGAAACTTATTCATCAAAGAAGTTATCAAATTCTATTTTAAAAGGTGGTATCCAATCTATAAGTGCTACTTGTGCTTTATCTCCAAAATCAGACTTAACACACTATCCAGGTTTTAATGAAAAAAATACCTTTAATACAACTAAATCTGATATAAACATGTTACCTAATGTCAAGAACTACAATCTTGGCATTAAAACATATAAGCAGCTGAATACAGATGTTTCAGAACTTTCTACCTCAAAAAATTCATTACCTTTAATACCTGAATCAGTTTTAATAAATAGTAATACCCAAGGCAACACTAAATATAATACCAAAACTTTTCATGGTACAATTAACTCCAATTTTCAAAGTAGTGCTAATAATTCCAGAAATTTGGTGAACTCAACTGTATTTTCAAATACAGCCTATCAGAGGTACTCCACTAATACTACAGTAAAGGGCTATCTGCTTAAATCTAATACAACAATAAATCCAAGGAAATCTCATATTACTTTAAGAACTGGTCTTAATATTGAAAAACCTAAACAATAACACTTTATGATTAAGTATAGAATTCCTGTGAATAATGAATTATATTAAGTTAGAAATGTTAAGATTTATTTGTATTATAAAATAAGGAATAAATAATTAGGTAATCATAGCCAGTACTCTTGTAATACTTTGTTTTTATAAAACTATACTGATTAATAAATTTATTAAATTTTAAAGCCAGATATCTTCCTTTTATCGAATCAGCAATCTATTGGTACCTTGAGACGCATTTAAAAGGATGCTAACAAAAAAATTATAAACCTAAATTTTTATATTGAATATTTTTAATTGAAAAAAAGGAGGTTAAGTAGATAATTTGCTATTAATAGTACTTAAATTAAATTTCTTATTTGCTACTAACCTAAACCTACTAATCATTAATAAACCAACCGCCACGTGCGGCCCGCTGCATGCATGTCCATTTTGTATTCAGTGTCTCCTTTTTATACTTCTTTAGAAAAAAAAAAACAAAAAATGAGTACTATTATTAAAAAAAAAATTGTTTTACCCAAAAATATTACTGCAGAGTTTGTATGTTTAATTTAAGTTTAATTTGATAGCAACAAAAAAACAGTATACTTTTCTTGTAACTTTAATTGTAGGCAGCAGAACTTAAAGAATGTTTTGATTGGCAAGACAGGAATTCTGATGGACTAGTTTCTAAAGAAAGTTTGCTTATTTTATTACGTGCAGCTGGACAAGTCTGGTCTTTGGATGAAATAGAAAGGATTTGTCATGGTAAGTTGTATTATTTAATTAATTTTAAATGCATACATTGGTATTATATTTCAGAATTGGGTACAAATGATATAGACTTCCAAATATATTTGGAACTAGTAGCTCATAAATTCTCATTAAAAGCCGATAAACAAGAGCTTATTAATGCATTCAATATATTAGATAGAAGTGGGAATGGTAAAGTTCTTGTTAGTGATTTGAAGCATATATTGTGTAGTATAGGAGAGAAAATGACAGTAAGTTATAAGCTATATTATTTAAATAGTCACTTATGTTTTTAAACTATTGAATTATTTTGATAGGATGAAAGCTTTCAAGAGTTATTACGTATATCTGATGTACCAGATGCTTCTAGATTGACATATTTGAATAAATCTGAATTTTTGAAAATGTAAGTTAGTCTTTAATAATTAACATCTTCTTCAATTTAAATATATTCTATATTTAAAATTCTATTATTTTTAGATTTGGAAATAATTCTGATTAAGTTAAATATAAAGTATATTAGTATTCTCGATTGGCTGTTAATAAAGTGTTTACGATATATGCATGCATGCATGCATTTTTTTTAAATAAGCGGTATGCTTTTTAGAATTTTATGCTTCTTAAAATGAGGCAGGAAAAAACATAATGATAAACTCTTCTAAGAAGTTAAAGAGTATCTCTGGCTATCTTCCTATATCTTTATGGGCATCTGAATCACACTCAAGCCATGAGAACAGTACTAGCATTGCAATAATTGGAGATAAAAATGGAAGAATTTTTTGTACCAAAGTAAGTATTTATATTTATGTGAATGATTAACCACTAGTTCATAAAATTAATTATTTTTTTTATAGTGTTTCTATGACAAATTTGAAATGTCCCCACCTACATCTTTGTTTCATGCTTGTGAAGATCTTTTACTTGTAAGTCTTATTAAGAGTCTTTATTTTTAAATTTTAAATATCTCTTTAATATGGACTTTTAGTTACTAAAGTATGAAAAACGTAACTTAGCAATAAAATTGTTAGTAGACAATATGCTTGAGTATGAAAATGGAGTATTATTAATAAATGAAATTTCTATAACAAAAGTATGTTTAAAAATGATACTATTCTATAATATTGTTATTGTGGATATAGTATCATATTTAAACCTTTTAGTTTCAAATAGAATTATTTTCATTAATATTTCAGGATCAAAGTTTAACTGATGGACTTATTATCTTATTAATTACAATTTTGAATAAGCACTTCTCTCTAGCCGATAATAATAGTAGGCTAACAGTTAGAGAGACAATATTATGTTCAATATTTAGAATGGTAAGCTACTAATTAAAGATTACTATTCGAATAAAGAGTGAAATATCTAGTTAATTTCTCTTTTTATTATTAACTATATTATTATATTTCAGCATATTATTGGTACTAGTGCTATGACTTCAATATTAAAATTTCTGAGTACATTGATTAATGATAAAATATCTGTATATGCAAATTTTATGATGGAAGGAATTATAGAAGATAACTTTAGACTGCAAAAACTGAAAGAGCTTGTTAATCACTTAGATAAGAAAACATTGCAATATACTATTATAACATTGATAAGATTACTTGAGTATAAACCTGAATTTGTTATTCAAGATATTATTAATACATGTGAACTATCTATTTCCAAAGTATTTTTGGAGTTATCTGATGATCCAACTCAGTTTAAAATATTATTAGACTTTTACTTATATATTTTTGCAAACCACAAAGAATGTTTTTACAGTTTAATTTTTCACACCTCTAGAGAATGTTTATTTAATATTTTGAATGGAATTTCAAATGCAATGGTTAATACAAAATTTATTGAAGTTTTCAATGAGTTAACAGATAACAGCTATATCAACTTTTTACCAAATAATCAAAACAATGAGACTAAAGACATGCTTAATACTAATTCAGATAAAGTGTTAGTGTCTAGCAAGAATTTAAAAAATAAAGAACAGTTTATTTTTTCTTTGTTATATTTCTTTAGAATTTTGGTGATATTTTACAATGAAAATAAGGAAGATAGTCAAAATGAAACTTGTATGTCTAACATTATTGATGAGTGCAAAAGGAGTCGGTGGTTACTTGGAACTGAGTTTGGAAATTTTTTAAATAAGTTCATAGAATCAATAGTAGAGATTCTTAAGAGCTCAAGGAATATTGATAATAAATATTCTGCGTTAAAATGTATTTTAGATATATTCACATCACCAAAATGCATTGAATTTTTTGATAGTAATTTATGTTATAAACAAAATCAAATAATGGAAATACATAATATATCTTCTTTAAAAGATGATCCAAGTAATATACCTATATTAAAAGGAAAAAGTACTAAGAGGATAACCTTTAAAAGAACTAGAATAGATGATACTAATCAAATAATCAAGCATATTTCAAATGATACAACTCAAGTTAAAGAAGAGTATTGTATTCACCAATTTTTTTATTTTAAGCATGGATCTTATACTATAGATGTTTTACTGGAAATTCTAAGTAGTGAAATACAAAACAAAGGTGTTAATGATAAGTTATATGCAAATGTCAATTTATTTCAAATAAGTGAGAGCTCTCAAAATAAATTAAGAGAAAATGGTTATACAATTTTAAATATGACTATGGAATGCATATATCGGATCTTGCGTGTTAATGTACCTACTCATTCATGTCCAAGATATCTATATGTTCTTAGTTGGTTTATTTCCTGCTTATTAAAAAAGGATATTGGATGTCAACCACCATTACCATTATTTGGTTTATCAAGTATTGAATTAATTATGCAAACATCTGGAGCTGAGGAACCATTGGAAAATGCACTTATTAATATTATTGACTTATTTCACTCAGATACAAATAATTTAAATAAAAGTATACCTGAATTAGTTATTCCAAAGAATAATGAAAATATTATTAAACTCTGCAATTATATGGTAAGAACTGTGAAAGTTATGTCCATTAGACTAAGTGAAATGACTAATAAATCTACAGTAAGTGATATAGATATTTGGAGATATAACAGCACTATCCATAACAAAATTAGACTAATAGAGTACTTCACATATGTTATTATTACTATTTCTGGTATAATATATTACAAGGGATTTAATCTTGTTGACTTTATGTACTCATCAAACCTAATATTTGAATTCTACTCAAGACAACTGAGTAGTAAGGAACAGGTAATTTTGGATGTATGCCAACTTTTAATAGCAAAAAGTATGTTAGAGATGAGAAGAAAATCTAATCTCTTAGATAAGGATGAAATAATACAATTAGATAACCTTTCATATGATGAAGATATTAAGATAAATTTAGAATATACAACTAATAATGATTTATTCTCACTTGTATTAAAGTTAAGTAATAATTTAAAAAGCCGACTACCTAATGAAAAAGACCAAAGGATATCTAATATATGCAAAAGTATACTGAAAGATACTGAATCACTGATATATAATGAAGAGGGTGCAAAAGTTGTTTTTAGATGGCTTAATAGACCTAGCCAAATAAATGAAAAAGATATGGAAATGTCACGAATGAGTTATAAATGGATTTCAAATATTGCAAAACATCTGCTAGAACCACTTCTGACTGAAAGAGAGATACAAGAAAGACTACAATTTGTAACAAAAAGTAAAATTTATGCTTCATTAACTTTAAATGAGACTGTATCTAGTGATACAATTTCAATTATTATATCTCTACTTTATTTTTGTTATATTTTTTATCCAGATCAGATAAAGTGCTTTATTAGCAAATATTTAAAAGAAAGTGATGTAAAAAATATGAATTATAACTGTTTCAACTTTATTCAAAATGATACTTTTAATTTAGATGGTATAGATGGAAGGAACATTCGAATGCTTCCACCAAGAGTAGTTATGTACTATTCATATATTTTAACTGAACAATCTACTAGACAAGTAAATTTTGAACAAAATAATATTATTCAAGTCACCGATATACATTTATGTGGAAATGGTACAAATAATTTGACAAATATTACTAATAATATAGAACAAGAAATTCTAGGTCATTTATTTTCAATTCTAGTTCACAGTACAATTAGAAGAAAAGAATGGCTTACTTGGCACTCAGAAAAATTTGGTCACTGCAGAAATTTCTGTTATTCTCTAATGAATTTATCACTGATTGCCGAAAATTATATTAGTGATATTCAAAACTATGAAGTAAATATATATTACTCATTTTATAACTGGGTAATCCAAAGATCGCTAGAATATTATAGATACCAAATTTTTACTTGTAGATTTAATTGTCATATATCACCAATAATAGCATATGGAATATCAAAATGTAAAATATTTTTTAAATACTTAATTTATAGCATTACAAATCTCAAATTGTCTTGTGATAAAAAAGAAGCAAACATCTCTGATTTTTGCAAGACGAATTTTAGTATCCAAGATGAACAAGATATTATTGATGAAAAATTAGTCCAAACAAGTCTCCTATTATTTGGAATAAGAAAGTCTATCGAAATAAATGCAATAAAAAGCATTATCAATTTAAGTGAATTGATAAATCCATTTTTACAATTATTATTGGATAAAAACTCTGGTCGATTGCATGCAGTATCTCCAAAAATTCAAATAGTGATCATAAATACATTTCTCACCCTTATGGAAATAATTTGTGAAGCTTTAGATCTATGGCTCGATAAATGTAATTCAAATGTAGTCTTGCTCTTTTCTTTTATTCACCAGTTTACACTATGGTAAGTATAACTTTTTCCTCCAGTAGATAAATATTAATAGGGAGACATAAGAAACAAAATTATTTTTTATTAACTCAATATACATTTACTAAATTAACATTACTTGGTATTTTTTTTTTTTAGGTTATCAAAAATATTTGATAATAATATTATGGATGTAGACATATCAAGATATACTACATGTATTACAGTAATTCTACTAAAATTTAGTGATATAGAACTTAGAAGATCTACTGAAGTTAACAATTCGATTATAATGTTTCTTGAAAATGAATCACTATATTTAACATTCAACAAGATGATGGATTTTGTTATTTATCATCAGGAAAATAACTCTTTGAATCAAGACAACCACTTTGGTATCTCCCTAGTAGTATGTTTATCTACAATATTTCTATTACTGAACAAATATGGTGAATATTTTGTGAGCTCTAAAATTTTGAAGAGCACATTCAAGAATTTGTTTTTATATGCTTTTGCTCATCCAAAGCTATTCCTACATAGAAATGATAATAAATGTAATCATGATTCTTCTATGTGCATTAATTGCCTAAACTATGGTTTAAATAGTTTAGACATAAAAATCAAAATGGTTACATTATTGTGCATTATAGTGTATTTTATTAATAAAGAGCAAGATGTAGAAATGACTTGGAATATAGATGAATCTATCTTATATCATGTTTATATGAATTGTTTATTGTATATCTTACCAAACAGCCATAATAATGAGTATAGCTTGATAGAGGAAGCCATATTTGCAGTACTTTGTTCTATTTTATATTTAAGCAATGACAAATCTACCTCCTATTCTATTATGAATAATATCTATTTACAAAAATATATAATTGACTATTTTTTACAGAAGATCATGATAAATTTAGGTTCAACTATGAACTTAGATTATCCCTTCAAATACTTTAACTTTATGATTTATATATTATATATAATAAATGCATCACCTTGGTGGTTTGATATTCATACTATTGTTAATATCCCTTTTGTAAAAAAGATTGGTAATTTATATAATTATGTAAGAAGTTTCTGTGATGAAGATAATAACTTGGAGAATAATACATATGGCAAGCGTTATTTAGCAGTATTAGAAGCTATATTAAAGAGTATACTATCCATAGTTCATAGATCAAATAATATTTCAGAAGATGAATTCTTAAATAAAGGTAAGAATATTTTTAGTAGCTTATCATTGATATAGGCTGAGCTTATTTCATATTTAATATCTTAATTTTTCTTGTAGAAGATAATGATGCAAAAGTATATAGCTGTTTAATAGAAGATATACTGATGAATCAACAGTTAGATATTAAATTAAATGATAAAAGTAAATTAGAAAGTATATTTAAGGTTATAGATAATCATTCAACTGATAAAGCTGTTGAGAATTGCCTGAAACTCTCATTCAATGTAGTATTAAACAATATTGTAAAGTATTAAATAACTTTTAAATATAAAAAATATATAGGTGTCTTTTTTTGAATTTACCTAATGGAATTCACTTTTAGTGAACTTTCTCATATAAGTACTATCGCAGTGCATGCATGCATGTCAATAACGTGGGGTTCCATTAAATTACTTAGTGACCAATAGTCCTTTCTTTTAATCTACTAACTAGATTTAAATATAATTTACAAAGAAAGATTAAAGATCAGATTTGATAGTTGTATAGAATATATATATAGATAGCTGACAGGAAGATAAAAAGCATGGAATATAAAATCTTAAAATTTGATAGTAAGTTCAAATAATTAAAATATTGTCATATTAAGTTAATTTCTTTTTTATCATAATAAGCCAATATTGGTAGGTTATGGATTGCAGGTACATGTGGAGTAAGTAAAAGACCATTTAGTAAAAGAATTATACAAGATATAGAAATAATGGGAAATATAGAGGAACTGGTAACACTAACAAATAAAATGAGTTACCCACTAAGAATTGCAGCAACTCTTTTGAGAGGGCTAATGTTAATATACGACAAGCAATGGATGTATCTTGGTAAGTCGAAATTTCTTAATTTTTTCTAGTAACTATCTTTAGAAAATTGAATTTAATTGTTTTATTAGAATCTGATGCAGACTTATTATTTGCAAGAGTAAGTTTAAATATTGTAATCAGAGTATTATAATGATATCGTAGTGATATTTCATTGCTTATTTTAGTTTAGAGAACAATTTGTTTCGTATAATAAAACTGATAAACAGATAACTGCAATTAAAAGGAGTAAAAGGGGTATAATTGATATGATATCTATAGATTCGTCTATGATATCCTCTTTTGATACGAGTGATCATAATTTTGAGAATTCAGGAGATTTAATGCTCTCATTGGATCCATCAAATTTAATGCTTGATATATACAAAAGCTCTAAAAATAAAAATATTCTGGCAAAAATAGAGGATATAACACTACCACAGATTTATGATGAAAATAATAACCAAGTATTAGCTAATATGAAAGATAACAATATTTCGAAATGGATGACTGGAAATGACGATTTCATTTTTCATGAAGATGAATTACAAACAAATATTCTTGAGAATGTTGAAAATAATAAAAATAAAATACTTAGTATAGAGGATAAAAAACAAACAGATATAAAGGTGGTGAGGGAAAAACAGAAGAGGCAACAATCAACTTCACAAGGGCCAAATAAGCGTATTAGAAGTTTAAGTAATCTAGATATTAATATAGCATATAAAGATTTAATTGAACTTGGAAAAAATCAGAAATGTAGTGTTTCAATAAATCCGATTTTTCTAAAGGAGTTTAAAGGATGGGATATAAATCAATGGTGGCATATTGACACCTTTAAGGTTGAAAAAGAGCATAATATGATGCTTTTTAGTCATTTAAATACAAAAAGTACAAGGCATAGAGTTTCTACTATTAATATGGATAGTACTACTGAACCTTACTATCCAACAATAGAAAAGCACAGAGGTAGTATGAAACAAGCAGATCTAGAATTAGGTTTTGAAATATTTGATGAAGATAGTATGATAGATTTTCCTAACCACATCAATCGTCAGTCTCGTGGAAGTATAAATTCCCTTGATTTACCAAATATATATAATAGTAGGGAGTCATTTTCATGTTCAAATGGAAGGGAATCTGGAGTTCGTTTATCAGTTCTTGACACAGGATCAAGAAGCTTGTCGGTTGACAGTTCCCCATTTCACCTTGATTTAGATGATACTAGATTAAGGCACAGGAATTTATCAATCGAAAGTGATATGCCAGGAATAGATGAAAATCGTACAAGTACCTGGAGTAGAAGTGGATTGACAACAAGTAGTGGTACTTACAACTTAAAAACATATACTGTCCAGAAATTCATATCAGTAAAACTTAAGGAAGTTAAACAATTAAATGAAATAAATAATGGAGAATTTCAGAGGGATGAAGAAATAACTTCAGTATGTTTTAAAGAATTGCTACCATATCAGGTGACATCTAGAAATACTGCTGCTACATTTTTTTATCACATATTAGTCCTAGCTTCTTACAACGAGTTAAAATTATTCCAAAAATCTCCAGGTTCTGATATAGAAATAAGTAGACCTACATCCTTCATTAATGAAGATTCCTAAATATAGTATAGAAAAACCTTTATCTAGACTAAGTAAGTAATTATTTAAGGAAATCTTTAAAATTAACTATTCCATAAACTAAAGATAGCGTGAAAATTAATAATAATAATAATAATAATAATAAGGAAAAAAAAAAAAAGACGATCAAATCTTAAACTGAAGAGCCGCACCAGAGCCGTGGTTGTCTACTTTTACAATATTTCTCTGAGATCCAAAATAAACTATAAATTAATAGGTAGTCTTTTAGTTTTATGCCAACTTTGAAAGTACGATCTTAATTAAATTGGAAGATAAAATGTCATGTGACAAAGAACAAGAACTAATTTTGAACTGCCGTGGAAACTTGGAAAACTTGCTACGTAGACGTTTTTTTGTAATACCTTCTTTTGAAATTTATGGCGGAGTTGCTGGCTTGTTTGACTATGGTCCTCCAGGTTGTGCTTTGAAGGCTGAGATTGAAGGTTTATGGCGTAAACACTTTATTCTTCACGAAGATATGCTTGAAATTAGTGCAACGTGTTTAACACCTTACAGTGCATTGAAAGCATCAGGACATGTTGATAGATTCACAGACTTTATGATTACTGACACTAAGACAAATGATTATTATCGTGCTGACAAAGTACTAGAAGAATATGCTGCAAATAGACTGAGTAAGAATTCGAATAATCCTCCCAAGAGTGAGGCTGAAAGGAGTGAACTAGAACTTATTATTATTCAAGCTGGATCTTATAATAGTGACGAAATAAGAAGATGTTTGGATAAATATAGTATTCTTTCTCCAAGTGGTGCTGAATGGTCAAATCCATGCCCATTTAATTTAATGTTTAAAACTAAAATTGGACCAAAACAGAGTGAAGATGATGGTAAATGTAATACTGGTTTTTTGAGACCAGAAACGGCTCAAGGTATATTTGTCAATTTCCGTAGATTATTGGACTATAATGGAAAAAAATTACCATTTGCAGCAGCTCAAATAGGATTGGGATTTCGTAATGAAATAGCACCTAGAAATGGACTTTTGAGAGTTAGAGAATTTCAAATGGCAGAAATAGAACACTTTGTACATCCTGAAAGAAAAAATCATCCGAAATTTTTCATTGTTGAGAATTTATGTCTACCTCTTTATCCTAGATCTAGCCAATTAAATAATACTAATGTCATAAAAAATATGACATTAAAAGAAGCTGTACATGGTCCGAATAAAGTTATTGATAATGAGACTTTAGCTTATTTTTTAGCTAGATCTCATTTATTCTTTAAATCTATTGGTATTAATATTGGAGGATTAAGATTCAGGCAACATTTAGAAACAGAAATGGCTCATTATGCAAGCGATTGTTGGGATGCAGAGATTTTAACTTCTTATGGCTGGATAGAATGTGCAGGACATGCTGATAGGTCTTGTTATGATTTAATACAACATTCTAAATCTGCAAAGGTTGATCTACTTGCATCTGAACGTTATGATGAACCTCAAATTAGACCATTTGTTAAACTGCTACTAAATAGACCATTGATTGGAAAAACATTTAAACAAGAAGCTCCAAAAGTTATTGAAGTGTTGCAAGATATTGCTAATAAATGTGATATGTCTGTTGAAGAGGCACTTAAGCGAGAAGGTTCTTATAATCTCAATTATAAATATTGTTCTGATCATACAAAATATAAATGGGAAATTACTCGTGAAATGGTTAATTTTGAACTAACTAGTAAAAGAGTAACTGAGGAACATTTTATACCAGCTGTAATTGAACCTTCATTTGGTATAGGTAGAATTATATATTGTGTTTTAGAACATAGTTTTAGAATAAGAGATGATGAATCTTTAAATCAAGTTAATGGAGAGAAAATTAATGTAAATAAAGATATACAAACCTCAATTGGAGAAATGCAGAGGTGTTATTTGTCAATACCTCCAATTATTGCACCAATTAAATGTTCTATATTACCTATAAGCTCAAATATTATTTTTAATGATATCATTAATATTATACGAGATGAATGTATTGGAATGGGGATCTCATGCAAGTTAGACACTTCTTCTGCATCCATTGGAAGAAGATATGCTAGAACTGATGAAATTGGTATCCCATTTGGTATAACAGTAGATTTTCAAACTATCAAAGATAATACTGTTACACTCAGAGAGAGAGATACTATGAAACAAGTAAGGCTACACTCAAGCGAAGTAGTCAAAATTATTTCAGAACTTTCTTATCAAAAGTTGATTTGGAGTGATGTACTAAAAATGTATCCACTATTTACACAACAAGATGAATAACTTTACTATTCTGTAAAAATCAATTAATATATAAAAAATTTTACTTGTACAGTTTTTAACATACTTACAGATTATTAATATCTATTACTAAATTCGAAATTTTTATCATTTATTTACTACTTAGTTTCAATAAATCTAGAATTATTAAAAGTGTTTCTCTTCTTTTTACTTTTATTTTGTATACATTTAGGTTACCATCTTCAAATATTCTTTAAATAGTTACCCTCTTTCAATGTAATACACTAAATATTGCACTCTTAGAAACTCTGACATTTTCAATGACAGTAACCAAACAAGAAGTTATAAATGTCTATTCCGAGTTATATATATTTTTATCAACTAATTGATACCATATTTTGAAATGATCAAACTATAATATCTCATTGAGTCTTTTAAATCAATCTTATATCAATCTTTAAAAAAGTTTAAATAAATGTGTAAATTACTGTAAACAAAAATAATAGAAAAATCAAGTTAAATTGAAATATTACATATACTATGTTAAGTCTAGTTTAAATATTATTATTTACTTATGATCAATATAAAATATAGAGAATATTTAATTTATATAAAGTTAGCTACTTCAGGTTAAATAAGGTAAAAATAACTATTTACTATATCTTGTAAATTATTTTATTTACATAAAATAAGTAGTTTCATCTAAAACTAGAAGTAAAATAATGATGATTATACTCATCATTATTTCATATTTATTACAAAATATATATTTATGCAAATAACAATTCCTATTGTATATTTACCTATTAATTAGTGATAAATAAATAAATAAATATTTATTTGAAACTTTTAAAAATTAAAAGATATGTATAATATAATAGCAAAATATATCATTACATAACCCTAAGTTAATAGTTATTTTTGATAATATTGAATTAGAACTTCTATGATTTCCTCAATATCTATTATTAATTAATATTTCATCGTTCACTTAGTGTCTTTGTTTTATTCTAGATAAACATCTTATATTTGAAATTTATTAATATCCATATTAGTATTTAACAAAACATACAATTCTATAATTGTATATTTCTATAGTACTTCTTTTCTGTGTACAACTCTGTAGATAACCTACATATAAGCTTATATCATTCTAATAAAATCAAATAATTGATCATAAATCATATTATTTTTACTAATCTTTCTATAAAAAAAAAAGATAAATTTCTAATTTTTAAAATGTGTTATTCAAAGTCATGTTTTATATTGAATCTAATTTAGTCCTATAAATAACACAAAAAAGTGTCTGATTAAATTAGTAATGACTTTAATGACATAAATATCCCATGAATATAATCTATATAGCCGAAAAATTATGATCTTGTGTATCCAATAATAATCTGATCTTGAAACTGCTCAAGGTTATAATATAAAACTAGTCCAGAAATTATTTTTAAAAAATCTTAGAAAATAAGATATTCAATTCTTGTAATTGACTATATGGAATATTATACTTCACATAGTAATCCAATGTAAAACAAAAAGTGAAACAAAGGCTTAATAAATAAGTAATATATCAATTGAATATGTACTGTGAAACCAACAATCTATAGTTAATATATTTTAGCTATTAAGTCAACAAAGGCATTTACTTGTCTTTGTGTTATCATTATTGGATGAGGCATTCAATTGTGATCTAGTTGATGACTGTATACCAGATGAAGTCATTGTGCTTGGATCAATTGTACCATCTTCAATTTTGCTCAATATAAGCCTTGTCACCTTAACAAATACTTCTTCAACACCTTCTCCTGTTAGTGCACTTGTCTCTAAAAAAAGTATGTCATTTTCTTGTGCACATCTACTCGCTTCAAGAAATGTCACTTGTCTTTTGTCTTTTAAATCTACTTTGTTTCCAACTCCAATGATTGATATATCAACACGAGCTAGAGTTCTAGCATCAGCCAACCAATTAACTAAATGATTGTATGTCTCTCTATTCGTAATATCATATACTATTAATGCACCTGCAGCACCTCTATAATAAGATCTTGTAACTGAACGATAACGTTCTTGTCCAGCTGTATCCCATATTTGTAGTTTCACTCTTTTACCACCTGTAGTTATTATTTTAGATCCAAATTCAACTCCAATAGTATGGGATGAACCTTTTTTGACTATAAAGAATAAAAAAATGAAATACAATATATTTAATGTTCAAAAAGAAGATATTAATAGTAAACTCACATTTATTTTCTATAAATTGGTGTAATAAGCAAGATTTTCCTGCTCCTGCATCACCAATAATAATGAATTTAAACAAGTAATCATACTGTTCCTTCTCTTGTCGGGACATCTTTAGTATATTTTTAGCAATACCTGTATATTCTTATATTCGAAATACAAGTTTCCAGGTTGATATTTAATAAAAGTGGGTTTTATAGTACTAGAGCCAATATTTAGTCAAACTCGCAATCTAATTAGAGGTTCAGGAAACCAATATATAATTAGTTATGGCACACTTTCTTACTTAAATTCAGTATTAATTTTTCGCAAGTAATCTTGCAAAATTCTCTTTCTTAACTATTTCAAAAAGTAACTACTATTGCAAGAAAAACCCTTGAAAGAGCGGGTAATATTACCGCTCTGGCGGTAATATACTTTTGAATCTGGATATTTCTAATTGTTGGGAATATTTATGACAATAAATGATCTATATATAAAATTAGTTAGATTTAAGTAACTAGAAATGTTAACAAACTATATAGAATAGATCCTTAAGTTTGATATATTAATGAAAACAAATTAATGAGTTATTTAAATAAATCAGATCTAAGACCAATATTGATTAAAATAAGATGATAGTGCAAGTAAATTTTGTGTATATATGCATTTATAAATAAGAGAAGATCCATTATAAAAATAGAGGTAATAACAACCACTATATTTACTTTATGGACTAAGAGATATTTTTAAAAAGTACTTATGGACATCTTTATTGCGTCTTTCTGTCTAGATATCTTTAGTGGGGTTATCTAATACGATGAGTTAATATCTAGATTCGCTACAATACGTAGATACAGTCTATATGGAGTAAATTTTAATTATGTATTATACTTATTTTACGCTAGATATTGTGGATCTTAAATCTTCTATATTAGACAATCTCAATTACTATCTACAAAAATTCAGTTTCTTGAATTATGATTAGTAGAAATAAATTAGCTTAGAATTACTGGTATTTATCAAATATAATCATATAAATATTGTATGTAAATTAATATATATATATATAAATATTTAAGCAAATACTAGACATTAGTCATTTTATATTTAGCTATATCTAATAAATGTTAATAACTGTTTATTGAAATTGGGAATATAACTGTTCAGAATTATTAACTATATATAAATAGATAGCTCAAATTTTATAACTGCTTCTCAATATATACAAGTAAGACATTTGGAAACATTCGGAAACATTTGGTAAGGCTATACAGGTAATACTGGAATTAATTTTTTTTAAGATGAAACAAAGCTATCATACTAATAATAATAATGATCATATATGTAGTAAATATATTCGTTCTGATAATGAACAAGATAGGATAGTACATCATTATCATAAGGTTACAGAGTTGGCCAACATTGATACTGTTGATACAGTATACAAGAGCATTGATGATGAAAATACTCCAAAGACTCCAACATTTAATAAAAATAAGAATTCTTTATTATATAATAATATAAATAGTAATGGATCATTTAATAGTCCAATTGTTAAGTCTTCAATGGATTTATCAATAAATAGTGTAAATAGAAGCACAGCTCCTTCTTCATTAGTAAGTACTCAGTTAAGAGTACGACCATGTAGTCCTTCTGAAGTAGTAATAACTACTCCTAAAAATAAGAAGATTTGTACAGGACCTCAGATTGATTCTTTTTTAGGATCTCCAAGAGATAAAAATCGGTATGATAATAATTTAGTAAATAAAATAAATGGTCCATTAATACTATCAGCAGTATTACAAGTTTTGGCTTCAATACAGAATACTAAAGGTACTTGTGATGGGTTATCTGAAAATAAAATAGATCATAATATTGTGAAAGATAACTGTAAAATTATTAACAATGCATCAAAAACATTAAATACAAAGTTACCTGGTGTTCCACCAGCAACAGCAGCTCTAGCTCTAGCATACTGTTTATCAGTAGCAGCTACAACAGCACAACTACGAAAGAATGAGAATCTAACATCAGATGAAACACTATTAACTATAAATAATATTTCGAATAATATTAATACTGTATCAAGTGAGAAACCTGAAAAAAATGCTAATAAAACTTTAAATGTAGATCAATTTAAATTGCCACCAATGAACTTTTCATTCAATCCTATTTTATGTAACAAATATGATGGCATTTCAAATGAGAAAATTGACTGTTTGGATGTAAATGAGACCAGATATAATATTATAGAGGAATTGATAGAAAGGAATAGTGATAATTCGATACTTTCTGGAAAAATAAGAGATAATATCAATATTTGGGATGATTTAAATTTTATTGATTTAACAAACAAAATAGATTTTGATATACCTTATGATAGAAATCATGCTTTTAATAGAAATGAACTTGTATTTAGTCATCCGATTGAAATAAATGATATATTTGAAGCCCATATATCTTTTTCTGGTAAAAATAGTCAAGTAATAAACAAATATAATGTGCACATTCAATCTCTATGTGATGGGTTCTTAACAGATTCAACAGGTAATTCATTTAGTAAAAGTAAAAATATTTCTTATAATAAAAAGAGAAATGTCACAATAAACTCAATGAATTCTCTTATTCAAATGGTTGGTAGTAGGTAATATATGTTGAACTAGAATAAATTTAGAATATTAGTATTATAGTTAAGTTTTAGATTAAGAACTATCTTTTGAGATTTTGTAATACTATATTATACTATTATTATTATTATTATTATTATTAATATTATCATTAATATTACTATCATTATTAACATTATTTCTATCATTATTATTATCATTATCATTATTATTTCTATTGTCTTGATTAAATTGCTGTATAGAATGAATTTGTACTTGATTATTTGTATCTCTATCAATAGGTATATAGAAAGATTGCATTACTTGTTGATATTGATTAGTAGTATTTGAATTTGTTGAAAAGTGTTCAGGGGATACAAAATGTTGATAGCCTATTATTGATTGGTTTTGGGGTAGAAATTGATACCCTAGAATAGGCTGTTGGTTACCAAACATAACCATATGCTGTTGATTTTGTAAATTGGGATAATTTAGATTAGAAATAGTTGAAGGATTATTTGGATAATTTACAACTTCATGATATACAAACAAATTATTATGATTAACTTGATTATAATGATCAACATGACTAGAATAGTTATTATTTGGTGTTTGGTTTCTTCGATAATTATTACGTCGATGTTGCCCCAAATATTGTATACTCCTATTATCTGAAGATCTTTTATGGTTTGAATTTCCATATTTTGTATTGCGATTATAATTTGATATACTTTTAGAATTAAGTCCATATTGTTTAGAGTTACTATTATTAAAAGAACCAAGTTTCTTAGATCTTGGGACATTATTTCTACTTGTAGATGATATACATGTAGGTATATTATTATTTATTGGCTTCTTAATTTCATTATAATCTGTAATTTGAATACCTGCTTCCTCATATTTCTCTTTGAATCTCCCAGCTCGAAAAAATTTATTCTTTCCCTTAGAATCAAAATATTCAGAAGTTTCACATTTATCTTCTTCTGTATCATCATCTAAATCTTCATTAACTGGTGATAAATTATTTCCATTAATATTTGTTGCAATATTATTTTTAAGATAAGAAAATTGAATTTCCCCGGCTTTTCCAAGAAATGTAGAATGTTTTACATCACAAAATATTTTATCTCCAATATTTAAGTCTTGTATAAAGTAATTTTGTCTCCTAATAACATAAAATGGAGAGTTAATAGGTCCAAATGTATCAACTACAACTCCAATTATTGTTTTATCTTCTAAACAAACAACAGATCCTAGATCAAGCATTGAGCTATTTGGATCTCCTCTAACCATTATTATACTATTCTTATTATCATTTACATCATTATCATCTAATTTCTTATTTGTGGTATTTTTTTCACAAATTTCATCATCAAATAATAAATTATCAACCAATGAAAAAATATTACCGATAAATTCACAAGGTAATTCTGAATCAACTTTACAAGGTAAATCAATTATTTCAATATATGGAATACATGTAGAATTGATTAAATTATTCACATTCTTATCTTTATTCTTAAATTTAGTATTTCTAGAATCATAATCATCTTCATATTCACAATCGCTTAATTCATCACATTTATTTTTGTCATCTATTTTTAATCCAAAATTTTCCAGATATTCATTAGATAAATCAATACAAGTATCATCTGTATTTAATAAAGTTTGTTTTTCATTATTATTTATTTGTCCCCTATATTTCATTTCTCTCTTAACCAATTCTTGAATTTCATTATCACTTTCAGTAGAAGTATTACTATCTAAGTTTTCATCCTCATTTTCACTTCCTTCATCATCTGTTATTATAAATTTCTTATTCTTAGCAATAGAATCATTATTAAGAATATTCTGTAGTTCTTCATTCATATTTTCATGTTCATTACCATATCTACTACTCTTTACTTTAGATATATTCCCTTTTCTAAGTTCATCATAAGCTTGAGTAATAAGTTCTAATCTAGAATTTTCTAATTCTGCAAATTTTGAAGCAAGTAGTAAATCGTCAATAACTGTTTCGCCATCTACGATTATTGTGTCATCATTATCTTCAGCGTTACTATCCATCTAACAATATTTATATCTTTATTTTTCTATAATAGAGTTTAATGCTATTATTATGTAAACAATTGTATTTATTCTAAGAAAAAGAATTTTTTCTTTTTCTCTTATCTTAAAAAATTCTTAGTCATTAGAAGACCTAAAAGATTTTAGCGCCTTGATATGTAACGGGGTCCGACATCACCTTGACATCAGAAATCTTTATAACAAAATTAGCTAATAATTAAATATTACATATGTCACTTACTTTATATTTAAATTTTTTTAGAAATATTGATAATTGGTATATTTCAAGATGTATCAATATTTCTAGTTAAAGTAAGAATCTGAACTTAATATTCTAAGTATTGACTTGGGTTGTTTCTCTCTTTTCTTTTTTTTCTTTATTTCTTAAATTCTGTAATACTTAACTAGCAGATTTCTATCTAATATGTTAGATGTGTTTAAGTCTATTATATATTTACTAATTAATTATTATAATGATCTTTATTAGTATAAATTTTCTTAACAAATTTCATATTACTATTAATGGATTTATATATACCTGAAATCTGCTTATAAAAGTTGAATAAATATCAATTGATATTAACAAATTCTTTTCTATTTATAAAAATTACCGACATTAAGAGATTAAATAAAAGTAAATATCAAGTTTATTGTATATAATGGTATAATATTTTATAAATTATTCATAGTTGATAAACTGAATATGATTGCTGTATATAATATAATTATACAATGTATTCATTATTCAAAAGTATTGTAGATGTAATTTTATCTTGTTAATTTCACTTTAATTAAAAAATATTTTGGCTATACTATTAGATGACTTAAAAAGATTCTAATAACAAAGTTTGAATTTTTTTTTAGTATCTGATTATAGTTTAGTTATAGATTATTATTTTATAATCTAAGATATTACATATATTACAGATATATTATTATCTTCCCAAAATTATTTAAATTACAGTAGATCACTCCAAATATAATACTTAAGTTTTTCTTTTTTTTTTTTTTAGTAAAACTGGTTTATATGAAATTTTATTTAGTTAAATTTTCATTATATTTATTAACATTCTTAAATGGTTGTTTAGATATTATAAAATATATGGTTTTTAAATTTAGAACCATAATTATTTGATCCTTGTACCTTCTTACTTAAATATATCTTTTTATTATTTTAAAGATGTATTTATAACAAAATATATAATAATAAGCTTAGTAATACTATAAAGTTATATTATTAAAAAGAATCTTTGGATTTAAAAATAGACTTCAATAATCTGTAACAACACCCAAATATCCAATAAGATACCCTCTTTTTGCAGTTAGATATAAATATTGTTAGCGGGAGTTATTTTGTTGTGAAATATGTAATTTTTCTTCACTTCATGAGCGTAATGACAAGATATGGAAGATAAGGATTTTGTGACAAAAACTGATTACTGGCCTATAAGTAAATCTTGTATTGTATTAAATATAGGTAGAAAGTATATAAAGGTTGGATTTTCAAATTCTTTGAGACCACTTGCTATTTTACAAGTAGGGGAGTTGTGGGATGAATGCTTTGATAGATTTAGAATTGAGAATAAGAATAGAGAAAGTATCGGTAAAGTTATTAATCAAGATGATGTATTAGATGATGATCAAAGAGAACCACACGTCAAATTTAACCAACTAACTAATGATATTTCAAATAATAGTGATTCTGATTGTAGAATAAATCGAAATAAATTGGTTTTTAATTATGTTGATAAAATTAAACATTTAGGGAAATGGAAGATTAAATGGCTTTTATTTTTGCAAGAATTATATACATCATATTTGAAGTGTAATCCAAAAGATTATTCTGTAATATTAGTTGAGAAAGTACTATTTCCAGATTCAATTCGTAATTGTATAATTGATTATTTAATTAAAGATATGGGTATTTCAGGTATTTGTACTATTGAAGAACCATTAGCAGCATTATATACTAGTGGAATACCAACAGGCATTGTTGTTGATATTGGAATATCAGAAACAGTAATATATCCTGTATACAATGGATATCCAATTATTCAATCAATTATTATCCTTAATTTTGGATATAATCAAATTATAGATTATTTCAAACGTATATTAATTAGGCAGTTAGATGTAATTAATGAAGATAAAGAAGAAGATATAACTAACAATGAATTAACCCTTATTAAATCATTACAAGATCCAATTTTTGAAGATATTCTTTTTCAATGTGGGATTGTAAAACCTCAAAATAATGATATAATAGATGAATCTAATAGTGATGTAATTGGGAATTTTGAGTATAATTATATTTCTAATGATGGAATGATATATCAGATTATTTCTATAGATCAATATTCACGGACTCAACCATTTGAATTATTTTTTGGGGATGATAAATATGATTCAGAAATAGTTTATGATATTGTTATTGATGGAATTATTCCATCAATTAAAGCTTGTAATATTGATATTAGAAAAGAAATAGTCCAGAATATATTAGTTAGTGGTGGTATAGCCGCAACATATGGATTTGAGCAAAGATTACTTTCTGAATTAAAGTCTACAATAGGATTAGATCCAAAATTAGAACCTCTTGGTAAGTTTATTAATATTATTTCTCCACCAATATCACCATTTATACGTTCTTATTCTGGAGCCTCTATTTATGCATCTTTACCTGGATTAAACTTTATAACAAGTAAAGAAATTGTTCATTGAGAAGATTTTACAATTTAATTTAATATAAATTTTATAAAAAACTCAAATTCTAAGATAGCAATATATTTACAATAGATTTACATGCATGCATAGAATTTTACCGCTACTTTCTTAGCCTATAACTTAGAGGGTGTCATAATTTTTACTCTTTCTCCCTCTTTATTTACATATTTTCATATTTAATATTAGTAATATTTTTTACTCAATTAATATTTAAATGAAAAATTTATAAGATTTTTGGTTTACATGAGCTTATTGGATATATGCAGAACTCGTATCTTGGAAGAAATTATTAGTCCAGTAAGGGCTCAATTATCTTCTACAACAGTTAGTAACTACATGATTATGGTAGTAGATAGTATTACACTTAAAATACTCTCAGCATGCTGTAGTTTCTATGATATTTTGGAGTCTGGAGTAACTATTATAGAACTAATTGAAATGAAACGCCAAGCCTTACGAAAGATGGATTGCATATACTTTTTGACAAATAAAAAAGAGAGTATGGATTTCTTGATTGGTGATTATTCTAGTAAAGATATGTATAAATCAGCACATGTATTTTTAACAAGCTTCAGGGGGAATAAAAACAATATTTTTGATGAATTATGTTCAAATGAGAGAATTCTCAAAAAATTAAAGTCATTGAAGGAATTTAATTTAGATTTTATTCCATATGATAGTAAGTCATTTTATATTGAACCATCTAGTTGTTTTACCACAACTCTTGGTTTATCAAATAATTCATTGCAATCCTTAATATATGGAATTTATACTTTTTGTAAAACAATAGGTATTACCTCAAAACCACTTATTCGTTATCAGAACAATCTGAATATAGAAACTAATTCCATGTGTCGTCAAATAGCTGATAAAATTAATAAATTATTTATGATAAATCCCGATAAAAAAGTGTCTGAGACTGTTGATTCATCATGTATTGTGCTACTATTAGATAGGAGCTTTGATAGTGCACCATTGTATATACATGATTATTATTATCAAGCCCTTGCATATGATTTGTTGGAAATTCCAGTTACTACTGGAAGGTCTTTAGCGAATATATCTTATAATAATGATGATAATAATATGGAAACTAATAAGAATAGTGAAATTACAAAACCTTCAAATATAAGCCGGTCAATATCACTTGGAAATTCTGGACTTAATTCAAGTAAAAATTTTAAAAATAGTTCAGAATTTAAAAATAAGGGTGATGACTCATACGAATATTACGTTACAAATAGTTCTGGATTAAATGATAAGAAAGTTGTAATATTTGATGAAAGAGATGATTTGTGGGTTAATTATAGACATAAACACGTTCAAATGGTTAATCATAGTATAACAGAAGAAGTTTTAAAATTTACCCATACAAATGTAACAGCAAAAATTCATCGTAGCAACTTACATGAGCAAAATGAAAATTTAAATACTAATGATACTATAATGGCTATTAGATCTCTTCCTCAATATCAACAAACACTTTCAAAATATTGGACACATGTCAATTTAACAGGTGAATGTTTTAATATACTTAAAAAAAAAAATCTTATAAATTATGGAGAAATTGAACAAAGTATTGCTACATTTATAGATTCAGAAGGTAAGAATATCAACTTAAATAAAACTAAAGCAACAATTCTACAAATTCTTCAAAATAGTAATAGTAATGGAACACTTATTTTAAATAGTAACTTTTCAAATTCTATAACTATAACTGATAGAAAGGATCGTTTACGATTAGTTTTGCTATATCTATCACAAGTTTATGGTGTAAATAATGAAGATTTGCATATATTTTTTAATACTGGTAATTTTTCAGTTGATGAACAAACTGTTATTAAAAGGTTACTAGGCCTTGGTCTTTGTGGTTCTTTTGATGATATTGCAGCTGGAACAGGACGTCATATACATAGACTTGAATATACAAATAATAAAGAGAGACTTAAATACTTTAAAAATAGGCTACGTTCGGCTGAATTAGAATTATCGAGGTATGAACCTTTTATTAAAACACTTGTTTATTATATAATAAATTCAATAAATAACAACTCATCAAGTATTGGTCTATGTTTTAATTTCATGAATCCAAACTTCAATTTGAATCAAAGCTATCCACTTGTACAAGCTTCATTATATCAAGATGGACAAAACTCAAGTTTAGAACGTTTTCCTTCATTTTCTAGAAATCAGAAAAAAAAAAAAATTATTATTTTTATTGTTGGTTCATTGACATTTCCTGAAATCAGATGTATATATGAAATTTCTAGGGAAACTGGCTTCGAAGTTTACATTGGAGGATTAAATATTACTACTCCAAATCAGCTTATTGAACAAATTTTGTAGTGAAGAGTAGGATAATATTTCTACTTTTTAATCCAAAACTAAAATGACAATATCACCTAACTTTAGCATAATTAAACTACATTGAGCTATTTAAAAAAAAAAAAAAAAAGAAAATTAAGTTTTTTTACTATATATATAGATGTAATATTTAGTTTTATTATATATTACATAATAATATCAATAACAGTAAGTTTATATAGATAAGGAAATAGATGACTAATAGACATCTCATGGCGGGGTCCTCGGACACTTTAAATGCATGTGGTTTTCGCAACTCTTTTGCAAAGGTTATTGTTCTCTTAGTATTAAATTCCTTTTTTTAACTTTTCCTTATAAGATGACTCTTTATAGTAACAATACAAATGAGGAAACATCTGTAGGTAAACAGCTACTACAAACACTTTTAATAGGAAAAGTAAAAGATACAGCTGAATCTGATAGCTTCCTATTAAGAGACCCAAATAACGAGGATTATAGTGAAATAGAGAAGACAACATTAATAAATAATGGAATACTTGAAGATAATAAAGAAAAATATGTTGATAACTCAAATCCAGACTATGTAGCTGATAAAAATTCGAAAAATCAAGATGTGGACAATGATAAGAAAGATCTAACAAAGTCCAATGATATAAAAACAAAACATAAAGCAGACACTGAAATAGATATTAAAAACAAAAAAATTGATTTTGATATTGATATTAACACAAAAAGTTTGTTAGAAGATAATATTGAATTTCTAAAACATATATCTGATATACAGCAACTAGTTAATATTGAAAAAAATCTTGAAAGTGACTTGGAAACTCATGGAAAAAAAGTAGAAACCTTGAGGAAAGACATATCGGATGTTGAAAATTCTTTAGAAAAAGTATATACTGCAATTGGAAAATTAGAAAAATTCTTGGATCTATGTAAAATAGAGGATGAGCATATAATTGATGGTTTACATAAACTTGTTGATGTATTTAATCAAGGATATAGTTTAAATGATGATGAATGTGAAAAGTTATTTGTAAAGGACTGTGATTATGGCCTTGAGGGGGATCATTCTAAAAAAATTAATAATGAAGATAAAATAAATAAAGTTCAAACAAAGAATAAGATTAGAGAAGAAAATTTATCAAGTAGTAGTAGTGAAGATACTAATAGATATCTAATAAAAGATCTAAACAGATATGAAAAGTCTAATAAGAGTTCTATTAGTTATTATAAGGGAAATAATCAGAATAGTAAATATTCCAAGGATGAAATAGATAACCAAAATTCAAATACTAAAGGTGATAATGATAATAAAGATGGTGATGAAATTAATTATACTAATAATCAAGATAAAGTAAACAATCAAGATAAAATAAACAATCAAGATAAAATAAACAATCAAGATAAAATAAACAATCAAGATAAAGTAAACAATCAAGATAAAATAAACAATCAAGATAAAATAAACAATCAAGATAAAAATAAAACAAACAATAAAAATAAAATAAACAATATTATGAAGTTTAATGAAATGTTTGAAAATAGTAAATTTCATGTCATAAATTCTAAATATATAGGTAATAAAATGAGCTCAGAAAAGAAAGGTGGCGTAAAAACAAGAGTAAAAATTATTAAGGATAAAATTGCACGATTTAAACGTTCTACCAAAAAATAGAATAATATAAAATTATGGATATTTAAGATTAGATAAGGATGGGAATATAAAATATATATAATTAATAATCTAATAATTGAGAAGATTAAATACAATAAGTTTATGAAACTAGATAAAGTTCATTTTTCATAATATGAACAATAATACAAATATTTAAGCTTTTATATATGAGTAATATATATATACTCTAATTATATGTAATAAAGTTTTTTATTTGTTCAATAATTGATAATGCTGATAAGTCCAACATTAACTCTCCTACTTGTATCATTATACCTCCAAGTAATCTGGGATCTACTTTATATTCAATTTTAATATTATTTGATAAACTTTTTAACAATGATTCAAGTTTTTGTTTTTGATTATCATTTAGATCCTAAACATGAGCAATATAATTTAGTATAGTTGCAAAATTATATGAGGTCAAATTGAGAAATTTTGTATAGAAATTAAATGAAAATATCCTATTAATATATACTGGATATATTTAGCTAACTATTTTGATATATTAAAAGATATATAACAGAAATATCCAGGTTGTATCATCACTCCTATAACTTACCTTGCAAGAAGAAACAATACATAAATTTATCATATTTAATCGTTCGATAGCATTCATAAATGACTTATATATTTTATTAATATGCTGAATTTTTTGATTTTGTGCAATTATCTGTAAAAATCTTTTGCTTGTATTACTCTTTAAATCCATATTCTGAATTAAATCATTGTATAATTCCATCTTAGTGGTTAATGGTATACCTGGTGTTACAAATATTTGTTTTAGTTTTTTATTTCCATCAATAAAGTCACTAGCAAATTTTAAGTCTTCACATAATATTTCAAGCTCATTTCCCTTCTTCCCAATTTTAAACAATGCATGTGCATATTTATCTTCAATAAATAGTTCCCCACTTTGATTGATATTTATATCCTGATTTAGTAAATATCTTAATCTATACTTTAAGGATCCAGATACTAAGTTCCTACAGTAGAACATATTACATATTCCAAATTTCAATATTTTAAGCCCCATAACCTTAGGATTAGTAGTGCAATATATTGAGTTGTCCTATCAGCTCAACAAAACTGTCACATTTGGTTTTCTCAGGTAACTAAGAGATAATCAGATATATTCTACTGATTATTCCTGCAAGTCATAAGTCTTATAAGTGGTATAATTACTAGTAGCAAATAAGAAAGAAAATTTTCAATTATAGTACCGCCAAAATGAGGCGGTATGTTTGCCGCTTATTAGGTTGTCAGTAAAAGACGATTTTGGAGATAGTTAAATTTTTTCTATTCAAAGTTATCCATACATAAGATATAAGAACTTTGTAAGAAAATGAGAAATAGGAAAATAGGTAACAAGAAGGATATAGGCCATAAGAAACGTAGGAAACTTGGTTTAAGTACTGCAGAAGAAGTATTTGAAATGAATTCTCTTAATGAGAGAATTAATTTCGATATAGTTCTGCATAGTCATGTAGAACAGATATTATCGAAATACAGGTCTTACAGTACTCTCAATAGTATTTATGTTCCAGGGCTATTACCTTATGTTATGGATATCCTTGCAAAGATGGTGAATTTTAAGTTGAAATATCCACTATCCAAGCACTACCCCCATTTGGGTAAATTAGAAATATATGAAAATAACTGTAGAAACAAGTTAGAAGAGAAATTGATTTCAAATATAGATCTAGATAATATTAGGATTATAAATATGGACATTAATGCAGCAAATATAACTGAGATCCTACAACTTAAATGCTTTACAGTTGATTTAAGTATATTAATGCCTAGTGAAATATTTGATTCTAAAGATTACTTAAATTATATATATTTTATGAAGAGAGCATCGTTTGTTGGAGAATTGTATAACCACTTTAAAAGTGAATTTTCTATTAATAAAATTAAAGGCATTAAAGTTAATTCTTTGAATCATAATAAGCTCCTACAACTCTCAAATAATCATAGTAGTTTAAACAATGTGAAGTTATCTAATTTAATAGACAATTTTTTAATTAAGAATACTGGTATATACATCGAGTATTTAAATGATTTAAGTTACACACCAACTTTATGCTTAAACTTTGAACTTGATAAATCTTTCAGCTCAAAAACTAAGGAAATATTAAATTGTAAATTTCGTCTTCTACCATGTTTTGAGTCTGATTGTATACCAATTAAAGCACTTTCACCATATAGGAACTGTGTAAGAAATCCAATTTCTTATACAGATAATGAGACAACAAAAATATCTAATCCTGGGCTACTTCCACCAACTCCTCAATATAATGGGGCTCTTTTAAGTAATTGTTTAATTAATGAACAAACTAAAGAATTTGTTGAATTATTTCAAAGATCAGAAATTATTAAGGATACATTAATTTTATTAATTTTGTGGTCAGGAAGATGGAACTTAACTGGAAATTATACATTAGAAAATAAAGAATATGGCAATTTCACAATAATTAATGGATTAGGAGTAGAAATATTGGCTTTTTTATTACGTCATATATATGGAAATGATACAAATGGATTTATATTAAAATTAACTCCTTTACAATTATTTCGTATAACTTTAACTTCTTTAAAATTAATGATCGAATCTTGGCTAAATGGTAACAATGGCTATTATATTATTGGAAATAATCAGGTAATATCTCAAAAATTATTTGATTTTAAAGAATTTGAAAATAAGACAGACAAACTCCATTTATTTAACAGTAACTTCATCTGTAAACAATTATTTATTTTGTATGATAAATCAATGATATTTAATATTTTTTGGAGATATCAAAGTATTCTAGAAGAATTAAAAAATACTATAAATAAAACACTTACAATTTTAAATTATAGTAAACCTAAATGTTACGAATATACAATTAATAGTATCTTTATGATACCAAATGAATATAATGATATAACTAAAACATTTGGATCTAGATTTAACTTATTTTATTTTGATGCATGCTTTCTTATTACTTATCCCATGGATTATAAACCTTTGAAAGCTTCAATGTTTTATCCTAAATCAAATGATGATCCCTACTATGTTAAAATACCAGATAGTAATAAACAAATGAGACTTATAGAATTAAGATGGGAAGATTTCGTATCATCAAATTTATTAGATCTGATTAAACGACTACTTGTAAGAGGTTACTCAGATCGTTTGAATTCTATTTGTTTACGAGAAGTTAGTATAAATAATGGTTATAGCTGCATAGTAGGGTTAAAATTTTCTCCAAATATTGTTCGTTTTATTGATAGGGGACCTAATGTAGGAACAAAGGAAGCACAAAACTTCCAAAATTTTTGGGGAGAAAAAGCGGAGAAGAGACGTTTTAAAGATGGAAGTATAGTTGAAACAATAGTATGGGATAACAATGTAGTACAAGATGGTTCTAAGCATTATATTTTTCAAACAAACAATATATACTCACAAATATTTAATTACATTATTTCTATGTATTTACCAGGAGCTAGTATTAACTCTTTAGAAAATGGAATTCCAATTATATGTTCCACTATATGCCCATTTGGAGTTACAGAATCATACAATAATAATGAAAGCAATGTATATGATTCATTTAATAACTTTAAAACTAAAATTTTACAGTTAACTTCTATACCATTAACAATAAAATCTGTTTCATCACCTAGTCCCTATTTAAGATTTATGGATTATTCACATTATATAACTAGTAAATCAAGCAATAAAATTGCATCTGATTTCAACAAAGATTTAAGACCTATTCCTTGTATTATTGAAATGGAGCAGTCTAATGCATGGCCACAAAATAATGATGCTATTGAAAAAATTAAGATAGCTTTTCTCCTAACAATAAGAAAGGAGCTTATTGAAATTCATGGGATCGGTAGTGATATAGTCCCAAAAATAAGTAAAAATAATTCTTACAGTTTAGATGAACTAAAAGAATCATATAATGAATATGTGGATGACTTTACTCCTTTCTTAGATATATATTGGGATTCTACAACAACTTTTAGATTATGTATTTTCCATCCAAATGAATTTATTGAATTAGCTCAAAAGACTATTGAAATAGAAAAATTAACACAAGATACCATTATAAATAATATATTAAAACCCCTAAATTTATCAAAATTGAAATCTTTATGGTGGAATGCTAAGACAAGTGAAAGATTAAGTATTCTTGGAAATATATTTCCACCTTTTCGAGCTACTGTTAAAAAACTCAAACATTTTGCTTCTATACATAAAATACAATCTAGTGAAGAGTTCATAGAACATATTGTAGCTTATATATATATATCTTCTAAGTATCCTTGGTCTTATTTAGATACCCCAACAACTCCAACAACTGGGTTCATACGTGCTTTATGGTTATTAGCAAGTAATGATTGGAGTAATATACCTTTAATAGTAGATTTAAATTATCAGAAAAACGAAAATAGTGATATTACCTTTATGTCTGAAGAAATTTATGATAAACTAGAAATGATTTATCATACTAAAAAAAGATCAAGTAATGGAAAATTACCCTATTTCTATATTTCTAGTGAATATGATCCTCAATGCTTGATGATTAACTTACCAAGTAATTATAATTCCAAAAGACTTATTCATATTGCTAAATTATATATTAAAACTATTATTAATAATTCTCCATCACTACCCAAAAATGAATTATTAATGCTAGCTAATAGGGAACCAGTTTCTGACCTAGTTTTAACATTAGAAACAAATTATAATATTCTGATTCACCCTCAATCAAAAAAATCTGGTAAATTTGCTGAATTTCAAGCAAAATATGTAAATTTAGATTCAAAAGAAGCTCTAAAATATGGTATAACTAAGGTGAATTCTTTTATCTTATCTATAGAATTATTTTACCATTTAATTAGTGATTTAAAGGTTCAATGGGGTGAACTTATTGAATTTATTTTTGATCCATATCAACAACCATATCCAGACAAAATATATATAAAATATAAACCTACTTCTCTATTAGCAAAGCCAATAAAGTTTCAGTTAGATACTACATTATCAAGTTGTATCTTAAAATCAGATAATAGTGATATACTTATAAGAATCCCAAATTTATTATTATTGTTTAAATATATATGGGATAAAAATAAGGGTTTTATTGCATCTATTAAAATAAATTAATGATCTCATTTAAGGGTGGCATAAAATAATTATTTTATAGTAAGATAGAAATGGCATTATAATCTGTAATCACGGGGTATACTATTATCTTCTTTTTATTAGAGATAATCTCAATATGACTATTAATAATAAAGTCTGGTATTCATCGGAATTTAGTATTAGGTCCTTATAAGAAATATTCACTTATTTTGCGCTAATCCTTAGAATATTTCAAGATCTTTTAAGATTAAAAATGTCTCAGTATTAGGCGCCCGTATGCATGCTATAATCTTACCTAATCTTCCTTTGTAAGTTACCCATTTACTGGAATTTTGTATCTCGTTATTTGCCGCCTTTACTTTCACAGATTTCAAAACTCAATAAGAGTCCTTTAAATCGCAATACCCCTCTGGTCCCTATTATTTAGTTAACTAAAGATGAATATATTCAGATTTTTTGGTGATATGCTTCACCTATTGAGCATATTTCTTTTATTAGTAAAGTTAAGGAAAAGCAAAAGTTGCTTGGGAATATCTTGTAGAATGCAGGAAATATACTTAATTGTATTTTGTAGCCGTTATATAGACTTATTATGGAGTTTTGTATCAGTATACAATAGTTTAATGAAGGTTATTTTTATAGGAAGTACAAGCTATTGTATATATTTAATGAGATATCAAATCCCAATAAGTAGAACATATGATAAAAGTGCAGACAATTTCTCATATCAAAAATATTTGTTATTACCAGCCTTATTACTTGGTATTATTACTTCAGATAAATGGATATTTTCTGAAATATTGTGGGGTTTTTCTATATGGCTCGAATCTGTTGCTATATTACCACAATTAATATTATTACAAAAAATGAGAGAAGTTGAAAATTTAACGTCAAATTATGTAGTAACTATGGGTTTATATAGACTTTTCTATATCTTTAATTGGATATATAGATTCTACATTCAACACTATGTAAATTGGGTTGGATGGATAGGAGGAGTTATTCAGACGGCAATCTATGTTGACTTCTTCTATTATTATGCAATGAGTAAATGGTATGGTCAAAAATTAATATTACCTTATGCAGTTGAGGTATAAATTTCAACATTTTTTACTATATCTTAAATTCTACATAAATTTAAATAAGTACCTACATTTTAAAATAATAGATAATAATAAAATATCCAGTATGTCTGAAATATTCTACCTTGTCTTTACAATTATATAATTAATAGCAACTATCTATATTCAATCAATATACTGGAGTCATTAATTATAATAAATTTTTTATATAATAAAATCTATTGACAGTACTTTTTAATTTCAGACAATTACCAAGTAGTTTATTGTGATGTTTAGAATTACAAATAGTGAATATACTGTTTTAGGGAATAAAATAATATGTATTATGAAGCTTGAAGTTCTATTCTAGCTATTTCTGATACTTTCATATAGTATTTTCTCAGCTATTCGGACTTTTTCTTGAATATAAGGAGATCCTCTATAATTCATATGAATATTTGGCTCATTTATTTCAATCATTCTTTTGGCTCTCTAATAATTATAATATTAATAAAGTAGATATATTTATTTTATTTTATTTTATTTTATTTTATTTTTTTTTAATTTGAACTTACAGATAATATATCTTCTTTTTTTATTGAAGACATTGATTCTAACCCAAGTGTCTTGGTTGCTTCAGTTATACTCATCCTTTTATTTAATGAGTTTACTAATATATCTATTGGTTTACCATCTGTAGTTAATATTAAAATGTATTAAATTTTAAAATCTTGTATACTTAATAAATTTGTAACTTACTTACTATACTTTCCTTATAAGCATGGAGTGTCACACGTAAGACTGCATTCCCTGCTATAAGTACTATTTGAGTTAATACTCTATATATAAAAAATATATGGATAGAAAGTAAATATATTTATTTATTTGGGATAACTTATTGAATTTCTATTTAGCTAAGTTACAAGTACTTTTACTTACCTAGCTACTGGACCAAAATGTATCATCTTCTTTACAAGATAATTCTATAACAATCATAAAGTCTCCAATAGTTTTATAAAGATTTAGGGAATCAAAATTACAATATATATTGGCTCAAATAGCAATATTAGAAAAGATCTTTAGAAGTGAGACTAATTAAATTTACATCACTTTATTCTAATAAAACCCTTAGGCGGGTATTAGTAATAGGCGCTAAATAAATTTTAGTTTTTTAGGTACCAGCTTATAATAAGGGAGAAATTGTAATATTTAACTATTTTTAGTTATTTTAAATATATTTAAATGGAGATATTTACTTTTATCTATACAATAAATATATACAAAAATAAACAGTTATGAGATTTTTATAACAAAAAGTTGATTTTTTTGGAAGTTTACGAATTCTTAATAATATATCCAATCAATACAGTAACTCCAGACATTCTTACAGAAATTTTACTAAAATTAGAAATATAGTTACAGTCACATTTTAAACATACTGCAACATTTTGAGCTGTCTCGAATTCATAGATATTATTATCCTTATTAATAGAAACTAATATTGCATCAATTGTTTGTGTATGAAAATATAACATGAATGATTTACCTGGAATGTTCCAATAAAGATTTGTTTTCTGTATATTATCCATAATAAATATTGGTTGAACAAAAATTCTATTTAGAATAGCAACAGGATAAATATAATAAGGTATTGTCAAAGTTTGATTATTTCTATTACTAATATTAGATACAATTAAATGACCAGGATACAATGGAATATTAGAAGAAATAATTAAGGAATTTACAAAAATAGGTCCTTTACAAACAGTAACATGTTTACCATTACCTAATATAATAGATTTACACTTAATTGTTGTATTTATAGGAAGAACAGATAAATTATCTCCAATATTAAGTATACCTGAATTAATGATTATAGAGATTTTTGTTTCATTAGAAGAAGATGAAATAATATCTGTGATACAAGCAATGAATTCTGTATAATTATTATCTTTAAAACATTGACATTTTTCTCTATTATCCTGTATAATTTTAGATTCATAAATTTTTATTTTAGCAATATTCTCTAAAATTTGATATATACATGGGCCCTTATACCATGATGCAAAATCTTGATCTTGTATTATCTGTTCAATAATATTAATACCATAAAGAGCACTTACTGGAATAAAACAAATATTTTTAATTTTACAAAAATTAATATTAGCAATGAAATTACTAATTTTTTGTTTAATATTATTATATATTTGTATATCCCAGTTTCTAAGATCCATTTTATTTATTACAACAATGAGATTTAATAAATTACCTGAAATAATAAATAATAAATGTTCTTTAATTAATCCTTTAGTAAATCTTTGATTAAAATTATCACAATCAATTACAAGTATAGCACTTTCTGCTAATATTGTTGCAGCATAAGTACTTGGAATAAAATCTTTATGCCCAGGTGTATCAAAAATTGTGACTATACAATCATCTACTTCAAAAGACTTTGAACAAACATTTATAGTTACCCCTCTTCTTCTTTCATCATCACATTCATCAAATATCCAAGCATATGCAAATGACCCTTTCCCTATAAGATTACTTTCTCTCTTATATTTCCTTATTACTGATTCATCAATTAGTCCGAGTTTCACAAATAAATGACCCATTAAGGTAGATTTTCCTGCATCAACATGTCCAACTACAACAACATA